TATACTGTAACTACATGTAGCTGAAATAGGTTCATGAAAAATCTGTGACTCCATAGCAAGTGGGACAGGAAAAACCTGAGAAGTGAAAAGGAAACTTTCTACAAATGATGTAATACATACGTAGTTGGCTGATAATTATGACGGGGGATTTGAGTCAAAAGTCAGTGCCATGTTGTTAGTGCTATTACATGTCCAATGTTGCAAATGTTGAATGTAATGTGTAAATTTGACTAAGTCAAAAGTAAAAAATCCTGTAATACTGACAAATTCATCGTGTAAAATGACATCTACTTTTTGTCATTAAACATTTCACAACAAGCCGAAGTCCATCTACCCAGAACTTTAAACACTGAACTCTGACATCTTCTCATTTGACACTTGCCCTATGTATTGTACCCCTCGACATATGTCTTAGTGTATCGTAACACAGAACAAGTAATGAAATTAGCCAGTATGCAAATTAGTTCATACGGTATCTATTTTTAATCACGTGAGATCTAAGCTGTATGACTGTCTTTTTTTGGTGCTGTCATCTTTTGCATTATAATGCTATCCTGTTTATAAAATATATAATACCCATCCATGGGCCATTGTTCATTCTTCTCCTTTTATTTGTTGAGCTATTATATTTTGTATTATGTATACTTCTCATGAAGGGCAGGATGGTTGTTGTGGCAACTTTCTATGTCCACATTGCTCATGGACTGTCGCACACGTTCACACAAAACCCTGGTGACTTCAGAGTAAAATTCTTCGTAGGAAAGTCTATGAATTCTACGAACAATCTCTTGTATTATATGTGGAAGCAGAGATATTTTACTTTTCTTTCTTTATGTAGAAAAAAAATCATAAAATCAACACCCGGTTGCAGGTCTCATGCTGGAGGAAATTCCCTGCTTGCAAATTATGTTTTCTTCACGCGAGATGTCACGTGATTAAAAATAGGTACCGTCTGAACTTATTTGCATACAAGGCTAATTTCATGTCGTGAGTTCTGTGTTACGATGTAAAAGTGAAATGTTGAACGGTACAATACATAGTGCGCGTGTCATATGAGAAGATGTGAGAGTTCAGTGTTTAAAGATCTGGGTAGATGGAGTTAGGCGTGTTGTGGAAATTTTGAAATGTCTAATGTGAAATGTTTAATGACAAAACGTAGATGTCAATTTACACGATGTATTACATATTTTGTTAAATTTAACGTCCTCCAATTTACACATTAATTCAACATTTGCAACATTGTAGATGTAAAAGCACTAACAACATAGCAGTGACTTTTGACTCAAATCCCCTGTCATAGATAATAGCCTAATTTTTTTTTATCTCTTAATTTTGGTATCACTAGCAACCGCAGATGATGTCATATGTTTGAATTTGATGAAATGAGGCTGTAAAGTAGTGAAAGAGTCTGTTTAAGGATAAATTATACACTGTATGGGAGATTATAATAGTTAAAAACTAGATAATGTGAAATGAAATGAAATGGGGTTCAACGTCCTACTGTTCTGCTCCTAAACTGGGCTAATGAAGACGGGCATACACCATACAGTGTGCTATGAGGGAAATTTTGCTCGGGCAGCGGCACTATCGCCTACTCTTATATCGAATTCCAACTGCCAAGGGATCTTTTACGTGCATTCCAATGTATACACGGGACCTCGGTTTTTCGTCTCATCCGAAGGACTAGACAGCTGTCCTTGACAGGCCCTCCATCCTGCATCACTGACAAGGGGGAACCACGCCGGAAAATCTGGATGAACTTTCTCGGCCAATGCAGGGATCGAACACCCGGCCTCCAGACTAGCAAGCCAGCGTCTTACCTACTTAGCCACATGATCCCCTACTAGATTATATAAAGGGAATTTGTTGAAAATTTCTGTCAAATTGATCCACCCAGAACCAAGTATTTAGTGATTGAATTTTGGGTCTAGCCTTGAGAGAGAGAGAGAGAAATGGGGTTTAACGTCCACTCGACACAAATAAGGTCATTTCGGGACTAACATATGGTTTAATTTTATTTCATTAATTCGCTTGCGCGTAGGGGTCTTTAGCAGTGGGAGGAAACCAGAGGACCCGGAGAAAACCCACGAGGTTGGACAGGCAACCCTACTCCTTGTCACGTACAACCAGGGATACGAAACCACTCCAGTCGACTCAATGACAGACTTTATGATACAGCGCGCGCACGCTAACCATTCAGCCATCCAACCCCCCTCTAGCCTTGATCATCATAACTAAAGTTGGTATGATAAAAAACATAGTCTCGCTTATCCATTTTTTGATTTAATCAGAAGCAGAAGACCGGGTTCGAATCCAGCATTGAGAGTTGATTATGGTCTGGATAAGTTAATCAATGTCTAATTAATAATTTAGTTAACATTTCAGGCCTAAAGAAAGACCTGCAATTGGCCGATTTAGCTCTTGTATAATGTATACATTAAACATACATTATGCAAGAGTTAAATCTACCTATTGTTATCTAAATGTTATCTGGCCTGCAATATTTATTGGATTAGTCGATTTGCTGCTCAACTTTCAGTCATGATTTAATCATGAAATGGATAATCGAGATTATGTTTTTTATCGTACCGACTTCAGTAATGATGATCTAGGCTAAGCCAAAAATCTCAGTTCAGAGTGGATCAATTTGACTGAAGTTTTCAGCAAATTCCCTTTACATTATCAAGTTTTTAACTATAGTGAGAACTGCCAGCTCTTTATCTAATCTCCCATAATGTATCTTTTATTGGCAGTGTATGTTACTGTTGTTTCATCTGTTTGCGTTTACCTGTAATTCTATATAACTATCTTGTTGTGTTTTACTTGAATTCTATATAAATAGAGACGTTTCGCAACAGTTACATGTACATGTACACTTACATTTAGATAAGTGTATTTACAGTTACACTTAGCAGGTGGCGACACAAACTTGGTCCATGATCTCGATAGATTGTTAAAGATGAGATTAGTAAAGCACGCACATGTTTGGTCTCAGCCTCTTCTTATATTACTTTGTCTACATGAAGGACAAGGTCTTCTCTGTGGATTTAGTTTGTGAAAACCACGTTTCAGAGAAAAATTATAGAAATTAAACAAGGCTTAGCAAAGTATTGTGAACTTTCATTTATGGAGGCTGCTATTCGTCAGACACACTTTTATGACTTGTGCTTCACGTCATATTTAAGTAAAGTTGCAAAACCTCTCTAATATCTTGTGTTTTACCTGTATTTAATATAACATATCGATATAATATCTGTTTGTGTTTTACCTGTATTCTACATAAATATCTATTCTGTTTGTGTTTTACCTGTATACATGTAAATATCTTCTCCCTGTATTCCAAAACACCTGTTTGTGTTCTACAGTACCTGTATTCTAAAACACATGCTAGTGTTCTACCTGTATTCTTCTATAACCCAAGTTTAGTGTTTTACCATTATATAAAACATGTGTCTATATTTTACATTGTTTAAATTGCCTATTTGTGTTCCCCATGTCTTTAAATTTTACACATGTATATGCTGACGATACTATCAGGAAACTGGAGTTGTTAGAGAGGTTTCGCAATTTAACATTTAGACGGTTAAACGTCATCAGTTTTTGTGACGTATGACGCGAAACGCACGCACGGATAGCAGCCTCCATAACTGTAAGTTCACAACACTTAGCCAAACCTTGTTTAATTTCTATAATCCAGTCCTTAATTTTTCTCTGAATCGTGGTTTTCACAAACTAAATCCACAGAGAAGACCTCCTTCATGTACATAAAATAAGAAGCGGCCGAGACAAAACATGTGCTTGCTTTACTAATCTCATCTTTAACAATCTATCTGTGATAGGGTGACCCACCATAGATAAATATCTCCAAATATCTCGACAATTACGCCACAATATTTATATATATGCCAAGCCTCAAATCAGTTTCACACAATTATAGTCACTAAATAAACGATCATGTTGTACTTAATAAGCTATGACCATTAATCATCTATAAATAATAGACTGAAAACTGGTTCCAAGTGTCCTCCATAACATCCAGACACTTTTGAGTAAAAGATAGGTTACGTGCCCTTGTTTTGAAATTAGTCTCACTTAACCAGTCTATCGACCATTCTACGTCGGATTAACAGGTCGGGATAATCAAGACTACTTTTTTACGAAACATAACAGAAAGCTAGAACAAGAAATTGAATTTAGAAATAAGCACGTTAGCTAGCTCAACAATTGTTTTAAGAAGCTTGTAAAAGTAAAATAAATCTACTGCTAGTATCATGTTCCTGTCTAACCCGAGTGTTTTAGAGATATTATTTGTACTAAACCAAAAGATGCCGCTTTTAACGGTACAGTTAATGATAAAGCAATTTAAAAAATGAAACGAACATAATTTCTAAATCTGCTGTAATAACCAAGAAGCTTAATTTTACTGCTATTCAAAATCGTCAACAATAAAATTTTTACGGCTGTAATAGTTGATAGATTTGTAGAGAATTGCACGTGCCATGGCTATTTATAGTATCATACTGTCAGAAAGTTGGTCTCGACACGGAGAATGTGCACGCTTCAGTGGTAGTCTCGAACTATCAGCGGTGGACTGTATTTCTGTAGAGTGCATGGGTCACCCTATCTGTGAGTGATAAAGGCCTATCAAGATCGTGGACCAAGTTTGTGTCACAACCTACTAAGTGTAACTGTAAGTGTGAATTTAGCGAAACGTCATAATATACAGTTTCCACTTACACTTATCTAACTGTAACTGTTAATTTGCAAAACCTCTGTTATTTCAATATCGGAAGTTAGGCATAGGACAATCATAAGGGCTCTGCCAGTCTGGTGTGATTACCTTGGCATTTTAAAGCAAAAATTCAGAAAATTGTTGTCAAGACATTTTTCATTGGGTTACAGTTATGGTTATTTATATCACATTGCATACAAACACAATAATAAAAATATGCATAGAATATACTAAATTATAAACTCACACTTATAAATGATTTACTTACTTTCCATGGTTGTGTTTGATTGTTCATGTCAGTTATAAGAGGTATAGGTTCTGGACCCTGGGATAGATACAGAGCAGCAGCTGTACCCACAGCTCCTACTGTGACTACACTTGCCCCTGCTAATTTAAGGTACTCCATTTTTGGATCTGAAAATAAAAATACTAAAATTATTACATACATATATGGCCAATTTCAATATGTATGTAAGCTTAAAAAGAAACAAGATGCATTCTCTGATTCTACTATTGACATGTGATTAAATTCTTGATTGCCATTATCAAATAATTAAAACAGGGATTGCCAGTCAATGACACACATGCCAACCAGCAGCTACTTCTAAGCAGTTAATAGGATTGTATATTTTTAACCTTTTCTAAGTTTTAAGAAGATTTTTGATAATAATGTTTAGATACATGTAAGTGCAATAATAGATATTGAATGTCTATATTTCAACTGGTTCATCTTTATCACTAGTCAAAGCAATTTAAGTGAGTTTGAAATAGAAATCTCAAAAAGTACATGTATAAACTGCAGGGCTATAACAAGATTTTTATGTCAAATTCAATAAATAAGCGAAAATATGACAAGTGACCCGGCAAGATTGTAAAGAAAATGATGATATCAAAGGCAGCGACTTCAAATAATTGCCCAAATTAACCTTTGTGAACAATTCCCAGATGCTTCAAAAAATAAATTTAAAAAACTCTGATTACAACTTACAAGGCTTTGATGACAGAGGCTATAAAATGAATAACTCTGTGAATAATTGATGCACAAACCAGAATTTTGATAGGGTTCATTCATGTCCAAGACTAGTTGATACCCTGACCAGTTCAGAAGGGCGTTAAGACCACATTAATGATGAACATATAAGTGTATAAAAATTTGCAGTATCAGGTACCAACTGGATATTGCAAGCATGTATATTTTTTTTTAATTGCTGCGAGCCTATATACATGTATATTCTTTAAATTAAAAATAGATTTAAATAATGCTTTAAATGTTTAGCTTCTCAAGATCCTTATCTTGATTACAGTTGGCTGAGTTCTACTGTTCTATTAAATACATTGAAACCTGATCTAATATCAATTACTCACAATATTAATATTCATCCAAATAAAGTACATAATATCAGGTACCGTACATAATGATGGTGTAATAACGCCAAGTAAATAATGTGGACGAATAATTTTTACGATTTAATTGTTGCACAAGTATGCATCTGCAAACATTAATGTGTATAAATAGCCTACAGATTAACAAAATAGATGGGGTTCTTTAATAGTAACAAGTAGCTTGTGATTCATATCATGTTCACTTCAAAGCAGTTTAAAAGTTTAGACTTGGATAAATAGAAACGTATTTATTTCTCCAATTTATTTCAGTATGGGGCCCCACCATGCCCTTTCTAATGATTACCTTGCCCTATTTAAACTACACTACCGAATAAGTTTGATAAAAAAAAAATGTTGTTGAATGCCACTTCAGACATGCTTGATCGTATGTAACAACTTACATATACCCGTACTGTACTGCATTTTAAAAAAGTGGATGAAGTACACAAGGCAGATGAACCTATTATAATATATAAATATTATAAAGTCAACCCGTTCAGGCAGCTATATGTAAGACTCGCCAGTTTTTGGGATAAACCAATCACAGGTATAGAATTGGTATTTTTAAATTGGTTTATTTACACAACAAAATGGTTAAGCTAGCTAACTAAGTTTTTTAACCCAGTTTAACATAACGCATTATCACTCTCACCAAGAAAGTTATTCATTATTACTGTAATACTAAAACACCAGGAACTCACCTATTTGGAGTAAGATATTTTAACGAGCATTCATTCAACTCCTTGAAAACCAAAATAAAAAATTTATATAAGACTCGTAGATTGAAATTTAAAACGACTATATCTCAGTGATGGCTAGACAGATATATTTGTCTTAAATTTTGCATATGATTTTTAAATCTGAACTTGCACAATGCAAATCAAATCACATCAAAACTAAATTTTACCAACCTCTAAAGACCTCAAAGCATTAATGCCTATTCAGTTTCAAGCATTTAAAAGGCATAAGCTTATATGACATAAAATGGAGATAGTAACTCACCACAGTTTATGACCTCACGTCACATTAACTCACAGTTGTCTTTACAACAACACTTATTATAAATGAATCTTGAATCTACACTGGACTTTGTCTATCGACTATTAAAATAATATGAAACCCAAGGCAAGTTGTTTACTGATATGGTATGTATAACCTTTAGATCTAATCCAACTAATCCATGCATGGTAATAATCTCTTCATCTAGATCCTAATCACTAATGCCTCTATTAAATAATACATGTACTAAGTCTATGTACTTATCAAATATTTATGTTCATACATGTACTTATATTTCTACTTGTTGTAGCTAGATTACACAGTTAATTAATTACCTACATGAATAAATATAATATCACTTTATTCTAACATCAAAATAACAGTAAGCTTCAATAATCCTAGCATTAGGATCTAGTTCTAACTCTAACCACCTCATACCTGTATGATGATACATATCTTTATAATAATACCTGAAGAATTTGGGCAGAACTTAATATCAACTTTGTAATCAGACACAATAGCAATGGCTAATATCTCCAAAAGCCAGATAATCTTTTGGTGAACTTTGATCATCATATACAAGTTATGGATCAATGATTTTTATACACAACTAGCGATTGACCCGGTGTAGCACAGGTACAGTCATGAACTGGAAGTAGCGTAACTCTGAAACTGGAAGTGGTAGGCCATCGTCGCCATGCCTATGTTACTCCTCGGTCCGAGCTAAATGTACCCCTATACACCAAATTTCAGTCTCAGGACAGCCCTAGCGTAGCAGCCAAACATGAACAGACAAACAATCAGTGGCTGCCAGGCAGGATACGCCCACATTTTGCAAGAGATGGATAGAGAACAAGTTAAAAACAAAAACGATTTTTTGTACAATCAGGGGCCATAATCCAGAAAGTTATGGTCTGAAATGTGCAAATATCAAAAGGGACTGAGATTTTTGGAATATAAAGAAAAAAAAAATGTGTTTTAAGTTTCAACAAAATTGGATAAAAATTGTGACCTCTAGAGGGTCCATAACCTTTGTATTACATACTTATACACAATTTGCATACAAAGAGCAGTCTATCTCCCTCCTAATAAAAGGTAATTAGAGACTATGTGAATTTAATTAATGAATCTTAATCTTAAATAGCAGTCAAGTACCAATCTGTCATTCAAAATTATAAAGAACCAACACGATACAAATACTTTTCCTGCGTGCAACTACATGTATTAGATGAAAAATGTGGTGAGAGATTATCACTGCTGACAAGTCTATTGTGAAACAGACAGTTCATAACACTGCTGTTTTTGGATCATCCAAGGATTAGCGGCAAATATATAGATCGCACCCTGCTGACAAACCAAGAACACCACACTAACAGGTATTAGCTAGCATGCACAGTCCAGTTCCTTTAACTAGATGCAGGTTTAAATTGACAGAAAAAAAACTAGACACCTTTAACTTTCTTTAGTACATGTATTACTTCAAGCAGGTGATATGGTTCATGTCACATATTTGTTTGTACATGTATCTTCAAAAATAGGACCACTGATTCATACAATGTAAATGATAACCTATTATCAGTTACCCCAGTAAGCTAGTACTGCTACTTCTGGTTTTTTTTCACAATTTATATGGGTTTTAAAGAGACAATCAAGACATGTTAATATTACGACAAAATTACCACATCCTAATTAACAAAAAAACTAAGTTTTCCTAAAATTCATAATAATTGAAATGGAGAAACTAAGAAAATGGTGGCATTAAAAGAGCTCTCAACAGACTAAAATCTGATGCTTGCATGTACACGGGGAGAGCTACTGAAAATCACACTTTCAAAGGATGTGGCATACTCAACAACTGCTGAAATGATTCAGCATCATTTAATTTTGGAATTGTGTAAGTTTATACCAGGTAACCAGATCAAATCCAAATGCATGCTGTTCTTAGTGTTTGTAACGTCCACTTCCACAGAAGGTGATATCACAGCTAGACAAGCTCTGATTTTTATTATCTTAGTGCAGGGGTATTTCCTGTCGGAGTTAAACAGAGAGAGAGAGAAATGGGGTTTAACGTCCACTCGACACAAACTAGGTCATTTCGGGACTAACATATGGTTTAATTTTATTTCAATAATTCGCTTGCACGTAGGGGTCTTTAGCAGTGGGAGGAAACCGGAGGACCCGGAGAAAACCCACGAGGCTGGACAGGCGACCCTACTCCTTGCCACGTACAACCGGGGATTCGAAACCACGCCAGTCGACTCAATGACAGACTTTATGATACAGCGCGCGCACGCTAACCATTCAGCCATCCAACCCCCCGGAGGAAAACAGAGTACCCTGAGTAAACCCATGAGGTTGAGAAGGCACCATCTCCAAGCCACATATGCCCACACCGGGGATCCAAACCACGATCGCAAACCAGAGTTGACCGGCCAGCTGGAGCTCGAAGAGCGACACTCTAGACCAGCCCAAACCATCTATTCCAAATGAAATACATTATTCCTTTAAGTCTTACCGACTTTCGTAATCAATGTAGGGTGACAACAAACTGATAATTTAAAATATCCTACTAATCGTTAAACACACAAACAAGTACTTTTCTGATAATTACTGACCTTAAAATTGTCAATCAAAGTCTTAAATCATTATCATATAATATAATTATTATTTAATAAAATTTGTCAATTTGATTATAATCTAACATCTGGTAAAACTTATACAGGAACAGCTCTTTTTTTGTGATAATACACAAGATAGGTTGCCAGGCAACGAAACATAAGCCCATAGCAGCTACATGTAAATCGCCCGAGCAGTCAACAAGGGTTAGCGCATATTTATTCTTTTGTGGGTAATTGGGGGCATTTACAAGACCATTTCATACAGATCAGATTATAATTTTTGTCGTTTGATGATTCACAAGATTCTACAAACTGAAACAAGGGCCTTAACTCTGGAATTAATTTACAGTAAATTTTGATATTTGACAGGCTTTTTTGTTTTACTAATTTAGATAATGCACATAAAATTCATACAGATCAGATGATAACCTCTGTCATTCGAATGTTCACAAAGTAAAAAAAAAAGGGCCATATCTCTAGAAATAATTGACGGAAATTGCTGAAATTCAATAGACCTCCATTTCACAACTTTTGTTATTCGAACGTTCACACGGTTCACAAAAAAACAGGCCATAACTCTAGAAATAATTGATGGAAATTGCTGAAATTCAACAGACCTCTGTTTCACAAATTTGAATGATGCATATAAATTCCATACATATCGGATGATAACTTTCATCAATCGAACATTAACAAGGTTGAACAAAGTGAAACAAGGGCCATAACTCTAGAAGAAATTGTTGAAATTCAATAGGCTTCATGGTTTCACTAATCTAAATGCTGCATATATAAATTTCATACAGATTGGCAGATAACATTTGATGTTAGAGCCTTCACAAGGTGAAACAAAGTGAAACAAGGGCCATAACTCTAGAAGTAATAAACAGAAATTATTGAAATAAGATTCTTCATCTCACTAATGTAAACAACATATATCAATTTTAAAACAATCGGATCTTAACTTTTGGCGTATGTGCGTTCACATGAAATTGTGGGCGTATAACAATTTTTTTCTACTAACTCAGTTGAACCAAAAGTTATAATCGCTCAAGTCCATTCATAATTTTCCTATCTGTTATTAGCTATAGTCGCAGGCTTGGTGATTGAATATAATTTCTACTCCTACGAAGTAAACTTAGTATGGTAAATAAAATGGTGGAGTGATATACATGTAATGGTAACCACACAACTCGGACCAAGATCAGTCGGAGTAACAGAAGACCACTCGAACCAAGACAGAAGACATCTCAGACCAAGACAGAAGATCACCCGGACCACAATTAGAAGACCACTCTCAGTTCAAATTAAATAAAAGACTACTCAATATATTGTTATATATCTATTTAGAAGACCTCTCGGACCAAGTAACATTCTGAAACAAATTAAATAAAAGACTACTCAATATATTGTTATCTATCTATTTAGAACACCACTCGGACCAATAATTTGGTTAACAATTATTATCTTTCGTCATATTTTACGGGTAAGTATTTTTGCATATAAAAAAAAGCCATTGAATTTATTTGAAATAGACCAACACGTAAGAAAATATTGACATGAACCACATTGTTATTAAAAGGCTCTACCAAATGATAAAACATTAGTGGTACCGTACTTATGGTTCTTTGATAATCATATATTCCCGTAAAAGTAATTAAAAAAGGAATAATATGCTGATGAATTTATTTGAAAATATTTACACAACACATATTTGAAGTTTCTATCAATTTTAATGATAAAATGTAAACTAAACATTGACATGCATTCCAACCAAGACAAGCTTGCGATAGAAGGCAGTACAGATCGATAAATATGGTAGTCATTTCAGAAGTACAAGTACATGTATGCGAATTAATAACTACACAGTTTTCGATGTTTTGCTAATTGAGATTTTTTCTGTGCTTCATGATGAGATAATAACACAGGTAAGTAGGCTAAAAATGTACAAACACAATTATCAATTTATTAAAAACAACACTTTATTAATATTAATATAAAACAAGCCAACAGTGAGGCTGATGTCCCCCGCCGAAATTGCAAAATAAATAGATGACACATATTAATTAATCGCACATTTATTTTTTTCACTAAGTTTCATCACTCTCTATCAGATAGAATCAAGATTATCTTGTCCCAAACCATCGACAAATGAAATCGATTAGCTCTGCTTAGCTTCAGCTCGAAATGTTAATTATTGAAATCAGTCAAGACATTCACCTAATGAACATCTACATATACATCAAGTTTAAACATTCACCTAATAGACACCTATGCCAAGTTTGAACATTCTACCTCAATTAGAAGGAGAGTTATTGTGTTCCAAAGTTTCTACCAATCAAATTGCTTATCACTCTGCTTACCCTCAGCAAAAAATGTTCATTATCGAACTTAGTTAAGGTATTCATATAATAAATCTATACACCAAGTTTCATCAATCTCACTTAATTAGAACTAAAGTTATCGTGTCCCAAAGCATCAACCAATCAAATTGCTTATCTCTGCTTACCCTAAGCGGAAAATGCTCATCTTCGAACTCCATCAAGGCATTGACCTAATCAACACATACACCAAGTTTGAACATTCTAGCTCAATTAGGAAGAGAGTTATTGTGTCCCAAAAAGTGTGACGGACAGACAGACAGACGGACAGACAGACGGACAGACAGACGGACGAACCCATTTTAATAGTCCCCTGCTTTCTTCGAAAGGCGGGGGACAACAAACACGATTTTCAATATCATATCAAGTTATTAAAACAACACTTTAGCCTATTATTTCAAAAACATTGGTCTGAGTGGTCTTCTGTCTTGGTCCGTTTTTCCGACGTGGTTTCCCCTTGTCAGTGATGCAGGACGGAGGGCCTGACAAGGAGAGCTGTCTAGTCCTTCGGAAGAGACGAAAAACCGAGGTCCCGTGTAAACATTGGAATGCACGTAAAAGATCCCTTGGCAGTTGGAATTCGATATGGCGTATGCCCGTCTTCATTAGCCCAGTATAGGAGCATAACAGTACGACGTTAAACCCCATTTCATTTCATTTTGTCTTGGTCCGAATCGTCTACTGTCTTGATCCAAGCGGTCTTGTCTTGGTCCCAGTGGTCTATCAACTGGTCCGGCTGGTTTTGGTCCGAGTGGTCATTGGTCAGAGTTGTCATGCATTCGATATATTTAAAGGAGCGAAATCGCTAATATTTGGGACCTAGAAATTGACATAATGGGTCGCAATGCATATAATAATGTAATATATGAATGTATATAAATATAAGCTTACTTTTATGTAATAATAAGAAATCTTGCTTTTAAACCCATAAAGTTTAAGTATCAGCAAATTTATTGAATTCCGAGACGTGCCATCCATCAGACCTGTGTTCTATACTGCTTGTTCAATTTTATTTTTGAATTCATTCCTGAGGAGAGTGATGATGATAGTACTGATAGGCCTAGAGTCCTGTGTCAGTGATGGAGTAGCAAAAACATCCAAATTGGATTCCAATTCCAAGTTGGGGAACAAGTATGTGTCGATATCCAAGGGTACTATCATGTAATAAAGCATGTACATTTTTCACAAGCCAATTTCATTCATGAAAATAAGGTGTATTTTGCCCTCAGAATGAGAATACAACTTATTATTACAACGTGTGACCGTGTGTGATTTTTTTGTTTAGATTTTACCGGTACGCCTAGAACAATGTTGTCCTACTGGCTGTAATTTGGTGAGCAAATGATTTTTCAGTTCAAATTATTACCTAACTACAAGTAACAAATAAGAAAACTGCAATATTTACCTAGTAAAATCACTTGATCAGGAGATGTAAAGCGTTTTCTTCAACAAAACACGCCGTGTTCACTGAAAATACACATCCGTAACATACATAACTAGGACGCAAGGTCACTTTCAAATTTACACATGAGTCGTGAAACGAAAAACGAAATAGGTCTGCCGGTTGACCGGACAGTAGAGCATGTCATGTATCTTTTAACCTCGACTTCCGCATGTCATATGTAAAAGTAGGTTACGACCTTCCTTAAGGTCCCATGATTTATAAAAATTACTGACCGTCACAGGGATAAAAGCCCACGGCACAAATCTCACGACAAGCCCTACATGCTGCCCTACAGGCCTGTACACATGGAGGGATTTTTTCCTTTTCTTAAAGAAGACGCACTGGACTTAATTGTTTTGAAATTCTTGAAATATTTTGCAACTTTCTTGAAACGGGGATATTTTAGTAATCCTAAACTTAAAAGTTGTCTTTATTATTCCCTCTAAGATATTACCCAACCACAACTACGCTTGTAAATTTACATTTAAAGTTTTTAAATATCTAAGCAAATTTTAATGATCGCCAATGTTTTGTTTTTTTGTTGGTTTTTTTTTGGGGGGGGGGGGTTGTTAGATATTGCACATAACTTGATTAATGAAATAAAAAATGACAGAATAAATAAAATCTTCTATATTTAGCGATCTGAAAAGTTCAGTGTTCGCAAAGAGGGGGTGCAGACCGTAAAAGAAAAGCCAGTATGGCGTTACAAAAAGGAATTATAGATATTTATTGGAAGATAATTTAATGTAAAAAATCACCCCTGAATATACTTGATATCAATCTTCATGTATAATTTCTGATTATTAGGAAATCGACTCTTGAGTGTTTTCTTTATCACGATATTCTAAATCAATAAACTGTTCCTTAAATGTCAAAAGTAGATCATATAATTATGTTCTATATTAGGTTTAGTATTTTAATATTAACTATAGTAAAGTAGTCATTATTTTAATGATCATCATACATGCAAATGTAGAAACTAGATTTTAGATATTTTCTCTCTATTATAATTGAATTCATTGTGCTGCGTGTTTATTTATTTCTTACTAAATTGCTTTTTTGTGTTTTGGTATTTTGTGCTTTTCTATAATTTATTCGTCCTTAACACCTGTAACCTCTATGCGTCATTAGTCTTGACGTAAATTATTTTAGCTAGAATCTAGGTGAGTGAAAAAGGCAAAGTCCATTCTCAATGACCCATATCAACATGCTGCGATACTCATTTGGCCTGGAAGCAAAGAGCTAAAGATAGCCGCAACGTTTCTAAATATACCCCAGCTGAACAAAACAGAATCAGGTTCCAACACATCAATATTCTGTTACCGACAGGATCAAATCGCTGGCCGGTTCATACCTATTTTAAAGGGACAATAACACTCTTGGTGGCTTGACAGCTCCAGAAAATAAATAATAGCCTTATTCTAAGTATAAGATGTTTAAGTATCCTACCTGTTGTGTAAATTATCTATTAAATCCTATTTTACTTGTCCAGAGGGTTCGAAAATATTTTTAAATCCAAGTCACATTTGAAAAACTTTACGTTAGGCTTTTCAAATCATTTAGTTGAATTTTTCCAATTTTTTAAATTGGGTGTGTTAAGATGAAATTTGTATCATCAATTAATTGGAATATTGTAAAATAGTACAATTTGTTTGACCAGAATAAAGATTGGGACATATTATTCAGTTACAACAAGAGTGGTATTGAGCCTTTAAGAATATTTTAGACTCAATTATATATTTATAATATGCATTATAATTTATAATAAATTCCACTATAACGATAGTTAGACTCCGCGTAAAAATAACATTTCGTTTCGTGTTCCGGTAAATCCAATATTTTATTGCATCATTAAGAATGAAATATGTACGGAGGCGATGTCTTTTCCTCTTTGGAGCACGCTAAGAACTTCAATGTTATTTTGTTTATAATTTTCTCGTACAAATCATCTTTTAGCTCATCCTAATCAAAATATTTAAATATATAATGATATTTAAAATATGATAATTCTATCTACGGACGTAGGGATAGTTAATTAATAATGTCACGCGATTTGTAAAATTATTTAGTTTCATTAGCATATTATTGTCTAGAAGTTCGAGACTAGCATCGCCTGATTTTACGAGGCCCGATTGTCAAGTCAAACACTTATGACAAATTTATCAAATCCAAACAAAAACGAGTTTTAAAGTCAAGTTTAACTGAGATATCAAGCTAATTATTTTTTTTTCTTTCGTTTGCAGTTGAATCTCTGATCAATAGCGCACTATGGACTATGGTGCATGTATTCACAGGTCAAGTTAGATTTTTAAGTTTACTATACTCTTCAAAAAAAAAGTAGGGGATATTGAAATACAAATATGCAGGTTGTGATATGATAAATACCCATGGACTCTTGACATGCTTTGAGAGTATGTTCACAGATGAAGAACTTATCGCCCCAACAGAAACACTGAGCTGCACATACGACACGCAATAGCGCCATACACGTGGGAGGGGTTCATTGTCAAATTTGACACTTCTAGGAAGGGTTGATGAAAACTGCCGCTTGCTGGTTTATCCTATCCATGGTTGCTTTCCTATCGGTTCTTGCATAAGATTTGCTGTTTAGCGTATCTTTGCTTTAGCGTGTTACGTTTAATTTGATCGGAGGACGTGTTCGTCGACGTCAACGTCAACCGACAACACTGCAAGAATTGGCCGTGGCACTGCAAGGGGAGTGGGTCAGATTGCCCCAAATCGTGATTGGATGGTTGATTAGGAGCATGCCACGACGAATTGCTGAATGTCTGAGGATTGGTGGAGCAAATACTCATTATTAAGACAAAAATCAAAAACGTCCATTTTCACTTTTGACAGTGTATCTCTTTGCGAGCGAAATGGGACCGTCAGATAAGCCGCCCATATGAACTGTTTATGTCCATGTGTAGTTAATTGGCCTGTTATTAACATACACTGGTTACCTCTAATAAAAACAGCAGTGCATTTCCGCAGTTTTGTATTGTTTCTGAATATTCCCTATTTTTTTTGAAGAGTATATTTTACACTTTTATATAAATTGTAGCCTATCAAAGGTATCCACAAATTTATATAAAACATAATATTTGTAACACCAATCTCTGAAATCCGATTCGCATATTACTATAGAGCAGTCAATAATACTGGATTTAAAGGGTTATTTATATAGATTTCGCTGATTCCCTTTACCCGGGTTACTAATAACTGATGTGTATTGAGAAATGATCGGGATATATTATGTAAGATATTCACTTGTGTATATTCCCTTTACTTAAATATACATTATGCAAGAGCTAAATCTGCCTATCGCAGGTCTTTCTTTGGGCCTGAAATGTTATCTAAATTATTAGACATAAAACTTATCCAGATCATAATCAACTCTCGATGTCATCGCTAGCCTGTGATACTTACTGGATTGGAATCCGACCTGCTGCACAACGCTCATTGATGATTAAATCAAACAATGGATAATCGAGACTATGGTTTTTTTTTTATCGTACCGACTTTAGTAATGATGATCGAGGCTAGGTCTAAAATTCAATCGCTAAATTCTCGGTTCAGAGTGGATCAATTTGCCTGAAATTTGATGATATTGTGTATTTTCTATATTATACCCCATACGATAAGGTGGTCTTGTTGTAGTTGTCCCCTATCCGTTGGTTCGTCTCTTTACCATTTTGCAATTTCTCTGCATGTTGAATTAAAGTCCTACTTCTCTGCTCCATCCGGGCTAATGAAAACGAGCAAGCATACGCACTATACTGTGGATGTGCAATGATGGAAATTTTACAATTACATGCACACCAACGTATACACTATACCGTGTTCCTTGCCCCCCCCCCCCACCACCACATCACATCACATCGCATCACATCACTGACAAGGGGATACCACGTCGGAAAATGCCGAGGAACTTTCTCGGCCCACACCTTCCGAGTTGTGGATTATTACCAATGAGTCATTTCGAAGAATGAATTGTGTATTTTCTATATTATACCCCATAGTTGTCCCCCATCCGTCGGTTCGTCTGTATAACATTTTACAATTTCTCTGCATGTTGAATTAAAGTCATACTTCTCTGCTCGATCCGGGCTAGTGAAAACGGGCATACACACTATACTGTGCATGTGCAATGATGGAACTTTTACAATAACACGCACGCCGACGCGTACACGGGGCCTCGGTTTTCGTTCCTTGCTAGCCCCCCCCCCCCCACACACACACACACACACACACACCACCACCACCACCAACACCACCACCACTACATCACCGACAAGGGGATACCACGCCGGAAAATGCCGAGGAACTTTCTCGGCCCACAACTTCCGAGTTGTGGGTTATTACCAATGAGTCATTCCGAAGAATGAATTCGCATTTCAGTTGGGAGGAATATGCGGCTCATGTTTCACAGAGTTCTCGTCCCTGTCATCGGAATATTTAAGTCAATGATAAGATTAAGACCAGAGATTTGTTCTACAGTCAGGTCAATATATGGAAAATACCCCCTCAACCCCCCAAAAAATTGCTACAAAAGGTTTCTCAACTGATTCTGGTAGGGTTTAGTGTACTTTATAACGTACTAAAAGTTTACCAAATAAAATAAAACCAAGTACGAACATTCCAAACCATAAGACAGAATTCGAAGTCCTAAAAAACGTTATAGGCAAAATAGTGTATTCAAGCAAAATAGTGTAATCAGCAAAAGGACTGCTCCTCGTGTACAAAATACACGACAAACAGTGGTAACAGGTGTCCGGAAGAGTAAGCTTACCCTGCCTGGCGCCACACCCGCATCCAAACTATTAGGCGAAATGTCGGTAAAATAGCATGATTGGTCAATGAACTATCGGTATGTAAAATGCACGCGATGAACTGTGTTAACGATGTAGTAGACATTATCAGGGAGATAGTAATAGTATACGTGTCAATTAAATATATCTAGAATAATAGCCGAGAGAGACACGTTATATTTACCAATCAAATCAATATGACGGCCATAAAACTTTTTAAAGGTTTTAATAAGTTTAGTGCGCAATTTAAGTATCCTTGTAGTTGAACCTTAGATGACAAATGCCTCGATCTACTAAAAAAAAATCAGAATAAAGGGAACAAGCTCTCGCGTAACGAATTAGCTGAGACACAAACACTCCATAAGCTGGTGATATTGGAATGTTACTACTAATAAATGGAAAGTTAACAATCGGAAAGTCAAAGTCATCACGTTTATCGTACAATTTAAGTAGGACCCCCGGAAAAGTGTTTTTTCAAGATGGCGTCAAAAATGGCCACAAAACGTCTTAAAATGATCATAACTATGTAACTACATGTAGGCCTACCAACTCAAATTTGATGATCTTTGTATCTTTCCCTAGGTTTTGGGGGGCAAAGGACATATTAAGATCATTAAAAATAATGTTGGCCTATTATGTCAAATGACCGCAAGTCCATAACTATTGACACAAATTTGATGATCTTGATGTCTATCCCCATGTTTGGGGTACAAGGAACACATTAAGAGAACTTTGGATATCACTGAGCTGTTGAATCATTATGAAATTGAATTCGTGACCTTCAGCTGTCCACTATCATAAAATAAGTTTCAGAGCGTTCAGTTTTAAGTGTTACCCTCCTCCTCAGTATCGACCTCTTGAGTGTTGTTTGAATTGTCACAGATTTGCTGATCTTGCTCCTTCATTACTCCAGAACAGACAATGAGATCATCTACTTCCGTTCAAACAAGCAGTCAAAAGAACACAAACTGTATAACATTAACCTGTTGAAAGAAACTTTAGGAGACGATGCGTGCAACGAGCTGCTCTTTGTACATGTCTACTCAGGCTGTGATTCAACTTCAAGGATTTTAGGCATCGGAAAAAAGTCCGCCTACCGGAAATTAGTGAAATCTGAGCCTGTCCTGAGGTCCTGTGCTAGTGCATTCACCCTTCAAAACAAATCTCAAGAGGACATATCAGATCTTGGCAAAGACCTGATGGTGTGGCAAATCGAATGATACGCTATCATCACTGTGCCATAACAGTTTCGCCAAGAAAGTGGCAACTACTGAAACATCTGTCATTCCTTAACGGCTTCCCCCAACATCACCTGCAACAAGATTTCATAGCCAACGTGTGTACTTTCAAATTATGCTATGGACGGGGATGGCAAATGAAATGGGCCCAACTAAATAGGGATGGAAGCAAGAAAATGATCAGTTAATTTCAATTATGACCCAAAACAATGCTGCGCCTGGTGAAGTCTTGACAATTATCCATTGCAGCTGTTCGGGGGGATGCAAGTCCTCTCGATGCAGCTGCAGACGTTATGGACTCCCCTACACTGCTGTATGTGGCCCTTGTCAAACTGAAAACTGTGATAATTCAAACAACGTTCAATAGGTCGCTACTGAGGTGGAGGATGACACTTAAAACTGAACGCTCTGAAACGTATTCTATGGACAGGGGTGTTTGTGTATTAGGTGATAGTGGCCAGCTGAAGGTCATAAATTCAATTTCGTAATGATTGAACACCTCAGTGACATCCAAAGTTGTCTTAATATGTTCCTTATCCCCAAAAACCTGGGTATAGACATCATGATCATCAAGTTTGAGTCAGTAGTTATGGACTTACGGTCATTTGGAGGTGTTGGCGGCCATTTTTGACATAATAGGCCAAATCATTTTTAATGATCTTTATGAGTTCTTTGCCCCCCCCCCCCCCCCACAAAAACTTTTAGTATGTTAAAAAGTACACTAAACCCTGCCAGAATCAGTTTAGAAACCTTTTGTAGCAATTTTTTGGGGGTTTAAACTGTATTTTGACCTGACTTCTATATATTTTGAGCAATATGTATGAATTTTGTCTAATCAAAGATTTATATAGGCCTAGACAACAAGATGTATAAAGCTGCAAAGAACAATAAAATTTTGCCTCGACTCGCTCGGCAGAACCACTGATTCTGCAACCAATTTTGTCGGAAAATGTTGGTGCTTTACCTACACGGTCTAACACGTGCGTTTTAGATTACACTGTGTGTCATTTAATCAAGTGGCGTAGATTCGCTAACAAGCTCGTGCGTGACAGGAAAGGGGTCGCCTGCCCAACTTCAGGATCCGATTTTTATTCCCAACCCGTTCCTGGGTCTACGTATATATTTATTGCAAAAATATGAGCAATCAGAAAGACATTTACCATTTAATAAATAAATTTATTCGATCCTAGGAGACTGGGGAGCAAACATAATTTAGACATATCCTATAAATTTTAAAAACCAATGCAATGTATAATCCTGTGACTTTTGTGTTTCTCCTACCAGCGCTTTCAGAAATCTTGCATTTTGCCTAATGCAATAAAAGGCTACAACGAATCTATAACCGCTGATAAAATACATACTAAACTTAGGCTGTCTGTCTACAGTTAGCTCCGCTTGAGAACAGACACTAAGCTAGTTGACCGACATTTTAAGTCCTAAATCGGCGATTTTAGTTAGTCGAAAACACTAAGTATACTTCGATAATTTTGTTGAATATTTATTCTGCTTCCAATTAATAAAATTGGAAAAGTTTATTTAGTCTTTGCGTATATGGCGGAGTAGAAAAGCATTACAAAACATTTACGACAGAGATCTGTTCTCGATGAATGAAGTAGATGGATCACCGTGTGCAGAATGTGATAAAATGTTCTACAGGTACTGGTATAAGGGAGACAATCACGGACAGTCTTGGATGTAAGATTACTTGATGATAAAGACTTCGTCCTTACTGGTTAACCAAAGATTTTCAACGGAAGTTGGAAGCCATTGAGAAAGCAAGAAAATCCAGACGATACAAATCTAAAAATGTAAGTTTTCTATTGTGCCATGATTCACAGAAGATTCACTGCTCTCATTTCCGATAGAAAATAAATCTACGCTTTCTGTACAATGGTCTCAATATTATTTGTTTGCTCACATGTTATAATAGACAAGCTAAATTGGCGCTATACACACTGCTTAATTTTGGAGTGGACCACATTGATTGAACCAAATCGCGGCATCCTCCGACGGCGACTTTTTCGGCTCGCTTATTTAACTAACCACTATTGGTAAAGCATAAAATATGTTCTCTGTTCCACGACGTGGATACATATTTCATCGTTTTAAGATATCTCTAATATAAAACTATGTAAATGTTTGTTGACATTTTAATAATCCATGGGCCATGAGGGTTAAGTAGGTCAAACTAGGCTGTTTTCAGCCAATCAGAGACGGTGACAGCGAGCGCATGGCCTAACGGTGAGAGCAGGTGTGCGTTTCATTGGTTGATGCATGAAATATTACACTCCTACCTGCGTGTTGGTCACATCAAGCGCGGACGATATTGTTATGTTCGGGCACGACTACATATACGTTTACCTTCAGCATGGCAAATATGACAGTGTGTTCAACGTCCTTAATTAGTCTCCGTAATTGCTTGATTGTTGACCAAGTTTCATTGTCTGAAAGCTAAATTTATGCTGATGGAATTGATAAGAAAAAAGCTAATCAATACACAGGGACAATTTTTAGACATTGTTTATCAAAATGTCATCTAACACAGAGAAAGAGAATTTGGAACACCCTTTAGTTCAGTGGGTTAAAGCAGTGTACGGTGATGGCAGACAAATTAAATATTGTGATCTATTTGATGGGGTTCTTTTGAATGATTTGATGAATATAGTTGATCACAGGCCAAGTGAAGATCTTGTTTGTGGAGAACCAAATGACTTTGAAACACGCTTATTTAATTGGGACCTACTTCTGAAAAGTATACAAGCTTACTATAAGGATGTTTTACAAGTTTATTTGTGTGTTGACTTGCCTGATGTTTACCTTATTTCACGGGAACCATCCACTGAGTTGAGCTTTAAAGAAGTATGCAAGTTCTTACTGCTTATACTTGGCTGTGCTGTTCAGGGGGAAGGCAAAGAAGAATTTATTTCCAATATTAAACAGTTAGATGTAACAAGTCAACATGCAATAGTGACTTACATTCAAGAAATAACTGATGAATCGCAATCCATTTTGCCATTTGAGAGAAACTGTAGTGAAGAAGAATACATAGAAAAACTTGTGTCCCACGTTGATCGCCTGTTGAAACAACGTAATTCATCAACACAGCTTCTTATAGAACAGACTCATGAAATTAAAAATCAGAAGATGCATGATAAAACTGTACTTCTATCGGAGCAACCTGTAGTGCAGGAGGCTGAACCAACAGACAAAAAAATAAAAATAAGATTACTCCAGTCACAATTAGACGAAAAAGATGAAATAATATCAGACTTAAAAGATGAAATTGAAGAAGTCAGACGCTCCTTCCTTTCCTTGAAAACAGAAAATCAGGAACTGGTGCAGAAAGTTTATTCTCTGCGTTCTTTACAAGATGATTTAGATGCCTTCAAAGAGAAAGCTAGTAAAGCTGAAAGTCTAGAGGAGGAAGTAGCGAAGTTGAAGAAGAAACTAAATGAAGTTGACTTTTTCAAAGCTCGTATACAGGAGCTTCAAGAGGATAATAAGATTTTAGAAGAAACAAAATCCTTCTTAGAAGATCAAGTTGGTAGTAGTCATGTTCGTTTAGAAACGGTTACAAAATTTGAAAATGAACTGAAGAAAAATAAAATTTTATTAGATGAATATTGTCAGAAGATAAATCAGGATGGAGAAAAAATATCTTCTCTTACTCAAGAAAACATGGAACTGCTAAAAGAATTGACAATGCTTTCTCAAAATAGGATTCACCAAGATGTGAATATGTCTCTGGATGGTTTCGAAAATCCTATTTCTGCAGAATTACAAGGATCTGCAAACGTCAATCAATTACAGCTTGAGTTAGAAAATCAAAGATTAAATCAACAGTTGTTAATCTCAGATGAGGAAGTTCAGTCCCTAAGACAGCGGCTAAGGGATCTTGAGGTCGAACATAAATCGACAGGTAAATCTACAAGTTTAAATGATTTAAAGAAATTGGAGTCTGATAATAAAGAACTTAACCAAAAACTGACAGTTACTGAGAAAACAATTGAAACACTAAATCAACAATTAAAGGAGTTTAGTGAAGAAGTTATCCGTGCCAAAACCAATCACAGGGAAGATGGTCTTAAATTTGAAAAAGAAAAAGAAAAACTTCATCAACAAATTACAGCATATGAATCAGAAGTTGAAAATATGCAAAAAATGTCTGTTGAATGTGAAAAATTGGAATCTGAAAACCAAATATTGAATCAGAAACTTGCTGTATTGGAAGAAGATTTGAGAGAAATGAGAGGTACCAGTGAAAATGTATTTGAAAAACTGAAATCAGAAAATGAAAGATTAATTGGACACAACTGCGTTATAACTAATGAACTTGATAGTTTAAAAAGTGAAATGAATGATATCCCAAAGTTAGAATTGGATAATAAGAGACTCGGTGAACAAATTTGTGCATTAGAGGAAGACATTAAAAATCTGCAAGTTAAGATACAAGAGATAAAAATAGAAAATACACAACTACAGACCAAAGTTAAAGATACCGAAAAACATCTTGACCAAGAAAAGTGCCAGACCAATGAATTTATAAAATTGAAAGAAGAGAACCAAATATTAAAGCAAAAACTAGAAATGGTTATGAAGGAGGTAGAGGAAAAAGCAGATGATTCCAGTGAAAGATTACTCAATGAAAGTTTAAATAATTTAGAATCGGAAAACAAAGAATTAAGCTACCAACTTCAGATAGCAGCACAAGAACTACAGAATCTTAAAGATGACACATCCAATGAACAATATACAATAACTTCTGAAAATATTAGTCAAATTGAAATAGAAAATGAAAAACTGATAGAAAAACTAACTCTGGCGGAAGATGAAATAGAAATAATCAGAGAAAAGTTGAATGATTCAGAGACACTCAATCATTCTCTACACCAAGAAAAGATGGACATGAATGAGAGTCAAGCACAAGCCTTGGACCAACTTGATTCTCAAAACCAAATACTTCTTGATAAGTTATCAAATGCAGAAGAGGAAATAGAAAGGTTGAAGAAGAAAAAATATGAACAATTTAAATTGGAGGAAGAGAAGATGAAAGGTGTCATTGAAACACAATTAAGTAAAATAAAACAACTTGAATTGGATAATCAAGACCTTAAAGAAGAACTCATTAATGTTGAAGAAGAACTGAATGCTATTCGAGAGAAACAAAGGAAATCTGAAATTTTACGTGAAACGCAGGAAGAAGAATTGAATGAACTGGATGCTGAAAATCAGAAACTGTCAGAAAAACTTCAAACTGCCAAAGATGAATGTGAAACATTAAGGCAGAATTTAATTGGTGCTGAGGAAACAAAAAGATTAGTTGAAGAAAATAGCTTAAATGTTTCTGAAGTTCAGGCTGAAAATCTGAAAAGTGCTCTCTCTGATAACCAGCAACTTAAGGAAAAACTTCAGACTGCAATTGAAGAACAGAGTGTATTTAATAAAAACAAAACGGAGGAGAATCAAAATCTCAGAGAGAGTTTAAATGAATCTGAAATTAACATTCAAAATTTGCAAGAACAGCTCCATGAAACTGTTGAAGAATTGAATTTTTTGAAAGAAAAGTTTGAGTTCATCCAGAAACAGAATGAAAGTTTGAAGGAATCACAATCTACCAATCAAAATCTGAAACAACAGCTTCATGAGGCAGTTGAAGAATTAAACCATCTAAAAATAAAATCTGAATCTGACCAGAAACTCACTGATAGTTTGAATGAATCAGAGTCTATCAATCACACTTTACGACAACAACTTAATCAGGCTGAAGATGAAGTAGAACAACTTCGAAACCAGGTGAATGAAATCCAGATTAAATTTCATTTGCAAGAAGAACAGAACAATTTTGAATCCAACGCCACAGAAGATTTGAATCGCCTTGAGATAGAAAATCAAAGATTGACCAATCAGCTTCATCAATCTGAAGAGCAATATGATATGATCGAGAACCAACTACAAGATTTTGAGGAAGATAATCAGAGATTAGTATCACAACTTCAACATTCCAATAAACAATATGAGATCCTCCAAAATCAACTACAAAGTACACAAGAAGAAAAACAGTCACTCGAGGAAAAGATTAATTACCAGCATAAACAAATGGAAGATGTAAACCAGATGCAGCCAGAAGACCAGAGTAAAGAGCAATATAATATTATTGAGAACCAACTGCAATATTTTGAGGAAGAAAATCAGAGATTGGTCACACAACTTCAGCATTCTAATAAACAAAAAGAGATCCTTCAAAATCAACTGCAAGGTACCCAGGAAGAAAAACAGTCACTTGAAGAAAAGTTGAATTATCAGCAGAAGCAAGGAGAAGTTGTAAACCAGTTGCACACAGAAGAACAGTCGAAAGAGCAATATAATATAATCGAGAACCAACTGCAGGTTGTTGAAGTAGAAAATCAGAGATTGGTCACCCAACTTCAACATTCTAACAAACAGTATGAGATCATTCAAAATCAACTGCAAGGTACCCAGGAAGAAAAACAGTCACTTGAAGAAAAGTTAGACTATCAGCAGAAACAAGCACAAGTGTTAAACCAATTGCAGTCCGAAAATAATGAACTCATAAATCAGTTACATTCTGCAGAAAAAGAAGTTCAGATGCTCGTTCATAAAATATCACAGATGGAAGCAGAAAAGAGAAGATATGAAGAATGCATTGAAGTTAATGAGATTCAGAGAGAAAATGCTGTACCAACATTTACGCAGTCTACAAATGGTCCTTCTCGTGTTCCATTCAATGGTAGGCAAGAAAATGAATTAAATGACTATAGCCAGGCCTACATCAAAAAACAGAATTCTATTACAGCCAGACTTCAGATACAAAATACTGCAATACAGTGTCAGTTTGCTTCTTTGATTGGCCAGAACTCTACACTTCAGAATCAGATGGCATTGTTAGAAAGTGAACATGAGAATTTGTTATCAAATCATGAAGAAATTCAGATAGCTCATAGCAGAGTTTTAACTGATTATGAAAAGCTACAAAAAATACATGAATTATTAACTCTTGAATATGAAGATCTGGTATCAGAATATATTCAGATTAGAACCCATGTGATTAACCAGTTTAAAGAGCGAGGTGCTAGCAGAAATGAATTAGCTGACAGAGATACAGACGGAATGTCTTCCTCTTCATCCAACAACGAACTTAGGAATTATGGACCAAGGTACAATACGTTAGAAATGAGTGAATATCAAGAAGACACCTATGATTCGATGGAAGACCCCTTTGAAGACTTTAGCGCCATCGACCATGATATGCAGCAAATGGAGATCAATTTTAATACCCTGCATCAGATTAATTCTAAATTAGAAGAAGAAAACCAAGTTTTATTACATCAGTTACAACAATTATTGAATCAAAATCAGGAATTATTGACATCTGCTATTGACAGTAAAGATCATTTTAATGAAGAAGAAAAAACATACATTGAGAAACTGGCAGAGTTGAGAAGAAATAAAGAGAGACTTGAAGAGAAGATAATCGCAAATTACTCTAAGAGAATGGACAATCCTAAGAAGAGCCGTGGCTCAAATGCTATCATCAAAAGACTGAGAGGAATGCTTTTAAAAGCGCAGAAAAATAAAAACCGCAACACCGCAGACAATCAAAATCCAACTGTTGTGAAACACGATAATGAACAAAGGTTTCACAGTAATTTTGATACTGGCCAAGATCCAGAAAAATTGACACTTGTTGAATTTTTAACGGAAGAAATGGATTCATCGAAATAGCTATTAATTTATAATTTGTTGACATAATTTATAAGCTTATCTAAAGACTGATTATACAACTCCAGAAAATATTTATTTTCAAAATGTGTTACTTTAAAAAGAGTGCTTGGAATTTCATTGTAAATAATTCATTGGATGTGGGACATATTTCATACTAAATCTATTATAGCAGCTGAGTTGAGACATTTTGTGGGTGAAAACTCTATTTGAATAAGTACATTTGCATGTTTATGTGCTAATTATTTTGATACAGTGTAGTAATGAAACAGGAAAAGCAAATCATTCCCAAGAATATCTGTGTACTGGTTGATAAGAGAATATAATAATAAAAGGTACACAGGACAACTGAAGATTTTTATTTCAACTAACATTTACACCTTTTATTTACATTGATTGTTGTCATGTTTGATCATCCATACACTGTTGGCATTCATAGAAAAATTTGTAAATGGAGTCTTTTGTTTGTTCAAACAGTCCTTCGGAATTGCTTGATCATTTAAATGAAATTATTCATCCTTGTCACCCTAAACAAAATAAGATAGCTGTATAATTTAAGAATAAGCTGACTTCCATTTTAATACGGTATAAAGAGCCTCTTATTAATAAGATTTTTTTCACTTTGTTGTGTGAAAAAGCTGGCTGTACCCTAATGGGTATTCAAGAATGCCCATATGTAATTGGATGATCTGATCAAAAATCTATTTATTCAAATTAACAAATGAAAAAGTGAAGGGATATTTTACTTTTACATTGATTGAATTTTGAGTTCCAGTGATACATGTAACTTTCTAAGAATTTACTATCAGACTTTAGAGCTGGATTCCCTTTTTTTTTTAAAAAAAAGACCCAATATATATATATATATATATATATATATATATATATATAATTGAAATTAAAGATGGCAAAATAAAACTACATTTTTATGCTAACGTTTTCACCGCGATAGCGGCTCTTCAGGCATTTATTAAACAATAGTTCAATTAACAATAGTCTATGACGTCACAATGTCATAGTTACATATTATACAGGCAAGGGTTGTAATTTCTTAGCCTACAGACTACAAATATTCAATCCCACCACGGTCTTTATTTTATTTAATTTAATTTAATTATTCTCTTATTTAGAATTAAGTTTCGGGTGGTACTTCTCAATAAAATAGCTTTCTTTTGCCTTCAAGAGGTCGTTGTTTTTGCTATTAAGTCTATATAAGTCTATATTCAGTTGCTTCAATTCCAGTAGTTTTGAAATGTGGTAATTCAAAGTGTAAAACCTGTGACATTATTATTGAGGGATCATCCATAAAAATTAAGGATGATAATACATTTTATATCAAACAGGCAATGAATTGCCAATCGAACTATGTAATTTACCTTATAGCGTGTCCGGGATGCAAGGGAAGGTATATAGGAAAGACCCAAATGATGCTTAGGTTGAGAATGAACCTCCATCGACAGCACATACTTCAACCAAAATATAGGATGATCCCGCTCAGTGAGCATCTTGAAGTATGTGGTGGGGGTAAATTTAGTGTTTTTCCTTTATATAGACTTAATTGTGACGTCATAGACTATTGTTAATTGAATTATTGTTTAATAAATGCCTGAAGAGCCGCTATCGCGGTGAAAACGTTAGCATAAAAATGTAGTTTTATTTTGCCATCTTTAATTTCAATTATATATTACCAAAGAGCAGCTTTAATTAACTATTCTAATATATATATATATATATATATATTATATATATACAGTAAAACAAAAATATCCATTTAAGAATAAGATAAATAATAAATATTTAAGAGATTAAAACTTACCTATCAGTATTAGTAACTGAATTTTGTTTTGTACATTTCAGTTTTGATCTGGATTGAATTCTGTCAGGAGTATCATGATGGATGATGACGAATATGAAGGGACTGCTGGCAGTGATGTTGATGACTTGTTGGATATAGAATGTGATATGGATGATGATGAGGGTATGGGACTTGATGTCTCTCTGTTGATGTCTGATGATGATGAAATAGTAGAAACTTTGATCAACCTTGAAGACACACCAATTGAAGTTGATAAACCAGATTCTAAAGTCATTGTCTCAGAGAAACCACTGATTGTACCCAAATCAGAGGATAAAAAGAAGTCAGAGATCAAAGTTGATGATAAAAAGAAAAGTGAAGCCAACGTGAATGATAAAAAGACACCTGAAGCCAAAGTGGAAGAGAAAGTAGAAGTTAACAAGAAACCTGAAGCCCAAAAGGATGATAAAAAGATACAAGTTGTGAAGGATGATGATAAAAAGAATACAGATGTGAAAGCTGATGATAAACAGAAACTGGAATCAAAGGCCAATGCAGATAATAAACAGGGAGATAAACTGAAGGCAGATGATAAACAAAAACCTGAACCAAACCGGAAACCGGAACCAAAAGTGGAAGATAAAAATGCATTGAAAGCTGAAGTGGATAATAAAAAGACACCAGAACCCAAAGAGGATGATAAAAAGAAATCAGAACCCAAAGAGGATGATAAAAAGAAATCAGAACCAAAAGTCAATGATAAAAAGAAACCAGAACTAAAAGTAGATGATGAACAGAAATCAGAACCTAACTCTGATGATAAAAAGAAAACTGAAACTAAAACACCCGAAAAGAAAAATGATGTTACCCAAAAGAGTGACCCCAAGAAGGAGACAGCCAAGAAAACAAGTGTGACTGAGACCATTAAGATTGAATCTAAGGAAGCTGTGGTGATTAGTGATGAGGAGAATGTAAGTGATGTTGGTAGTGTTGATACAATAGAAGCTGATGTTGATGATTTCCCTGAAGAATGGATGGTTATAGATGAAATGGAAGAAGATGAGCCCTCTAAGTCTAGAACTGACAAGTCTAAGAGAAATGACACATCAAAAACCATTGGTTCTCATCGGTCAGAATCTTCTCGTAATAGATCACGCCATAAGAGTCGATCACGAAGTCGATCAAGAAATCGAACAAGAGATGAGCGGGATGGTCGTCGAAGCAGAACATCAGAAAAGGACAGATCTAGTCAGAAAGATAAGGAAGGTAAAGATATTAAAGCATCTAAACACAAAACACCAGAGAAAGATAGGAGCAAGGAGTTGGAAAAAAAGACTGATGTCAAAAAAAGTGATAGTGCTTCAAAATCGGAAGATTCTAAAACTAAGAAGAAAGATGATTCAAAAGCTAACACAAATAAAGAGACACGAGAAGCAGTTAAAACTCCTGTTCCAGCAAAACCAGTTGATCCATTTAAAAACATGAGAGATACTATTGAAAAGTGTAAGTTAATCTTCTGATAATCTTACATCTACAATATAAAGTTAATGGCCTATTTGCAATTTAAATCAATTAGTCTCAGGTATTTTTATTTTCAAACTCAAATTACCTTATCCCCCCCCCCCCAATTGTTATAGACATGTTTGAAATATGTCAGTCTAGTTGTGCTCTGTGTTTATTTATGTTTGATGTAGTGCTCCTACGACTAGTCGGATAGCCGTAAACGGTTAGAACTGGACAGTTAAACGGTTCGAATTCAAAGGTACAGTTATTCGGAGATGTCCCCCATTACATAGAGTTGTGTCTGGTTATATTCCTCTTTATAACAAAACTTGCCCGTTGTCATTTTGTATTTGATGTTTGAAAATCTTAGAATGTAACAGTCGTCCTACGATGTCGACTGCTAAACAATGATACTATTAATAGCACTCGTCGTAGTCATATGGACCTTGTTCTGGCTTTAGCTAATGTTAATCCAATCTAAATACTTCTCGGCATTTCTAACTATATTCTACCTTGTTTATTATTTACTTAAAAACGTAACCACCATTCAAAATATAATCATAAAGGATAGAAAATTACATTATATACTAGATTCGTTACTACGACATTCAACATGTTGCATATCTCGTAATTTCTCACAAGAATTCTACTTTGGTTTTTAGTTAAATTAACCAATCATAAAAAGGAATTAATTCTTTATTGTTCAATCAATAGACGTCTTCCAATTTACTTTATTCTATTCTTAGTAACATTGTGTAATCGTAATATTATCGCCATCTGTCACGTACGAAGGGAAACAGAATAGTGCCTTTTGTTTTGTATATTATCGTAGATATATATTGAATTAAAAAATGTTTCAAATGAACCAAGTTAACCAGGTAAATAAATAACTACGGCCTTAGATAGTTTAGATTTTCATTAAAGAATTCCTGAAATGTTTGCGCGTGTAATGCCTTTTACTTAGGCGAGTATAGCGTGCGCACGAGTAATGACTCGCACCTCCTGACAAGCTCTGTTTTATGTTTAAAATTGATACCATACGGTTAACGGTTACTAACCGGTTAATAGCTACGGCTATTCGAATAACAAAAAGTCCTAACCGTAGGAGCACTAGTTTGATGTTTATAATACACTCTTCACCTTTTTGCAGTTGATAAGAATTGGAGATGGAATTTAAAGATATCACCAATAGAGATAAATGATTTAAAAAGTGAATCATTAAGACAGATTATTGCATTAGCTAATGACAGTGTTATGGTATTCAACATGCAGAATGATAAAAAGAGAAAATATGGGTGGGTTTAGAAATTATCTCTTTGAATAAAAATACTGTACTGCCACATCCCACATTCCCCGTGAACAGCACATAATCAGTGACTTAACTCTGTAATTGCTAGCTGGAGCTCACAGACTCCAGAGGAAATTTGTCTGATTTTGTGTGTATATATATTGGTTACATCCAAGTTTGCAATAAAATCATTCATTGGCTTTCACCTTGCTGAGCAGTGTCACTGTTACACGCAGATTGCTATTGGGTTATCTCATTTTCCTCAGACATAGAGCTGTGAAGAGTTAAATCCAAAGCTTTATATTCTACATCTGAGGTCAAATAAAATCTCCCTTTAACAGTTGTGGTTAATGTAGCCACTGTTACTGTAAGTTATATCAATTTCAGCTAAGCTTTGTATAATTAATATAAGATCGAGAACGTCTGTCAATGGTTGGCAACTTATAAAAATGTATAATAAAGTGATCAGTAATAAATCCAAAGGCTGTACTAAAGTATAAGAATTTTGTCAATGATATATTTATATTTTGTTGGCATTTAATTGTGAAAAATACTTTTCCAAAAATGCAGTTATGAGTGATGGATAATTTTAGATGAACCAAAAATGATGTAATCATATTATTTCTTCTATGTGATGTAAATTAATGTTAATTTTTGTTTATTTTGACAGATTTCTAGATCTTTGTGTGTCCTCTGCGGGTGATATACGCACAGCAATTGATAAGTTATGTCAGCTGAAACTGGAGTCAAATTTTATACATGTCAGTATTTCCCATAAATTGTTTGAAGAGAACTCTGGAACAGAGTCAGGTATGTGCAAGGAATAACTAAAATAATTTTTGATCTAATTTATTCTAGAATTATAGTACTACCCTGTGTATATGTACAACAGATTTCTGTATAAATAAATGGGTAAAATACAAAACTTAAGGAATACACTAATACAAAACTTAAGGAATGATTGAATGCTTGTTAAGAACGATAATCTATAGGGTACCAGTATTAATTATTTCTAAATCATTTCCCAAATCAAGGTACATGTACCAATCATCTTGGTAAATATGGCCATCTCAAAAAAATGGAATAAAGACACCAAATTATCATTTGTCATGATGATCTCAACGATAATTTTGTCAGTAGTACTGGTATTTGAAATATTTTTGTGCATATTTTTTTCAGCACTCTTAAAACTGGATATGAAAGAAGGGAAATGCATTACATCACAACCCACTAAAGGTAGGGTAAACAGTTCAATGGCCACAGGTTTCAATTATAATATTTTGTATTAGATATATATGTGCTGATCAGCATTTGCAAACATTCTTTATCTTCAAACGGACAATTTTAAAAGAAAAACAAGACTTGTGCTTATTCTAGTATTAAACAAAATGATAAATGTTTTTTTTTTGGGGGGGGGGGGGTTGGATGGCCGAATGGTTAGCACGCGCTGTATCATAAGGCCTGTCATTGAGTCAACTGGCGTGGTTTCGAATCCCCGGTTGTACGTGACAAGGAGTAGGGTCACCTGTCCAACCTCGTGGGTATTCTCCGGGTCCTCCGGTTTCCTCCCACTGCTAAAGACCCCTACGCACAAGCGAATTATTGAAAAAAAAATTAAACCATATGTTAGTCAAGTGGACGTTAAACCCCATTTCTCTCTCTCTCACAATAAATGTATTGACATGATTGACTGATCAGCACTTGAATATATCCGGATATTGTTATTAGTATGTGGTACCTGGGTAAATTATCTCTTTATTGTTGTCGCATCATTTAACTTCATAGAATATTTTCCTAATAGAAACAAATGTCAACTAAATGTCATCTTCACAATTTTCTATAGTTACTCACAAACATGTAAAAATTCTTCACATCTCGAAGAAACATCCTTTCATCACTACTGCTCTTTGCAATGTTGAGCTAATGAAGTAATTCCAGAAAGCTGAGATGTCCCATCATGTCAAGATGCGACAGTTTTTGGAGTCCAGAAATCTGAAGTTATATATAAATATCCAGGTTACACTAGTCATGATTGACTGATGAGATGACCAGCAGACTGAACTTACCATGCTTTAAAATTGATAGCGATAGGGGTTATTTATTTTTAAGATTAGTTTAAGCTCAAGTACAATAAAGATTAGTTTAAGCTTCAGTACAATAACTGTATTGCTCATTATTGAGAAGATCTCACGAAGAAAATTCTACACAAGATATAAAAGATGAATATGTTTGTTTTGGTGGAAAGAAAATAGAAATGGCACAATGACAGGTAAGATTGTGTCTCTAAAACTTTGATGATTTCAAGAAGAGAATGCCAAGCAATGATGATTCATCTAGAAGGAAGGAAAACATATCGTCCAGAGGAAGTGTCCTGCCTTTACTACAAGCTAGAGTCCTTTCATTTCTAGAGGATGGTTTATCAGCTGTGTGTTCTTCCATTCCAGTCAAGTAATGTTTGTAACAAGGCTTCTTTCATTCCAATAATTTGTCACAAACAAGATTATTTCCATTCCAACAAGTCGTTAACACCAAGAGTCTGTCCATTCCTAGAAAAGAGTCCTTCCGTTCCTAGAAGAGGTTACAAGAGTCATTCTATTCCTAGAAGTTGTTACAGCAAGAGTCCTTCCATTCCTAGAAGTTGTTACAGCAAGAGTCCTTCCATTCCTAGAAGTTGTTACAGCAAGAGTCCTTCCATTCCTAGAAGTTGTTACACTACAGCAAGAGTCCTTCCATTCCTAAAAGTTTTTACAACAAGAGTTATGCATTCCTAGAAGTTGTTACACAATTTGTGTTACATGCAAGAAACTTACCATTCCTAAAAGATGTTTAAAACAAGTGGAGCTTTTCCTTTCGTATACCATATGCGATGCGGTAAATTGTCCAAATAAGGATATTTCTCTTCTTTGTATTCTGTTTGAAAAGCAAGATTCCAGTGTCGTGTTTTGCAAGCAAATTCCTAGATGTTGTATAAGCAAGAAGAACTGTTCCATCCTTAATGTTGTTTCAAAGCAAGAAGACTTCTAGTTGTGGATCTGCAAGCAAAATGTGCCTTTCCATCCCTAGATGTTGTTTTCAAAGCAAGAATAATCCTTCCATCCCTAGATGATGTTTTATGTTCCTGATGAATGATTCCATGCCTAGATGGTCTTTCACAAGCGAGAAGTGTCTTTCCATCTATAGATGTTTTACAAACAAGAGGTGTTATATTCCTAGATGCTGTTTTACATGCAAGAAGAGTCTTTCAAATCATACCTGTTGATTTATCAGCTTGGAGTTTTTCAAGCCATTGATCTTTCATTATTCTAGGGTGGTGTTTACAATCAAAGGTATTCTATTTCTAGATGATATTTTACCAGCAGAATTCCTGCATTAAGGATAGTAGATTGTATTTTACAACCAGGGTTCTCCCATTATGGATGGTGCTTTTTCAGTTTCTAGATGGTATTTTGCAACATGTTGATCCGTGGTGGAGGATTTGTGAATACTTATTTTAAGCATTCTAAGGTTGTATGGTGTGACTAGCAATCTTCGATTTTTTTGGCAATAACTCTTGAATGTGGACATGATATGCTAATGTTATTTGATAACAGAGTTAGCAACCAGCAGCTTTTGTGATTGATATTGAGATGTGGAAGCTCATAAAATTGAGCGCTAGTTCGAAATTTTAGAAAGTAGATAATCAATTGTGTGTAGGAGAAACTGTATGAGCTCTTTATTTTAGTTGCTGCAATGTGTTCCTTTAGAAAAAGTGGTGGACTCATTAGAATTCTGTGCTGTGGTGATATAAGAATATAATGAATATCATTGGATAAGGATTTGAGATAACAGATAAATTGTAAGAAGATTGCTTTCACCCAAGGATCATGATGAAAAAAATGAGAGTCCAAACATTTCAGTCAAATAGATAATTTTATGACCAATGTGAAGACAAGAGACTGATGACAAAGATTAATTTGAGATCATCTTTAACAAACAAAGAAACCAAGCTGGGCATTTGTTACTGAGAAACAGAAGTCTACCAAGATGATTTGCTGTTCTGGTTTATCAAGTCTGTCCATGCAGAAGATCGTCATCAAAGAAGATCTAATGATACTATATATTTATGATCTTTTTTCTTAACAGGCACCGAAAAACAGAGACAGATAAATATCTCCAACGGCCCAAAAGGAATGTCAAAAATAATGCTAGATGCTGTCTTCTCAAAAATTGCTAAAATAGAAATAAGTGAAAATACTCAGAATGACACAAGGTAGGTATGGAAATCTTGGTAAATATCCATCTCTCTGTATTGTTCTTTAGATCTGCTTATTAACTTTGTGAATATTCTGTGACACAAACAAATTTGCGCAAAGAAAATACAAAATGGATCTCGATCTAGTAAACAACTTATATGGCTTACATCTTACATAATTACAATTAATACAAATCGAATCCACCGAAACATTGTTGACAATGGTACATCTTACATTATGTGAAGGCTGAAGTCAAATGTATTCTAACACCACTATATATATATACAAGCTGTACTAAATATACTATTCAAAAAAAGTAGGGGATATTTGATTTTTAAGTGTTATTAAAGTCACCTTATGAAACTGACGAAGAAACAAATGACAAAATGAAATGAAGTTCACATTCATCGATTTATTCCAAATGATCGTTAGACTAAGTAAGGCAAAGACTGACCATTATAAGGGTAAAATGATACCGGGGGTCAAACAGCAAAGTTACCACAGCATCACAACCAAGTCAGTACCTGGTAAATCCTCCTCTGTTTGCCAAACAAGCATTGATCCGACGTGGCATACTCCTAATGAGACGTCTAAGGTCATTTTGGTCCAGATTGTCCCATTCCTGTTGCAACGCAGCAGCAAGTTCTTGGACATTGGCAGGACGTTGTTGACGTTGACGTAACCTCTGTCCAAGCATGTCCCAGACATGCTCGATGGGGGAGAGGTCGGGACTCAGTGCTGGCCAAGGTAATGTGGTGATGTTCTGTTGTTGGAGGTAACCTGTAACGATCCTGGCCCTGTGACATCTTGCGTTGTCATCCTGGAAGATGAAACGGCAGCCATGACGTCGTGCGAACGGCACAACATGGACTGCCAAGATGTTGTCCCGGTAGTACTGGCCTGTAACACGCCCTGCAACAACATGTAAAGCCGTTCTTCCAGCAACAGTGATGCCTCCCCACACCATAACAGAACCACCCCCAAATCGATCATGTCTGATGACGTTAACGTCTTGGAAGCGCTCGTTTCGACGACGCCACACCCTCCTACGTCTGTCCAAAAAATCAACAGTGAACCTTGACTCATCTGAAAACATCACATTGCTCCAGCGTCGATTATCCCAGTGTTGACGATCCCTACACCAACGACGTCTTGCCTGAATGTGATGATCTCTCAAACAAGGGATCACGCGAGGACGTCGGGCGCGAAGGTGACGCCTATGCAGTCGATTCCGAATCGTCTGGCCACTCACTCTCACACCAGTGTCTGTTTGAAGACGAGCGCTGATCTGATTTGCTGTGATGACACGATTTCTCAAGGCCAAGGTACGGATAAATCGATCCTGGGCTTGAGTTGTCGCCCTTGGTCGACCTGAGCGTGGTCTGTCCTGTACAGATTGTGTATCACGGTATCTGGACCATAGCCTGCTTATGACAGACTGAGAAACATTCATCGTCCGCGCCACAACCGCCTGTGTTGTGCCGATCTGTAGCATGCCAAGGGCACGTAACCTTTCATTTTGGGTAAGCCGACGCATATCAAAATTTGTTTTCTGGTCACTAAAACAATTAAACTGATGTTTCCACCCTGGAATTCAATGCCACAATGACTGTAACATTCAAAGTCAGAGTCGTGCAAATCTTGGGTTGGACCCCCATGATGATCCCAAGCATCACCTGCATTCCATGCGGTAGCTATTGGTGCGTTTGGGCGTCACATGTAACTGGAAATGTTTCTTCTGTTAGGTTCTATAGTGACTTTTTTCGTAGTCATTTGCATATTTTAGTATTATGCCCCCAAAATCAAATATCCCCTACTTTTTTTGAATAGTATACTATACTTTCTAAATATCAGCACATTATCTGTGTCTTTGAAGATGGGGGCTAGTTTCCGTTTTTAGTGAAGCGGGGAAATACAGACATTTATTTCTGGCAAGATACATGTTTATTTTACAAGACACATAAGCGGATGAAAATTGAAAATTTATTACCCAAAACATAATTACATTTATCCATAACAACCCGTTGATTGTTGATGTGAAAATCTGGTAAAAGGTAAACAGTTCTTAAAGGAAGGGGTTTACCAAGAGAAGTGCACTACTCTTACAGTAATACTGCTTAATTGACCTAAAGAGGTGTTATCAGTTGGTTCATTTCATTTCTGACTTTATTGGTCAAAAGTTGAAGTTTTGAAAATTTTAACCTTAATCCAAGAAAAAGTCGAAGCCGAGTGTAAGATGAGCAATGCTTACACCATTGTGATATATTTATTAATTAATTCGAAAATATCAGTTATTAGATGTAGACATACAGTATTTCAGTAATATTACAAATTTGTATCCTTCATTCATAAATAAGATAAAGGATTAATTACCTTTGGTTGAATTTGATACTCCAGGTAAGTATTTCTGATCTGGCTAGCAATCAAAAGCTTTACCACTTATTTAACTCGAGTAATCTTGTTGCAGTAACCTTATCTTCATTGATATTAGAAACATTCATCTCGGCATGTCTTTTTAGTTGTTCATCGTCTTATGAAGAATTGGTGATTTGTTTTAATCTAAGAAGGGTCATCTAAACCTGTTATTCTTTATTAAGGAAATGGTTATTTAATATATTTTTGGCAGCAGAAATACAGTGAAATAGGTCTATTTTAGTTTTCATTCTGCAACATATAGTTCTGGGTGTTCTGTTCAAATGACTTTATTTATAGATTCTGATATTTTGTATGTGTTTTTTTTCCACAAACGTGTGTTTACAATTTTTATGATGAGTGTTCATGTGCAGTCTTAAAATTTCATGTGCCAGTACATCAGGGTTCCACACAAACAGTACTTGAGCGATTTCTTGTCATATTTCTTTGTTTTTTTCTATTACTTGTGTCAGTAACTTCTATAAAACATTTCTATTCACGTTTCTTAGTTATGTGAAGTCCTGAAATGAGAAGTGGCATCAGGTGTTCTGTCATACACTTTTCTGTTCATAGGCTTAATGTTGCATGTTGATGAATGCATTGCAAAATGAATCTGATATACATTATGACCATATTGTGGCAGAAAATCTGCCCTAAAACAAAACAATTTTTTACCATACCTATTCTCCAATGCAATTTTAAGTTTTGAGTGAGAGTATATTTTACAAAATATATTATTTGGAATAATTACATATTTGGAATAATTACATATTCTTTGTTATTAAATGATAACAAAGTCTACGCTAATTGTAAACCAGATATTTTGAGTATTGCAATAAAGTGCATTATAAGATTGACTGTATCCTTGCAGCAAACCTACCCATTACTATGTATGCAAATTCTTTTTGGTTTGTTTATCCAGCCCGTCTTCATTAGCCCAGTTTAGGAGCAGAACAGTAGGACGTTAAACCCCATTTCATTTCATTTCATTTGTTTATCCAGTTATTTCTTTTACAGAAATATACTTTTTCATTCTGTCAGTTCCTAGAGATATCAAATAGACTATGCCTGCTCTTGAAACCTATTAAATTTTGAATAATATATTATATTTAGAGAAAATTATATTACAAGCAATTTCATCAGAAATATGTAGAAAATCTACCAGCAAGACAATATTGTATGTTACTTGTTGTATACGTTTAATTTGACTTTAATGCCTGTTTGCTTGCAACTCAAATTTCCTAATTTGGCACCAATCTTGCAACAGAGACAGTACACTTACATGTAAATTAATGCAGGAACAAAACCACATCTTAACTATATATAAATATTTACAGATGCATACAATAATCATTATTCATCTTAGCAGTTTTAAACTCAATTGATGGATTATTAAACTATTGGTATCATTGTATTTAGAATTATGATGTCTTATGAACAAAACAAAAAAACACAACACAATTTATGTGGAAAATAATCACCGGTTTATACATATATGACAGTGTTTCGACAAAAGTTCTATTGATTTTTTGGGTTTTTTGTTTTTAAATTAAATTTGTTAGGTTGTTTTTTGGGGTTTTTTTTTTATTCCTACAATTACTTCAAGTGAAATGTTTTTGAAACTATCCTACTTTCTATTAACTTTCAGCAACTGTATTTTAATACTAGTATCTATTTTTTCAGTTCGGCAACAGTTCTATGTGCCAATCCAGAAAGTGTTGGCGCCGTTTTGAGGTTTTACCAGTCTGTTGTAATTGGTGGACGTAGATTGCAGTTACGAAGTGAAGTGACCCCACCTCCAAAACCAAAAGGTAAAAATTATTTGCAAACAAAATAAAAAAGTAGTATCATTTTTCATTCTGAAGATTAATTTTACGTCTAATAATACAATTAATACAAATTTAATAGTTTTTAGAATCTATGGACTTGAAATCTTACCAAAACTGCAGGTTTTATCCTTTTCTAATTCTTTAAAATCTCCAGGAACTGAACTATTTCATTTACTTTTTGAGATAAAATAATTATGAAAATTCATGCTTTTTGACTATTAGATTCTCCAAAGGAAGAAAGAAGGTCCCCAGCTATTACAAATAAGTCACAAAATAACCAGTCTAACAAAAAGTCAAATCAAAATGACAGAAATTCCAGACAGAATGATAATCGTAGACGATCAGGCAATAATGATAAAAGACGATCAGCAAGCCGAAGTAATGATGGACTACTAGGACCGATACCAGGAGCTGCTGATGCTGCATTTAGTACCGCTATGGGATCTGGTCGAGGTTTTGAAAATGTTGACTTGGAACAAAGGCATCGGGCTATATTAGCTAGAGAGGAGGCAGAGAGACGTCATGAATCTATGAAGAGATTAGGCTTGAATATAGGAGTAGAAAGTTTTATGGAAAGACCATCCCTTCTTACTGCTCATGAAATGCTTGCACAGGAAACTGAACGCATGCAGATGGAATTAAGTCAGCAACAGAGAGCAGCAGATATCTTTGATAATAATTATAGAGCAGATTTACTCAGACAAGGTGAGTCAATAATACTAGATATATGTTTATTGCCGAATTGTAATTCCTATCTATATTGGAGGCTCAATATTATCATTACCAGACATGAATAGCATTGTTGATGACCTCCTTAAAGACACAATCAACTACTATATAAAAAATTTGGAGAATCCAATTACTCATTGTAAATAGGAAAAATAAAGTTGAAAAATCAATTGATTTTAATTAAGTATTATGTAGATTCTACTGCACAGTATGAGTTACATTTCGTTATAAAACTTTGTCAGATTTACTGATAAAGTTACAATTATTGATCAACCTTTTGCTGATGTTCCGCACTGGATCTGGTGATCAAGTTCATTTAGAATGTTGTCATTTCCATAGCTCAAGCCTACACACCAATTCTTGGCCATCAAATACCAGTACTCATTTACCCGCTAAATATCCTTAAAAATTTATGCTCCATGACTTCCACTTCACACTATCTGACACAAATATAGCTGGGCATTCTTATCGTACAACACAGGAATGTGACAGCATTTTTGTAATCAACCTTCTAATTATCTGCTTAACAATTTGGCTTGTTCAATGTTTATAAGCAATGCAGTTTCTTAGGAAATGAAATTGTGTTAAACTTCCTACTTTTCAACACTGACAGGGCTAGTGAAGATGGATATACATCATACACTGTGCTACTCTATATCAAATTCCAGCTGTCAAGGCTTCTTTTATGTGCACGCTAACATGTCAACAGCACCTCTGTTTTTGGTTCTCCGATCACTAGAAAATCTTGGAGAACTTGTAGTGCTTTCTCAGCCAACACCAGAATCAACCTTCTATTTGGTGGGCCAGCACCTTACTCACTGAGCCACCGTGGCTCCAGGCTTCATAGGAGACGAAGACTCTTGAAACTAGTAATAAATGTTCAGCTGCATGTAAAAATGTTAATGTATGTATTATATCTTGAATTTCACAGAAGAAATGCAGAGACTACAGAGAGATATAGAACTTAAACAACAGGCTGAATTATTAGAAAGACAAGAACGTCAACGTCAACAAGATGAACTGTTGTTAAGATTACAGCAGGAGCAGCAACTCAAAGAACAGCGAATGGAGCAAGAACGATTAGAGCGGGAAAAACAAGAAAGATTAGAATTAGAGAGGAAAGAAAGAGAACGATTAGAGAGAGAAAGACTTGAACGTGAGAGAGAAAGACTTGAACGTGAGAGAGAAAGACTTGAACGTGAGAGGTTAGAAAAGGAGAGACAAGAAAAGGAGCATAAAGAAAGACAACAGAGGCAGGAAAGAGAACGTCTGGAACGTGAGAGAAAAGAAAGAGAACATCAAGAAGAATTAAAGAGACAAGAGGAGATGAGGAGAAAAGAAAGAGACTCAAAGATGAGACAAGAACAGCAACGAGATAGTAGGTTCCAAGATATGAACAGACGGCAAGATATGGTCAGACAATCAAATAACCAATGGCAACATAACTTACATCTACAAAATGAACAGGAACAGTTTGAAAAGGTTAGTATACTTTGTTTTTATATAATCACATTTTTGGGAAATGTTATCTATCCTATTGAAAGGATATTCTCCTTCTGAAATACATATTGTCTGTCTATCCTGTTGATGTTTAACGATTTTTGGTAATAACTTCCAGAGTTATTCCCAAATTGTTACAAATCTTGTTAGCACCTTAAAGGTTTTAATTGTGATTGGATCTTTTTAAAAATTGTATGGGTTGTTAGCTGATATTGGTTTAGACGGTTTGGCTGCTGGTGGGTGTATGATTCATTGCCTGGCAACCTGTTGATGTGATTTGAGAAAACAGATTGCTTATTGTTTAATCTGTTCAATGTTAACACTATTTAATACAAAACAGTCTGCTCTTTTTAATGCATGGTTCTTAAGTTGGCTGCATTCCTGGACTTCACTGACTGAATTGTAGCATCTATTTGTATTTATCTTGCACATTTCAAAGAAAGTAGTGACCATGCCGTCAGTCAGTCACACATTTTGGACACAATAACTTTGTTTCTAATTGAACTAGAATGTTCAAACTTGGATGGAGTTCATTAAGTTAATGTCTTGATTGGGTTCGTTGATTAGCAATTTTCACTAAGGGTAGGTAAAGATAATCAATTTGATTGGTCGATGCTTTGGGACACCATAACTTTAAATAGATAAATATGCAATCAATTAATGAGCGCCATCTATTTATATTGGGATTGAGGTGGATGTTACAGGCCTCACTGGTGGCTTGTTTTTCATTAAGATTAACCTTTTATGCCCTATCATAAATTTTTATAAAGACTGTATACTACACATAATATTTACTTGCAGTGATCAAAACAAGACTGATAATTTCATAAATGTTTTCAAATAGAGAGATTTTGGAGTTTTAAAATTGAAACTGATGCATCCAAAGTCTTTACAAAGAAAGACCAAAAACTTCAGAATTGACCTGTACACTGTTTCTTAAGTTGTCATAACGATAATTTCGGTAGAATTCTGATATGTGAGAAACTTAACTATATAGATGATATTTTGTAGGAAATTGGTATGGGAAATAGACAAGATTTTGGTCGGAGTAAGTCTAATTTATTTGAGTATGAACGACCAGTGGTAGAAGAGAAGAAGAACTTGCATCAGAAGATAAGAGAACAGTGGGAGAGACAGGTAGCAGAAGCAAGTAATAAAGGAAATTCTGTTTCTAGTAATACACAGGTAATCTATTAATAACATTCTATTCATGTAATACAGTGGTGTGGCAAGAAGGTTATAGTTGGGAAAGGGGAGAGGTTTTAGGATCCTAAGAAATCAAATATTTAACATCCTTTAGTCACTAAACACCTGAAAATATTTGAGATTTTGATTTGAACCTGTTCAGCTGTTGAAATAATTCAATCCTCAGCTGTCAGTAGAGACACTTCCTAAGAAACCAAATATTTATCATTCTAAGGTCATTCATTCGACACCATTGAACAAAGAAGTAATATACAAGTTTAAATTTCAGATAATTCCTCAATTCTTATGTTATCATTAACATTGACCGTACTATATTACCGGTAGTTTATTGTTTGGGTATGTTAGTCAGAAATGCTAATTTACTTGTGGAACTACTCACACTTTGTTACAGAATAGACTTGTGTATTTAAGTTAATGTGACCAGTGGTAATGCATATTAAACGTATTAGTTCTTGCTTGCATTCATTTCATGAAAATATGTTATTTTAGCAGCATGATATGAGAAGAAATGACAGTAATATTAGTAGCTGGAATAGAGGAGACAATACTGGTAACGGTAATTCTGGCTATGGTGCTGAATGGAATAGTCCTAGTCATACTGCTGGCAGTCAATCTGGTTTTGGAAATAATTGGTGAGTTTCATAAAATAAATTTGATCATGGTACGTTTTATAGGGGCACTAAAAAAAGTATGCTGTAAATTGACATGATCGATCGACAAGACAAATGTATCATTTCATGAATTCATTACCAGTATTTGTTATATTTCGTAGTGCAATATACTTTTTTAATTGTCCCCGGCCTTTCGAAGAAAGCAGGGAACTATTAAAATGGGTTCATCCGACTGTCTGTCTGACCGTCACACTTTTTGGGACACAATAACTCTCTTTCTCATTGAGCTAGAATGTTCAAACTTGGTGTAGGTGTTTTTTAGGTCAATGCCTTGATGGAGTTCGAAGATGAGCATTTTCTGCTTAGGGTAAGCAGAGATAAGCAATTTGATTGGTTGATGCTTTGGGACATGATAACTTTAGTTCTAATTAAGTGAGAGTGAGGCCACTTGGTGTATAGCTTTATTACATCACTACCTTGACTAAGTTTGATAATGAACATTTTCTGCTATGGGTAAGCAGAGCGATAAGCAATTTGATTGGTCCAGACTTTGGAACACAATAACTCTCCTAAGTGAGGTAGAATGTTCAAACTTGGTGTAGGCTTTCATTAGCCTAAGCTTTTTGCTTAGGCTAAGGAGCGATAAGCAATTTCATTGGTCAAGACTTTGGAAGATAACAACTCTGCTTTTAATTGAGGTAGAATGTTTAAACTTGATGTAGATGTTCATTAGGTGAATGTCTTGACCTAGTTCAATGATTAACATTTTCTTGTAAAGCTAAGCAGAGCTAGGCTTTGGGACAAGATAACTTTGATTTTAACTGATGGAGAGTGATGAAACTTAGTGTATAGTTTGATATTGCTTGATACTTTTGAAAAAAATAATGTGCGATTAAATAATATCATAAATATGTGTCATCTATTTATTTTGGAATTTCGGCAGGGGACATCAGCCTCACTGTTGGCTTGTTTAATTTTGTTTGTGAAAATATGTAATGCTTCTACTTTCATTAATTTCATGATGGTAATTAAGTAGTTGATTTGTCAGGGCACCTGCAGTGTTGTTATAGCGAAATCTTGCATCCAATTAAACAAATCAAATCAACCCGGGAGCTGTCTTAACTGACTTTTAAAACCTAAAATATCAGGTAGTCTATAGTACAAAACTACAATCTAATTTAAAACACAGATCCTATTCCATTCCACTAAATAGGAACTTCTCCTCAGTTACTTTCACTTTCCCATTAAATGGTTAACTTATTGTTTTATAATTTTCTTCTTTAAAGGTCTTCACAGAAGGCACCTGGTTTATTGGGTGCTGCACCAGATCAGCCCAATATGTCTCCGTACACTTCTGCAGTACGTGAATATGATCATCAGCCAGTTAAGAGAAGTAATCCTTGGGGTGAAGAAACACCTAATTATGGTGAAAAACGCTTACGAGATCATGAAGATAGATATGGTTCCGTTCCAAGAGATTCACCAAACTTTAACTACAGACAAGGATCTCAAGATCAATGGCGACAGGCTAATACAAGAGAACCAGAGAGAAACTTGAATCAGTCTTGGGGTGCTGATCCGTACGATAGACATCGACAGGGTCAACAACAATATAATACCAACTGGTAGACTGCTTGACTCAAAATCTATTGAAGAACTATTCATATTGTAATAGAAACTGTTGTTTTTGTGAAATTTCTTTTCCGTATAATGTTCATTTTAGTCTCATAGAGAGAGAGAATTACAACCAACATTTTCATTCCATTTCAAGAAATATTTATACCAAAGTATCAGATTGTTGACTCCATTATTGAGTTGACATTATAGTTTTCAACGTGCAGTACCAGATATGGAAAATTGTGTCAGCCATTGCTGAAATGGATTATGTAACTTAGATTTATTTAGTCTCTGAGAAAACTGAAGTTACTAGAATGATTTTAAAATATTACAAAGTTTTTAAATGTTATACACCATTACATTGTTTACCATATATATATATATAGAGAGAGAGAGAGAGAGAGAGAAATAATTGTGACATACTTTAAAAAATTTCCCCATGAATGAATGTTTTTTGTCCCCCGCCTTTCGAAGAAAGCAGGGGACTATTAAAATGGGTTCGTCCGTCTGTCTGTCCGTCTGTCTGTCTGTCTGTCCGTCACACTTTTTGGGACACAATAACTCTCTTCCTAATTGAGCTAGAATGTTCAAACTTGGTGTATGTGTTTATTAGGTCAATGCCTTGATGGAGTTCGAAGATGAGCATTTTCCGCTTAGGGTAAGCAGAGATAAGCAATTTGATTGGTTGATGCTTTGGGACACGATAACTCTCTTCCTAATTGGGCTAGAATGTTCAAACTTGGTGTATGTGTTGATTAGGTCAATGCCTTGATGGAGTTCGAAGATGAGCATTTTCCGCTTAGGGTAAGCAGAGATAAGCAATTTGATTGGTTGATGCTTTGGGACACGATAACTTTTAATTGAGCTAGAATGTTCAAACTTGGTGTATGTGTTTATTAGGTCAATGCCTTGATGGAGTTCGAAGATGAGCATTTTCCGCTTAGGGTAAGCAGAGATAAGCAATTAGATTGGTTGATACTTTGGGGCACGATAACTCTCTTCCTAATTGAGCTAGAATGTTCAAACTTGGTGTATGTGTTGATTAGGTCAATGCCTTGATGGAGTTCGAAGATGAGCATTTTCCGCTTAGGGTAAGCAGAGATAAGCAATTTGATTGGTTGATGCTTTGGGACACGATAACTTTAGTTCTAATTAAGTGAGATTGATGAAACTTGGTGTATAGATTTATTATATGAATACCTTAACTAAGTTCGATAATGAACATTTTTTGCTGAGGGTAAGCAGAGTGATAAGCAATTTGATTGGTAGAAACTTTGGAACACAATAACTCTCCTTCTAATTGAGGTAGAATGTTCAAACTTGGCATAGGTGTCTATTAGGTGAATGTTTAAACTTGATGTATATGTAGATGTTCATTAGGTGAATGTCTTGACTGAGTTCAATAATTAACATTTCGAGCTGAAGCTAAGCAGAGCTAATCGATTTCATTTGTCGATGGTTTGGGACAAGATAATCTTGATTCTATCTGATAGAGAGTGATGAAACTTAGTGAAAAAAATAAATGTGCGATTAATTAATATGTGTCATCTATTTATTTTGCAATTTCGGCGGGGGACATCAGCCTCACTGTTGGCTTGTTTTTTTATCAATTGTCTGTTTATAAATTAGGAGAAATCATAAAAACTTGATTTTGACATGCTATATATGTATCTGTTCCTCATCTAATTGTCATGTTTGTATCTTTTACAAAAAGAATAAATAATTCTGGAGTTGTAATTCTATTCTCTGTCCCAGAAACTTTGGTTAGGTGAAGAGCATCTTGGCATAACTGTAATCATAACATTATTATGTTCCACAGAGCTTGATTGCTGATGGATGGGTCTCTAAACTTAAGAATCTAAAGTGCACTTTTGATAGGCGTCTTGTATCAACAAACATATGTTACATCATCGTCTTATTCAAATTACTATTTTGTTTCATCTATATATTTTTTAGCTTTATATGCCCACATTGTAAAATGATCTTACAGTCTTCTTTAAGCGACATTAATTATCAATTGACACACGTAATAACACAAAAACATAATGTGGATTATAATTACACTTTTAATTAAAGTGACACTTCATTGAGGGTTCTCTAAATATTATCAAGCAAAAGATGGATATATTAATGTTTACAAAAAAACAAATAACAACTAATTAACCAATAATCCATAGGGATTCAGATGATAGGTAACAAATATTTTAAGATCATAACATCTTAATGTGTTCTGTTTAGGTGTACATCAAAACTTCTTGTTTAACGCACTTTAGGAAATACACTTGATATTACAAAACAAAATAGATTAGATAATATTAAGATATTATCAACATAATTATATTAAACAACGTATATTTTGATCACTGTTCATTGTCCCCAATTTGGGCTAGTTTCCTAAACTTTGCAATACCCATGACCAATAAGGACACTATTTTTAAAACCGAGCCTTTATCAGCCTTTATCGATAATGATCATTTTCTGCTCAGGGTAAGCAGAGTTATAAGCAATTTGATTGGCCAAGACTTTGGAACACAATAACTCCCCTTCTAATTGAGCTACAATGTCCAAACTTGGTGTATGTGTTGATTAGGTCAATGCCTTGATGGAGTTCGAAGATGAGCATTTTCCGCTTAGGGTAAGCAGAGATAAGCAATTTGATTGGTTGATGCTTTGGGACACGATAACTTTAGTTCTAATTAAGTGAGATTGATGAAACTTGGTGTATAGATTTATTATATGAATACCTTAACTAAGTTCGATAATGAACATTTTTTGCTGAGGGTAAGCAGAGTGATAAGCAATTTGATTGGTAGAAACTTTGGAACACAATAACTCTCCTTCTAATTGAGGTAGAATGTTCAAACTTGGCATAGGTGTCTATTAGGTGAATGTTTAAACTTGATGTATATGTAGATGTTCATTAGGTGAATGTCTTGACTGAGTTCAATAATTAACATTTCGAGCTGAAGCTAAGCAGAGCTAATCGATTTCATTTGTCGATGGTTTGGGACAAGATAATCTTGATTCTATCTGATAGAGAGTGATGAAACTTAGTGAAAAAAATAAATGTGCGATTAATTAATATGTGTCATCTATTTATTTTGCAATTTCGGCGGGGGACATCAGCCTCACTGTTGGCTTGTTTTTTTATCAATTGTCTGTTTATAAATTAGGAGAAATCATAAAAACTTGATTTTGACATGCTATATATGTATCTGTTCCTCATCTAATTGTCATGTTTGTATCTTTTACAAAAAGAATAAATAATTCTGGAGTTGTAATTCTATTCTCTGTCCCAGAAACTTTGGTTAGGTGAAGAGCATTTTGGCATAACTGTAATCATAACATTATTATGTTCCACAGAGCTTGATTGCTGATGGATGGGTCTCTAAACTTAAGAATCTAAAGTGCACTTTTGATAGGCGTCTTGTATCAACAAACATATGTTACATCATCGTCTTATTCAAATTACTATTTTGTTTCATCTATATATTTTTTAGCTTTATATGCCCACATTGTAAAATGATCTTACAGTCTTCTTTAAGCGACATTAATTATCAATTGACACACGTAATAACACAAAAACATAATGTGGATTATAATTACACTTTTAATTAAAGTGACACTTCATTGAGGGTTCTCTAAATATTATCAAGCAAAAGATGGATATATTAATGTTTACAAAAAAACAAATAACAACTAATTAACCAATAATCCATAGGGATTCAGATGATAGGTAACAAATATTTTAAGATCATAACATCTTAATGTGTTCTGTTTAGGTGTACATCAAAACTTCTTGTTTAACGCACTTTAGGAAATACACTTGATATTACAAAACAAAATAGATTAGATAATATTAAGATATTATCAACATAATTATATTAAACAACGTATATTTTGATCACTGTTCATTGTCCCCAATTTGGGCTAGTTTCCTAAACTTTGCAATACCCATGACCAATAAGGACACTATTTTTAAAACCGAGCCTTTATCAGCCTTTATCGATAATGATCATTTTCTGCTCAGGGTAAGCAGAGTTATAAGCAATTTGATTGGCCAAGACTTTGGAACACAATAACTCCCCTTCTAATTGAGCTACAATGTCCAAACTTGGTGTATGTGTTTATTAGGTCAATGCCTTGACGGAGTTGGAAGATGAGCATTTTCTGCTTAGGGTAAGCAGAGATAAACAATTTGATTTGTTGATGCTTTGGAACACGATAACATTAGTTCTAATTAAGTGAGAGTGAGGCCACTTGCTGTATAGCTTTATGACATCAATACCTTGACTAAATTCGATAATTAACATTTTCTGCTGAGGGTATGCAGGGCGATAAGCGATTTGATTGGTCGAGACTTTGGAACGCAATAACTCTAATTGAGGTAGAATGTTCAAACTCGATGTAGGCATTCATCATGTGAATGCCTTGATGGAGTTCGATGATGAACATTGTCTGCTTACGTTAAGCAGAGATAAGCAATCAGATTGGTTGATGCTTTGGGGAAGGATAACTTTGGTTATTATGAAGTGAGAGCGATCGAACTCTGAATATAGATTCATTATATCATTACCTTGACTAAGTTCGATGGTGAGAATTTTCTGCTTAGGCTAAGGAGCGATAAGTAATTTGATTGGTCAAGGCTTTGGAACATAACTCTGCTTTTAATTAAGGTAGAATGTTTAAAAGTAGATGTAGATGTTCATTAAGTGAATGTCTTGACTAAGTTCAATAATTAACATTTCGAGTTGAAGCTAATCAATTTCATTGGTCGATGCTTTGAGACAAGATAATCTTAATTCTATCTGATAGAGAGTGATGAAACTTAGTGTATAGTTTGATTGCTCGATACTTTTGACAAAAAATAAATGTGGGATTAATTAATATGTGTCATCTATGTATTCGGGGATTTCGGCGGGGGGCATCAGCCTGACTGTTGGCTTGTTCAAATTTGATATGGAGCCATGTCAAAATAAATTCAGAGTAGCACAAAGATTTTAGCAAACCGATTAAACATTCTACAGATAAGACTCGGGGAGGAACTCTACCTCACTTAAATTAAGACCCACATTTTGCAAGAGATGGATAGAGTACAAGCTAAAATCAAAAGCGATTTTTCGTACAATCAGGGGCCATAATCCAGAAAGTTATGATCTGAAATGTGCAAATACCTAAAGGGACTGAGATCTTTGGGATATAAAGATATATTTTAAGTTTCATCACAATCGGATAAAAATTGTGACATCTACAGGGTCCACAACCTTTCTATACCAGATATTTGCAGTTTTGGTCCGATTTTCACGAAATTCAAATTTTACCAAAATTACGGTGTAACGGTGATATATTCGAACGTTGTTTTTTTTAAATCGGATAATAATTGTCACCTGTTGAGGGACCCCAAGCTAAAAACGTGATTTTTCGTACATTCAGGGGCCATAATTCAGGAAGTTGCGACCCGATATGCGCGTATATCGAAAGTAGCCAAGATATTTGGGTTATAAACATGCATTTCAAATTTCATCAATATCGGTCCAAAATTGTGACTTCTGGAGGGTCCAAAACCTTGATATACCAGATGTTTACACTATTTGCGTACGAGGGGCGGCCATTTTGTCCGCTAGAGGGACCACAATCTATAAATACGTTTTTTCGTACAATCAGGGGCCATAACTCAAGGAGTTGCGATCCGATAATATGCGCAAACACCTAAAGGAACCAAGATCTTTGGGTTATAAACATGGATTTCAAGTTTCATCAAAATCGGGTGAAAATTGTAGAGTGTCCACAAGATAAAAACGTGATATTTCGTACAATCAGGGGCCATAATCCATGAAGTTATGGTACGATACATGCCAATATCGAAAGGAACCGAGATCTTTGGGAGATAGACCTATATTTCAAGTTTCGTCCAACAAACAAAATTAAACTGTAGACGGACGTCGAGACGCACATGGGCGACGGCATAATACGTCCACATGAAACTGTGGGCGTATAACAATGCAAGTAACCCTTTAAAATGATGGTACATGAGTGAATCTTAATTTTAAAAATGCGATGTTTTTTTGCCAAACCCAATCAAGGTCTCAAAAAACCCAATGCCTCTTTATATTGGATATAGCGTTCCTTGCGCGTTATTGCGTCAGTAGAAATTTATTAAAAATAATGATTTAAGAAAAATGTTTACCTCTTTAATTTTCATAACTTATAAGACATGAGTTATTTTGGCCCAGCAAAATTAGTTTTGGGAAATAGACCTATGTTTCAGGTTTCGTCCACAAACAAATTGTGGACGGACGTCCAGACGGACGGCATAATACGTCCACATGAAAATGTGGGTCTATAACAATAAAAGTAACCCTTCAAAATGATGGTACATGAGTGAATCTTAATTTTAATAATGCTATGTTTTTTTGCCAAACCCGATGAAGGTCTCAAAAACTCCAATGCCTCTTTATATTGCACGTACGTACGTTATTGCGTCAGTAGAAATTTATTAAAAATAATATTTTAAGAAAAATGTTTACCTCTTTAATTTCCCTAACTTATAAGACATGAGTTATTTTGTCTCAGCAAAAATAGGTTTTGGGGTGTTCGTCCAATATAGCCTAGCCTACCTTTGGTGGCTGTCTGGCTGACTTTAATCCTCAACAACCAAAATTTTGAAAATTTAACCGCCGCAAAGGCGTTTTCTGCTATTCTAGCCCTTGAATTAAGCAACTTTGAAGTTATCCAATGGTTTTGTACCCGAAATCCTATTATGCCGACCTGAATTATTCCAACCATCCTGCAATCGATAATCGATGCCCGAAAAATGTCGCACATGGTACAGTAGTTGTGGCTCCAGATAAATTCAATTCAGTACAAATTCGTGGCATTCGGGCACTTTATTTTGCCAACCAGATGAAATAATTTTATTTTTTCACTTAAAGATACGTACATTATTGGAGATTCGATAACGTGATGGCAGTTCTCATTGTAATAGTTAAAAACTAGATAATGTAAAGGCAATTTGCTGAAAATTTCATTTAAATTGATCCACTATGAACCGAGAACTATATAAAGCGATTGAAAGTTCCGCCTATATAGCCTCGATCATCATTACTAAAGTCAGTACGATAAACAGCATAGTCTCGATTATCCATTTAATCGTTAAATCGTGAAGGAAAGGTATGCAGTAAATCGGCTCATAATCCATTAAAGATCGCACTCGCAGGCTAGCGATGCCATTGAGAGTTGATTATGGTCTGGATAGGTTTATTATAATGTCTAATTAATAATTTAGATAACATTTCAAACCTTAAGAAAGACCTGCAATAGACAGATTTAGCTCTTGTTGGTCTTTCTTAAGGCCTGAAATGTTATCTCAATTATTAATTAGACATTAATTAACCTATCCAGACCATGGCATAATCAACTCTCGGTGCCAACGCTAGCCTGCGATATTTTCTGGATTAGAATCCTATCTGCTGCTTAACGCTCATTAATATTTAAATTAAAAAATGGACAATTGAGACTATTTTTTGTATCTTCTCGACATTAGTAATGATGATCGAGGCTAGACCCCAAATTCAATCGCTAAAATTTCGGTTCAGAGTCAGAGTGGATCAATCGACTGGAATTTTCTGAAAAATTGCCTTTACATTATCTAATTTTTAACTATTATAGTGAGAACTGCCAGCTCTTTATCTAATCTTCTATAATGTATCTTTAACCCGTCTGCCCGAAAAGTCAGATTGCCCGAAAGTTAGGCGGGGGGGGGGGGCAGTGGACGTACACAAACACATGCACACACACACACCACTGCACCACCACCCTCTAGCTCTCTCTCTCTCTCTCTCTCTCTCTTCTTAGAGTGGAGGGAGGCCGGAACGGCCATAATATGGATAAGCAAACTAGAACAATATACTACTACAAAATTATTACACTTGGGTACCGTAGCGTTAATTTAAAAAGGAGGGGTACTAAATATTAAATAAGGCCTAATGTTTAAGTCCCAGATATTTTATTGAATAAAACTGTTTATTATTCGGGGCGAAAATTTTGTTTGCCTTTTTTAAATCTTGAGGTCGTTCTAATCAAGTATTTTTAATCGAATAAATCGAGTTTTAAAAAGAAGATGAAAGGTGTACTGTGAAGTCACTTTAAATCTATATATATATAAATATATATATCTATTTCCATTTTTGTCGATATCAACTTTGTCGGTCGGTGACCTTGTTTACAACTACGAGACCACGTGGTGTTTACGATCTTTCTCGACTAGACCTAGTTTGTTTCGACAGCGCATGCGTTTATTATTGTGCATTGAGTACAAGAAGACAGACGTTGGATAAATGCTTGTTTGCAACACAAATTCTGCACAAGTGAAAGTGTGTCAATAGAATGTGTTTTGGTTTTGCAAGCCGAAAAAGGCCCTGTGACATTAAAACGAAATTTTGGTGAGTTTATTCCTTGGAAAAAGTGCTCTGGGCCATGTAAACAACCGTCCGTTTGGTGAGCCTGGCCGACTCGTGCCCGGCTAGTTCATCAACATTGGCTTGATCGCATCTCACCACAGCACTGATAAGGCAAACACGCTTTGTAGAGTAATCTACATTGACATGATAAACTGTCAAGTACTGTGGTCATTGACTTTCTTGATTGTAGTGCATATATATTAAAGCATCAGAACAGAGATTTTACACAAATTATGACATCAATTCAATTCCAGCACTAGATTCAGACTAAGTAATTGACAGGGTTTCAATTTTATTACGTGGCATCATAGGCCTACTGTATTATTAATAGCCTATTAAGTATTAATATTGGTATTTTTCTTAGTTTAAAAATATGAAAACTTTCAATGTTTCCCCTTTAATAATAGTAGAGTACAGTCAAGGTATATAGTTTTAAGAAAAAAATAAAATATGGTAATGATAAGCATGATCGTGACATACGTATGGGTAATAATTTTGCTGATTGATTATGCATGGTATTTCCAATAAGTCTCATGGCTTGGTTATGAAATGTGTTTTAAAGGACAATATTGGTGTCAGTCATTATCACATACATGTATATGTGATAGAACTGGTTTAACATGTTCCAAATATAATTTTAACACAGAGATCATTGCTACTATAGATGAGTAATGAAGGCTTCTACAAAAGAAAGTGACGAACACAAAAGGAAAACACAAGTTATCCTTCTATATTATATAACTGACTGAGAAGTGACGAGCGATAACAGATACACGGGCGAATTTCTGCTCACAAACAATTCCTTCGAAGACCAAAAGTTGTTATATATGATGAGACTGAGGATATCTGACAATTCAAAACAGAAATTGACTGTCACTAGAAAAGAGAAAACGAAAGAATATAGAAAAAGTCTGTGCATTACCATGTTTTGATTAAGTATAGAATGAATAAAAACATGCGAATGTACAGACTATTTCTATTTGTCTACGTGTTCTCTTATCTAGTGACATTCATTTACTTTTCTGAATTCAGATATCCTCTCTCAGTCTGTCAGTCTTATATAACAATTTCTAATCTTCGTAAGAATTGTTAGGGAGCAGAAATTCGGCCGTGTAACTTGTTATCACTCGTCACTTCAGTCAGTTATATAGAAGGAAATGAAATGGGGTTTAACGTCCTACTGTTCTGCTCCGAACTGGGCTAATGAAGACGGGCATACGCCATACAGTGTGCTATGAGGGAAATTTTGCCTGGACAGCGGCACTATGGCCTACTCTTATATCGAATTCCAACTGTCAAGTGATCTTTTACGTGTACGCCAATATGTACACGGGACCTCAGTTTTTCATCCCATCCGAACGACTAGACAGCTGTCCTTGTCAGGCCCTCCGTCCTGCATCACTGACAAGGGGAAACCACGCCGGAAAATCTGGATGAACTTTCTCGGCCAATGCAGGGATCGAACACCCGACCTCCAGGCTAGCGAGCCAGCGTCTTACCCACTTAGCCACGTATAGAAGGATACATGTAACTAATGTGTTCGTCACTTCTGATTGTTGAAATCTTCATTACTCATCTATCGTAGCAATGATCTTTGTGTTAAAATGATATTTGTAATGTGTTTAATGAGTTCTATCACATATGTGATAATGACTGACACCAATATTGTCCTTTAAGTTCTTAACATCTTACTGGGCTGATTAAGACGGTCATACCCATGCAGTTTGTTAATTTGCACTATTTCCTGAATCACTGACAAGAGGAAACCACAGTGTAAATTCGAACAATTTTTTTTACTGGGATCTAACCGAGACCTCCTGGTTAGTGAGGTATGGTAGTGCGAGCTGGAAAATATTGACACTAGGCCGTATCGATAGATCCTGTACTGTGCCCATTGTCAATGACTTTATCTGTATTAATGCAGATTTCCAGATAAAACTACCTGGTAGGTACTGTTATAGATGGTGGTAAATTGTTATGATATTTATCTGGTATCGGTCTGAGAAACTTGGCCTGCAAGCCAAAGTTTAAGAATAGTTTTTTGTATGGAAGCATGTGTAATGTCAATTTTTTTAAATTAGGCCTACCCCAAATTTGATGAAAACTCAAATGAATGCAATGAAAATAGTTTATTTGCAGAATAAAATAATGATTTAAAATCAAACAAAATTGACAAATGTCGTTTATTTTTGAAAGTCTTAATTTATATCCACAGTCATATATGGTCTTAATCTTGATGATTTTTGAAAAAAAATGTTTTGATTGAATTTCAGGATCATGCCAATTCATCACAATAAGTTGATTAAAGTAGAATATAAGATGTCAGCAAAATGTTGTCAATAGACATAGTGTTGGCTGTTTTATTTACTGAAGATATTTGCTGAGAGAAGACACATCTGGAAAGGTTGGAAAGGATTCATTTGTTGATAAGCTATTTTTGAATATCAACAATGGGGGACATTGGTGACAGTGATGAGGAAATACTTCTCTTTCCGATTACTGAACTAGATGGCAATAACACATCGCAATCTGAGCGAGAATTAACAGAGAGTGACAATGATAGAAATCATAATGTAGTGACAGAAAAGCCCAAAGCATTGATGACATTAAGACAAAGACGTTTGCTGAAATCATACCAAGATAGTAATATGAAATACAAAGCTCCCTTAAAACCAATTAATATCAATAAAATGCATTGGTTGAGAGCCATAAAGAAGTCCAAAAGCTTGAGTGATCCATGGCAAAAGTTTCATATTGACCATTATAAGGTAGAAAACTGTGTTCGTCATAGATACAATGCTTTGAAGAAAACATGGAAAAAAGATAATGTAAAGGTGAAGATTGAACCAGAGGTGAGATTTTGTTTTGAATTAAATGCACTTTTAATTTTTCCTCTCCCACTATATAACTTAGTTTTGAGAGATCCTTATTAAGACATTTTGTTTTCCATGTTTTTTGTTTGTATCTTGTTATTGTCCCTGTCAACCTGTTTTATGTGGACGTATATATTGTCGTTTCCCCTGTCCGTCCGTCCGTAGGGGGATTGGATGGCTGAATGGTTAACACATGTACACTGTATCATGAGGTCAGGTCTGTCATTGAGTCAACTGGCGTGGTTTTGATTCCCCGGTTGTATGTGACAAGGAATAGGGTCGCCTGTCCAATCTCGTGGGTTTTCTCCAACCTCGTGAAGTACATGTATGGCCCCCGATTGCACAAATCACGTTTTTAGCTTGTGGTCCCTCTAGAGGTCACAATTATTATCCGATTTAAAAAACTGTTTGAATATATCACCATGATGATGGTCGAGTTCGAATTTCGTGAAAATCGGACCAAAACTGCCAGACAAAGTGGCTGCCCCTCGCACGCAAATAGTGTAAAAATATGGTATATCAAGGTTGTGGACCCTCTAGAGGCCACAATTTTGATCCGATTTTGATGAAACTTTAAATTTATGTTTATATCACAAAGATCTTGGTTTCTTTCGATAATCGCGCGTATCCGAACCTGACTTCCTGGATTATGGCCCCTGGTTGTTCGAAAAATCACATTTTTAGCTCGTGGACAATTTGTATTCAATTTTAAAAAATATATAAATATATCGATGAAGGTTAAGTTCAAATTTCGTAAAAATCTGACCCAAACTGCCGGACAAAATGGCTGTTGGTTGTATGCAAATAGTGTAAAAGTATGTAATACCAAGGTTGTGGATACAATTTTGATGAAATTTGAAATGTATGATTATAATCCAAAGATCTTGCGCATATTTGCGCATATCGGACCGTAACTTCCTGGATTATGGCCCCTGATTGTACGAATAATCTCGTTTTATTCTTGTGAGCGCTCTACAATGTAGAAGTCACAATTTTTTATCAGATTTTGATGAAACTTGAAATATATCTTTGTATCCCAAATATCTCAGTCCATTTAAAAAACCGCGCATTTCAGATCATAACTTTCTGGATTATGGCCCCCGATTGTACGGAGATTGTATGGAAATTCACGTATCTTGTCTGGCAGCCGCTGGTCAACAATTTCTTGTGAAAGCGTGTCGGACTACTGTGTTATCATCTGATCCATTTATATACATTTATTGCCTACATTTCATCGATATGTGGATTGCCAGAGTTATTGCCCTTGATCCCCAAAACCTTGAATTCAACAGACTGAGAACTTCGGTAATAACGAATTTATGGTGCAGAATCCTACAAGCATCCATTCAGAGGCTTATCTCCTCCATGTGGCGATGTGTGTGTGTGTGTGTGTGGCTGCTAGATTTTTACCTCTTGTGCCTACGTTTCTCAGTAATCATTGTCTTGTTAATTTTCTTGTCAGTAAATCTCCAGCCTAAAATCAGGCCAAAATCATATTTCAGTTGTATTACATGTATGTCTCCTGGCATTCCAATCAAATCAGTTACTTAGTAAGCTTATACCATATATTATTTGTCTATAGTTATTGCCCTTTATAGAATCTTGTGAACAGTATATAGTTACAAAATTTACCATCAGATTTTTTTGGCTACTTTGGGAATATGTTTTTACTTTTGTTGCCTGGCAGCTTATCTGTTTTGGTAGTCTCTTAAGTTTGACATACAGGCCTACAGAGGATTTTGTATCAGTTAATTGCTAGCAGCATGCTTTCATTTACCAAATTAGTAATCACCAAATGCCATACCATTTGGAAATGTAATGTACCAGAATCCATGGATAGAATGGAATTTACTCCATTTGGTCTCTTTGTGAAGACTCACAAAATATTTTCTTTTTTCAGTCATTTACTCGAGGTGCAATGCGACAGTGTTATAGAATGTAAGTTTATATACTTAGTTCAGAGTAAATGTATTGTTATTATACATACTAAATTGTTACCAAATGTTTGAAGACAAGCTCAAGGTTAAACTGGTATATGAAGATAAAAATAAACTATAAGCTGGAGGAAATCCAATATTGTTTTCTTTATTAATTACATGTACATTGTACCATGAATGATAAATAGAATGTTGTCATGTACATGTAATATAAAAAAGTGACTTTCTCTGTATGCATGTTCATTGTGCAGTTAATACTATTTGTTAGTCTCAAAATGGATGCATTATTGTGCTAACAATATGTTAAACATATTTCCCTTTTCTCTCTATGTACAATTTAAATGACATCATTGCAATTTGAAGACACCTTTTCTGTTCAGACAAAATCCTTTGGTATATTTCACGCATAATTAACCTAGAAAATGCATATTTACATATAAAAGACTGACATACAAGTAAACACATATTGTATCATGATATACAGTATATCATTATGCTGGTAATAATGTTAAAATCAAGAGAGGCATTTCTGATTTCATTTTGTATTAATCAAATGATTGTAAAATATTCTAAAATGAATCTAAACATTAAATACGCAATATGTGTAACTGATAAACAGTGAATCATGAAAATAAGATATATTAGTCATTTTATTAACTTGATAACAACCTAACATATTAAATTGATTCTGTGACAGCTAATATTGATTTGTTCTGTTTTCTGTGTGACCTAGTCCCTTAAAAAAAAAATTACATAGTTCAGATGAAATACAATTTGTTTTAAAGAGAAAGTTGCGCAATAACAGTTCTATTTTAAGTTAGTGAAGTTATTGGAAATTGAGTATGACTGGAAAGTGAAAAATATCTATTTATAGTAATGCATTGAGATAACAGTGACAAATTTTCCATCCATAGGAGTCTTAGACATGTAAAATAAAATGGGGTTTAATTTACTGCTTTCTGAGCCATCCAGACTACTGAATACGAACATAATATCTCATGCAGACTGCTATGAGGAAAATTTTTCCCAGAGAGCTGCACTATGGCGTACTCTTATTGTAATTCCAATGGTCAAGGCCTCTCAAGGGTTCTTTACGTACATGTCAATGTGTATATAGAACCTTTGGTTTTCATCCCATCCAAAAGACTTCCTTGCCAGGCCCTCTGTGACTAAGGTACGGTACTACTTTTGGTTGAATACATTTCTTTCGATAAACATTTTTCAGGTTATCTGAATATCTTAAGTTTTGAAGTTCATTCATGTGTGACTATCAACATAATAGTCAAATTTTATCAATGTAATGATCAAGTTTTGTCAACTCAACCTGCATTTCAGAATCCAATAAAAAGAAAAAATCTCAAACCTTAACTCACACAAACCTTTAGAATTTTCAAACATTAATCTAGTGACTGTGCCAAGAGGTAAAGTTGACCAAAAAAAAAAGCCTAACTCAACCAACTTGTAAAATCATTAATGCAAATTTAATTTACATGTACTCATGTTTATTTACTTGAGGCTACAAATTTTGAGATCTTAAAAAAAAGCATTTGTAATGAAGGAAAAATAAATTAGTGCAATTTACCCCAAATTTGGTAATTGTTATCTGAAAGTTTGAAATGCCCTATAGGATTGATCGAATGGGTCAGTAATCTGTATTCATGCGCCTTGCATTGTTTTGTTCAATAAATCTATACTCAGAACTGCTGTAACAAGGCAGTTTTGTATTGATCGTTCCGGCCAGCAAAGTATTGTGAAGGTGTTCTAAAGGAAAATGAATCCAAATAGTGCGAAAGTACAGGTTCTTTTTAGTGCATATACCTGTCATCTGTTGGAATTCTATAAATGTAGTGTACACATTGATTTTATTTTAATATACAAAAATATTCAAGCAATTATGAAAGTGTGTTGACAAAAAGCAATCTTTAATCATCTATTATGTTTAGCATTTTGCTTAGCCTATATATGTTGCTCCAACTCCATTAGCTTTTTGGTATTAACATCCCATCCTTACATGTAGAAATTTAGTTTCCCCAAACATAACAAAGATTTGTAAATTGAGGTCTGGGCAATGTTGCAATTTGTATTTTTTTTTTTAGGTTTCACATTTAAATATTAAACCACCTACCATACTTCATGCAATCATTTATACTACACATAAATAAGTAACATATAATTTGTAACCACAGGGCTTTGAAAAGGATGAACATTTTGATTTTAAGTTTGTCAAAGCCATTAACAATAAATTATCTTTTTAAAATTAAAAAAAGATAAACACTGTGCACTTTGTGCACAATTAAATTCAAATGTCAGAGTGAACCAGTAGCTGTTTATTTTGTGTACCTGCTAAATTAACTTCATTTGGGCTTGTTCTTGTACATGTAGGTGATATGTTTCTTGCAAATATAACATATCTATTTGAACTTGCTAGACACAGTGTCAAGTAGGACAATAGAATTTTATTGATCAAATAAATCATGAACCTTATCTTTGAATGTCTCAACATTATTATATTAAACTATAATTTCAATTATTTTTATACGCCATGTCCGTCGGTTCGGCGTCCACTATTAATAACAATATTATATTAAACTACATACAATTTCAATTATTTTTATACGCCCACATCTGTCGGTGCGACGTCCACAATTGCTTGTGGATTGTGGATGCACTACGGGCTAAAGTTAATATCCGTTTTGACTTTAAATTTACATACAATGTTTAAGATCATGAGACAAAGAAGCCAATTGATTTGGGGGGTCACGATGGCTAAGTGGTTAAGAAGCTGGCTCGCTAGCCTGGAGGTTGGGTGTTCCATCCCTGCATTGGCCGAGAAAGTTCATCCAGATTTTCCAGCATGGTTCCCCCTTGTGAGTGATGCAGGACAGAGGGCCTGACAAGGACAGCTGTCTAGTCATTTGGATGGGACGAGAAACCGAGAACCTGTGTACACATTGGCGTGCACGTAAAAGATCCCTTGACAGTTGGAATTCGATATAATTTCCCTCATAGCATACTGTATGATCATTTTGAAATATATTGTGTATGCTCTAGACGCTAAAGTTAATATCTGATTTACTTTAAATTTACACACAGTGTTTTAAAGTCATGAGACGAAGAAGCCTGTTGATTTTCAACGATTTCTGATAATTACTGCCAGAGTTATTGCCCTTGATCCATTTGAAAAATCTTATGGAAGTTCTGGACGCTAAAGGTAATATCCGATTGACTTTGAATTTATATACAGTGTTTAAGGTCATAAGACGAAGAAGCCTATCAATTTTCAATGATTTCCAGTGATTATGGCTATTAATAGCATACTGTATGATCATTTTGAAATATATTGTGTACGCTCTAGACGCTAAAGTTAATATCTGATTTACTTTAAATTTACACACAAGTGTTTTAAAGTCATGAGACGAAGAAGCTAGGTTTCTGATAATTACTGCAAGAGTTATTGCCCTTGATCCATTTGAAAAAAAATTATGGAAGTTCTGGACGCTAAAGGTAATATCCGATTGACTTTGAATTTATATACAGTGTTTAAGGTCATAAGACGAAGAAGCCTATCAATTTTCAATGATTTCCAGTGATTATGGCTATTAATATTAAACGTTTTGGGAATTATAGTGTCTTGACAGACCGTGGTGACAACTAGAAGCCAAATGGGTTGTTACTCACAGTATGTTGTAAATGTTTTCATTTCTGATTAAAAAGGAAAAAAATATGTGACAACCCTTGTTAACTCCCCGGACGACTTAGCTGCTGTGGGTGTATGTTTCATTGCCTGGCAACCTATCTTTTTTATTTGCTTTTGGCTTGCAGGAAAAAACTGTCTAATTTCACTTGTTCAGTTGATTGGACACATGCTGGTAACTATGTAGCTAAGTCCTATATAGAAGAGGTGGACAGAGAGGTGTATTTTGAGGATGTCAAGTTACAGATGGATGCCAAATTGTGGGGAGAAGAATACAACAGACATAACCCACCTAAAAAGGTAGGAGATAATTATATGAATCTATGAATGCATCTAAATGGTGGTTTTGATTAAATACACTTACACAGCTAGTAGGTCAATGTGTGTTCCACAATATCCTTACTACAGAAAAATTGATGTTTGAGATAGATGTAATGATGGTTGTCTTGATAATGTTCCATTAGTAACATGGGATGTTTTTTTTTTTTTTTAAATGGTACACCTACTGTGAAATGTAGTCATATATTGTCATTGGTCTGTCCATCCACTGTTTCTTGACAACGCTCTTCAGACTACATTTATCATCTGACTTTTATACGCCCACATTGAAATGTGGTCGTATATTGTTGTCGCCCCTGTCCGGCCGGCTGGCCGGCGTCCACAATTGCTTGAGTCATGGCCCTTGATCACTTCAAAAAATCTTGTGGACGCTGTAGAGGTCAAAGTTAATATCCGATTGACTTTAAATTTATACACAGTGTTTAATGTCATAAGACGAGGAATCCTATTGGTTTTCAGCAAAGAAGCAGCCTATTGATTTTCAGCAATTTCCGATAATTACTGCCAGAGTTATGGCCCTTGATCACTTCAAAAAATCTTGTGGACGCTCTAGAGGCCAAAGTTAATATTCGATTGACTTTAAATTTATACACAGTGTTTAAGGTCATGCGACAAAGGCGCCTATTGATTTTCAGCGATTTCCGATAATTACTGCCAGAGTTGTGGCCCTTGATCACTTCAAAAAATCTTGTGGACGCTCTAGAGGCCAAAGTTAATATTCGATTGACTTTAAATTTATACACAGTGTTTAAGTTTAAGGTCATGCGACGAAGAAGCCTATTGATTTTCAGCGATTTCCGATAATTACTGCCAGAGTTATGGCCCTTGATCACTTCAAAAAATCTTGTGGACGCTCTAAAGGTCAAAGTTAATATCCGATTGACTTTAAATTTATACACAGTGTTTAAGGTCATGCGACGAAGAATTCTATTGATTTTCAGCGATTTCCGATAATTACTGCCAGAGTTATGCCCCTTGATCACTTCAAAAAATCTTGTGGACACTCTAAAGTTCAAAGTTAATATCCGATTAACTTTAGATTTATACACAGTGTTTAAGGTCATGCGACGAAGAATCCTATTGATTTTCAGCGATTTCGGATAATTACTGCCAGAGTTATGGCCCTTGATCACTTTGAAAAACCTTGTAGGCTAAAGTTAAAATCCGATTGACTTCAAATTTATACACAGAAGGTCATGAGACAAAGAATTCTATTCATTTTCAGCGGTTTTTGATAATTACTGCCAGAGTTATGGCCCTCGATCACTTCAAAAAATCTTTTGGATGCTCTAGAGGCCAAAGTTAATATCCGATTGACTTTAAATTTATACACAGTGTTTATGGTCATAAGACAAAGAAGCCTATTGATTTTTAGCAATTTCCGATAATTACTGCCAGAGTTATGGCCCTTGATCACTTCAAAAAATCTTATGGATGCTCTAGAGGCTAAAGTCAATATCAGATTGACTTTAAATTTATACAGTGTTAACGGTCAGGAGACAAAGAATCCTATTGATTTTCAACAATTTCCGATAATTACTGCCAGAGTTATGGCCTTGATCACTTTGAAAAAATTTTATGGACACACTAGAGGCAGAAGTTTATATCTGATTGCCTTTAAATTTATACAGTGTTAACGGTCAGGAGACGAAGAATCCTATTGATTTTCAACTATTTCTGATTATTACTGCCAGAGTTATGGTCCTTGATCACTTGAGATATCTTGTGAATGTTCTAGAAGCTAAAGTTAATATAAATTTATACACAGTGTTTAATCTCATGAGATACACAATCAAAAGAAATTCTAATTATTTCTGATAATTACTTAATGGGTTGTTACTCGTAATCAGATTTTAGTTTGTTCTGTGTTGTAAATGTTTACATTACTTACAAAAGAAAAAATATGTGACAACCCTTGTTGACTGCCTAGACAACTTAGCTGCTGTGGGCGTATATTTCATTGCCTGGCAACCTTTCTTTTCTGTCAGATTCAATTTCTTAGCATTGTCTAGATTAGTGAGATGAAGAAAGGGTTTAAGTTAATTGCTTGTGGAATAATTGCCCTTGTGCAGTTGGTAGAGTCTTGAAATTCTCTATCAACAACAGTTACATGTATCATATCAGCTTGTGATAGTGATTCATGCGGGCGATAAAAACTCAACAATTTCTGGCAATTATTTCAAGAGTTATTGCTCCTTGCTCACTGTGAAAAACTTAATGTGATCTTTGTTTCAATTGTGATCAACGCTTTGATCATATTTTGCAATATAAAGATTTTGCTCTCTTTTTTTTTCTTTTTTTTTTTTTACCTTAACATTGATAATATGACAAACTAGACAAACTCTTTGGACTTCATTTAAACAGTCTTATTCCTGAAAAGAATATTTTAATATTGTCAAGATTTTACCTTATTGCATTTAATGACAAAATAATCTTATCAACAAAATGATATTTAGATTAAATATAGAAAGTATATTCTATAATGCATTATGAGATTATACTGTTGGTTATTTTTAAACATTGGTAATGTGGTCTTGTAATCACAAAATTATTTTCCAATCACTTAAAATAGATGTGATTGATAGATAGGTCATAATAAGCTATAAATACTATTACGTGCTGCAGTGCATGTAAATGTATGCTTTATTTGCTAACATTTTGTCAGCCTGTCTAATTGATTTCAATGCAGGATATAGTTTAGTTCATTGTGACTACTTCTAGAATAAACATTCACATTAAATTATTTAGTGATAATAAAAAATAAGGACTCTAATATTTAATTGTTCAGACAGTTGTTAACAATACATGTACATTTTATTATCATATAGTAAATTACTTACACCTGTCACCATGTTATACCAACATATTATTTTTTTTAAGTAATTTCTCAAAATTATTTAAGCTTGACTCAATTGTGTTAATTGATAGGCACATTTAGAGGTGAAGTAAATTATTGCAAAACTGAACAGGATGTATAGATGACTGCTGAAAGGCAGGTTAGATTTAGAAAACCACTGAATCCTGCATATATTAAACACATTTATATTAATATTAAAATTTTCAATTATCTTAGCTATCAGAAACACATACAAATAGTAATTATGATTTTGAATTCTGCTATCTATGTAAATTGAAAACATTTACAGTCATTATCACGTCTCGAAGGAGTAGAAAGAGATTTCCTACTTCAGTTTTCTTGTTATAGATTATCATATCTACCAAAATATATTATATATATAATATTCTTATACAATAGTGCAGTAATGTCTTCGGTGTATCTTTCTATCTGTAGATATCAAATTTGCATTTAGTGAAGTTTGGGATGTTAAATTTTATCTTTTCTTTACATCGCTTCTAGAATATTCCAAATCTTTGTCACAAAATAATAGTAATAGTAGTAACACAATATATTGTAAAAAGAATTTGATGGTTTATTATAATGTTTATGCTCTATTATTATTCAAGGAGTGAGAATAGTTTGACAATGTGTCAATCATTGTGAAATTAATACAACACATTTGTATCATATAAATGTGCAGGATATATCTTGAAATATTTTCCTGTTTTAGATTGTGATATACCATTTATAGATCTAGTCATATGTGTAATTGTCCTGAAAATTGACAAAAAAATAATATAAGGCATATTGAAGGAAATTCATTTTATGTTTATGTATAAATATGTGGGCTTGTACTGAAACTTTCCTCTTAAATCTATGTATGGCCCTGAACTTTAACTATATAATAAGAGGAACCGATGCATGTCAGTGAACTAGTAACCTCAATATTGTGTGTGGTTCATGTAGATTTCTTGTTGTATATGATATTTATGTTCTAAAACCACTGAAAAATAATATGGCATTGGTAGAAATACAAAGGTTCACAATGGGGTGCCTTTAAACCCAATTACTGAACTTTAAGAAGTGTAGTGAAATATTGATTTCCGTTTATAAATAAGTTATTTTGTTTGAGTATTTCACCAAAGAATATATGGTAAATAATTTACAGTAACATGTATTGCAGATTTCCATGTTTAGATCCTACTATTGTTGATATAAATAGTAAACTCAAATAATTCCATCTGGTGACATCAGACAACACCAGTTCTATTTATAGAATTGAACAACATGAAATTATTCTCTTCTTTATGACATCAACTTTTGAATGAAACAGTTCTTCAACCATGACCTAATATTATGAAGATGGGTGATTTGATAATATATTTTGACTAAAAATGTATTCAAACCAATTGATCTATCAAAAATTTGCTTCAAATCCCTCTCAAATTCTTTTACCCAAATAGTGTATAAGTGTGTAATACCAAGGTTGTGGACACTCTAGAATTAGAAGTCACAATTTTTATCCGACTTTGATGAAACTTAAAATGTATGATTATAATCCAAAGATCTTGGTTCCTTTTCATATTAGCACATATCGGACTGTAACTTCCTGGATTACGGCCCCTGATTGTATGAAAAATCATGTTTTTAGCTTGTGGACCCTCTAGACGTCACAATTTTTATCCGATTTTAAATAGCGTTTAAATGTATCACTGTTTAGTTACACCCTAATGATGGTTGAGTTCGAAAGTCGGAACCGAAACTGCCTGACAAAATGACCACTCATTGTACGTAAATAATGTAAAAATATGTAATACCAAGATTGTGGACCCTCTGGAAGTCACAATTTTTATCTGATTTTGATAAAACTTAAAATATATCTTTATGTCCCAAATATCTCAGTCCCTTTTGATATTCACGCATTTCAGACCTTAACTACCTGGATTATGGCCCATGATTGTACAAAAAATCACTTCTTTTTTTTGTAGTTTGTTCTCTATCCTTCTTTGCAAAATGTGGGCATATCTTGGCTGGCAACCAGTAATAGATTTATCAGCTGTCTTGTGTATCATCTGTGGTACTTTAATTGTTTACCTTATTTTTCAGGTGGACATATTTCAGATGTATATCTTGGAATTTACAGAAAGACCAAACTCTCCATTATTTCATTTGGAACATTTTATTGAGGGTCATTATATTAAGTACAACTCTAACTCCGGATTTGTTGAAGAGAGTGTTAGACTTACACCTCAGGTAAATTATACTTGTTAAAGATTCTTTATGTAAGATTTAGATAACGAGCTAGCTCTTCTTGCTATTATAGTTCAAAATAGACAATGCAAAATGAATATTTGAAAATTTAATTCAAATTACTTTATTCTGTGTGAAGTTATCACTGTTTGATGTTTTGGCCAGATGTGGCATAATAATGACCTGTTTAAATTACAATAAAATAACCAGTCTCAGAACTGTGCCAGGCACTCCAAATGTGGAACTCTTGACAGAAAAGTGAATTTTAGTCCCTATGCAAATTACCTGGATGAAAACAATTATGGCGGTTGATTTAGTTTGGGCAGCCATTTTGACAGAACTGATGACAGAACTGTGAAAGTTCCTGGGAAAAAAGGTCAAGGATCATTTGGTGCATGTGCAGGGACATAACTAGCTCAGAGCAACGAAGGGGGCGGGAAGTGTTCTCAGGGTGTGCTGTAAAATTGACGGACGATGTATATCTATTGTTTTTATGGTCGACAATTTTTTCACAGGGGGGTGGGGTGGGGCTGAAACTTTGAACCCCCACTAGTTACGGATCATTTGACGCATGCACAGGGACATAACCAGCTCAGGGCAACGAAGGGGGCGGGAAGTGTTCTCAGGGTGTGCTGTAAAATTGACATACATGTACAATGTATATCTATTGTTTTTATGGTCGACAATTTTTTCAGAGGGTTGGTGGGGAGGCGGGCCGAAACTTTGAACCCCCACTAGTTATGGGCCTGCGCCCTGCGCATGCAATACGTACTAATAACCGTTCTCAGACTGGATAGCATTTACTCTACAAAAATTTAACCGTGCCGTGCCTTGCACCGTGCCGATACCACCTCACTTCAGTGGGCCAAATTGACATGGTACTCAGTACAGCACGCTTATGTTTGACCCGTTTACACTACAAAAAAAAAAAAATGTGTCTTGCACGCTTAAAATTTGTAATGTAAACAGGGTTATAGATTGGTTATTATCATAATAACGTTACTTGTTATTCAAGACTAGGCATCGATTGGCCATTCTAAATCAATAAATGGCAACCAAGTTTCAATCCATTTAAATCTCCGCCATCCGATTTCCTGGAGATTTCATTATAAGCTTGTCACGTGAATAATTGTCTAAATAATAGTTTGTATAACATTTGGAGCCAAAATAAAGACCTGCAATGGGCAGAATTAGCTCTTACATGTGTATCTTTAATAATTTTTATACGCCCACATTGAAATGTGGTTGTATATTGTTGTCGCCCCCGTCCGTCTATAGGCTTTAGTTAATATCCGATTGACTTTAAATTTATACACAGTGTTTAAGGTCATGAGATGAAGAAGCCTATTGATTTTCAACGATTTTCGATAATTACTGCCAGAGTTATGGCCCTTGATCACTTCAAAAAATCTTGTGGACGCTGTAGAGGTCAAAGTTAATATCCAATTGACTTTGAATTTATACACAGTGTTTAAGGTCATGAAACGAAGAAGCCTATTGATTTTCAACGATTTTCGATAATTACTGCAAGAGTTATGGCCCTTGATCACTTCAAAAAATCTTGTGGATGCTCTAGAGGTCAAAGTTAATATCCGATTGGCTTTAGATTTATACACAGTGTTTAAGGTCATGAGACGAAGAAGCCTATTGATTTTCTTCGATATCCGATAATTACTGCCAGAGTTATGGCCCTTGATCACTTTGAAAAATCTTGTGACGCTCTAGAGGCTAAAGTTATCATCCGATTGACTTTAGATTGATACACAGAGTTTAAGGTCTTGAGACAAACAAGTATATTGATTTTCAATGAATCTTTTTGACTTGAACAGCTAAATCCAGGATGTTAAATGTTGCCTGGCAACCTATCTTTAACATTCACTTTCTCTGTAAGAACAAATATCTTAACCCTTTTATGCTCCCCTAACTTATCTGATGGGTCCCAACAAGGTAAAGAACCCTTCCAAAAAGTGGGATTTAAAGAAGGCAAAATATAAGCTTACCCATTACCACTACCGAATATTTCAAATTTGAGTCATGGCTTTTTGGGATGTCTTGTACCTATCTTTTCATAAAAAAAATTGTGACCAATTGTTTTTTCAGGCTTTTAGCCATTTTACATTTGAGAGATCCGGCCATCAGATGATAGTTGTTGATATACAAGGTGTAGGTGATTTATATACCGATCCACAGATACATACTATTGAAGGTACAGAATACGGTAGTGGTAATCTTGGTACTAAAGGAATGGCATTATTCTTCCACTCTCATGTCTGTAATACCATCTGTGAAGGTTTAAATCTCTCCGAGTTTGATTTATCTGATAGAGAAATTGCCACCCATAAAGAATTCCTGAATAAACAGGTTAGTGAGCTGGATTACAGGGTGGCATGCTGGATGTTAATCCTTTTGTACTTGAATAACATCTCTCTATACATGGATTGCAGTCTTAACTAGCTGTAATTGGCTACTGGTAACATAGTCAATGGTTATGTAATATATGTAAATTATGTAGAAACTGTATAGCTTACTGAATTATGGCCAGCGATGCATTTTAGAATATAACAGAAGTCTGTAGCCTTTAACCTAAATTCTTAATTTCTGTGTTCTAAAAAATGAAGTGTAACTCTGTGAGTGACGATCTGCAGTGAGACAAACAAATTTAAATTTGTATTCCTGTTATCAGTTATGTCTACAAAAAATAATAATAGACTAAGAATTTCACTAAGAGTTTATGAAGCCATAACTATTTTTATAAAATAATATTGTTACCTAAGACTTTCACTGCTGAGCTTAGATAAACTGGATTACTTCCCATGCTTGTAATGTCAAAACATATTTATCAGTGAAATTGTTAATATTATCTAAATATTGTCTATTACAGAGAAACTTTGCTACCACACGTATTCGAGGATCAGAAGAGATGTGTATTAGTTGCTCACCTAATGAGCGAGTTGATATAACCAGCTTATTGGCACGTCAACACTCATCTATGTCAGCATCATCTAATGGTAGCAACAGTCCTACTAGCCCTAGTATAGATGAAGATCATGTATCTGTAGGAAGTCCACGGAATAGACGTGTAAGGTATATCAGTGAATGTGAGTCTGACAGCATTTCAATGACTGAGGTAAATAATAACAGGATGATACGTTTAGATATATCACCTTTCCACCATAATTAAGGTTGAATTGGAATATCGGGAAAATCGAAACTGCCCGACAAAATGGCCGCTTTTTGTACGCAAATTGTGTATAAGTATGTAATACAAGGGTTATGGACCCTCTAGAGGTCACAATTTTTATCCAATTTTGAAGAAACTTAAAACATATCTTTATATTCCAAAAATCGCAGTCCCTTTTGATATTTGCGCATTTCTTACCATAACTTTTTGGATTATGGCCCCTGATTGTACAAAAAATCGTTTTTGTTTTTAGCTTTTTCTCTATCCATGTTTTGCAAAATGTGGGCGTATCCTGCCTGGCAGCCGCTGGTTAGAAATATTGTTGTTGAGTAAAACTCTTTGATTTTTCCAGTAGTGTGATTTAGGAAATTGTATTAATTTTAATTAATTTGTTTCAGGAAGAAGACAGGATAGCTTTTTCTCAAGCTCAGGCAGCTAAGGCCAGACCATCATGTGTATTACATGAGTTAGATATGAGACGTATGGCTTGTTTAAGTATTGGTGACTCAATCTTAGGAAAGGTAACCTGAATAGTGTGCTTATTAATGCCTTGACATTTGCATTTTGTGGACAATATTTTTTTTTTTTTTTTTATTATGTCATGTAGCTCAGTAAGCGATACTTCGACAAAATAAAAACACAGAACCATAAACCTCCCTCTCCCATCAGATAATTGAAGACGGATTGTCTGAGAACCTTATATACTATAGTCGGAATGACCTTAATACAATTCAGACAAAATTTTGATATGAAGATTTTGAATCAGAGAGGATGAACCCTGTTGATTTTCATCATCATAGGACTTTTTGTTCAACAGATATATTATGTGTCTGGAAAAACTTTTGAAGAAGATGGAGATTAGATTTCTTGATTGCAGCTTATCAAATTTGCTCAACAACTAAGTTTTCCTTTTGGATAAAATGCGCTGTTTCAGGCTATATTTTTTTCAAGACATAAATGCGGTGTGGGTGTATTATCACGCTTTATGCGGCTATTTACTTATATTATTATTACAGATTCATCATGAAATGGCTAAATATCATGAATGTGGTAGATTTAGTTTTGAAGATGATGAAGTGGATTGGGAGTCTGCTATATATCATGAAGAACATGCTGCTCAATTGGGTGTATTGGAAGCCATTTTAACAATGGCTAGACTGTATCTTGGTTTACAGAGGGAAGTCTTGGCAAATGCTGTAGTTGAGGTAAGCTGTTCAAGTGGCAAACAATTGAAATGCAATGAAATGGGGTTTATTGTCTTACTTATCTGCACTGATTAGGTTAATGAAACCAGCATACACGATGCAATGAGTGATATTTTGTTCTGATAGCTATGCTCCCTACAACTTGTGTATCATTTAGTTGCACTGTTTTAGCAGGAGTTTTTCTATTTAATGTTTAGTTTCAAACCATTGTTGGCAAATTGTTCAAATTTGTTGAGAATCATCAATTATGTGTTTACTAGTTTAGATAATGAGTTTCAAGTTTCCAATGGTTTACTTAACAGGCTAATTAATTGAATAAAGTAAAAAAATGGGATGGGGTGCCCAAGTTTAAATTCGTCATTGGTTCCATAGTATTGTCAGGTTTATGAAAGTTTAAGGTTGTTAATATATAATTGTACTGGTTAGTACTAAATAGTTTGATTATATGACAGTCAAGATTTGGACTAAATGCCTTGGAAATCGAAAGTGGGAGGTGACTGGTAATAACCCTGCCAATTGGTGACCATGGAAACCTTGTTGGGGGTTTCAGAATAGTATACATGTAAATAAAAGCCTGCCACATGAGTCAATCAGTTTGAAGAGTTCATTACAAGCGAAACTTGTTACTAATAACCGGGATAACCAGATCTTAACAGCAACTCTTATTACTCAACACTGCTAGTGAAAGTAAACAGTGGAAAAGCTGAGACTCATTATCTAAAATTACAAAACAGTAAGGAACCCAATGTTTTTCGATGATTCTTAACAAATTTGAACAACCCTGTCATCTTACCCAGAAAACCCTGGTTAGTAAATCTGAGTTTTTTAAAACAGTTTCTAATAAATGGTATTACTTGTTCATTCTTATATCAATAGAATCTCATATATATATATGTCTATTCATTCCAGGACTTACTCTGGCTTTCAATTTTTTTCCGCCAAAATGGATGATAATTTTTATATAAAAAAAATGTTCATATTTTTTTCCACTAACTGGAATATTTTATCTGCCAAAGATGTGTGATAAAAAAGACAACATCTAACAATTTTATGTTTCAGCTATTCTTATTATAAAACAATTACCGATATATACAATACAATATACAACAACTTTAAAAATCTGTCTTTGCATAATAGATTAGCAAAGTTTGGATTTAATAAGATCAGATTTTATTTTTGGTGACTTTAGTCTATTTGAACAGCGTACTGCACAATATATTTTCAGTATTTGAACATCAAATCTCATCCAAGGATTGCCAATTTTCTATAAATTTATGTGTTGCGTCCACAAAGGGCCTATTGTTATTTTCAGGTACCGTAAAGGTATCAGAATCTGACTGAATCCCTGATGGAATGGTATAAATTTCAATTATATTTGTAAGAGATGCTTACAGTTATACCCATCTTTAACTTTAGCACATTTTGGCGATGGTAATATGATAATTATCACTATTGAACTCGTGGTGGATAATATAATTTGAAATAATGATATCCGACCGATAGGCATGCTTGTATATTTTACATGCTATATATGAAGCCACTGTAAACGAAATTCAGCTATCAAAGTATTTAATTCTCTTTGCAACGAACTGTCGGCCATTTTGATTACATGTATTATCATTTTGTTTAAAGGCGAAACGAAACATCAAATAATCACTGCTTGGATTAATCATTAGGAGTAAATTGTGACTTGACATAGGCTTTATATATATCATTGGCAATTATCAATCAACTAATCATTAATCCAAAACAACTGATTAGTATTACTCATTGATGCGATCCGGATTATCAGCCAGTTAATTTATAGTAACCCGCCATGTGATTGACACTCAATAATGGTAAATCCAGGATAAATACGATTAGAATTTTAAGATTTTTTTCCAACAGTTCTCAAAAAGAATCGTCAGTACCACTAAACATTATCGCCAAAATCAAATTTTAATCGTCTCTTTAATATTTTTATCGCAAATTGCGACTTTGGCGACAGACATTGTGAGCCCTGATTCATTCATCCAAAGTTTTCATAACTTAAGTCTAAAATTCATTTGGAATGCAACTGCTCACAATGGTAGCAATAATACTCTTTAAATTTATAGCCACTAAACACCCATTGCAAATTAATTACCTTTTCTTTTTTTTATAGCAAACAGATGAGAATATTAATATTGGTTTAGATTTTATGGGGCAAGCAGCCCAAGCTGGAGATCGTAGTGCTATGATTTATCTTGGCAGAGCTTATGAAACTGGTGAAAATCTGGGCACTCTCAGGTATTATTTATGATTTTTAGTTTCTTTAAGGATTAAATTCATTTGTAACATTAGTGGAAAATCATACTCAACTTATGAAGATGTTATTGTTGCATCAAATGAGGTGCATTTATGTTAAACAAATGTATAAAGAAGATGGTTTCATGTCAATAAAAAAATAGTCACAGCTATAAGTCAACCGCCAGTAAAAAATTTGTGTTCAAATTTCAAAATTAAATATTTTACTATGGCCTACTCCACTCTTGAAGTTGCAGGGCCCTGGTCTTTTATTCCCTTAAAACCATAATTTTCTGTTCCAAGTCAATTTTAAGACACTTTAAGTTTAAATTGGTTGAGTTTCTAGATTATCTGGTGTATTTGTAAGTAAGTTGTTGGTGTTTCCAGGTCTATCTGTTAAGGTGTATTTGTAAGTTGTTGGTGTTTCCAGGTCTAACTGTATAGGTAGGTGCATATAATGAGAATTTCTTCTAAGTTATCTGTGTTTGTAGGTCTGTCTGTTGGGAGGATGCTGCACATTGGTATTCTGAAGCTATAGAAACAAATAATCAAGATGAAGGTGGTGAATTTGATTCTACAATGTGTGATCCTATATTTACTCTACAAGCTAAACTAGCTGACATGTATAAAACTGGTGGACATGAATTAGAAAAAGATCCACAAAAAGCAGGTTAGTAATTATTTTCATACCAGCCTGGTTATAGAGTCAAATGATGTGTGATAAAATCACAAAAGACGGATGTTGACCTCCAAGAGATCTTTACATAGTCGATATATCTATCTTTAAAGATGGATTATATTGCTAGAGAAGGCCAATACAGCCTCTGATAATTAGTGAATGCTTGAAATGTCAGCATACAGAGAACTATATACTTGAAAATAGATCTATCCTGTTACGTAGTATGTCTGTTGGTGCATATACATTCAGAAAATATTGACTTCTCAGATAATATGTGCTGTCTCAGAGTATTCTTAATTTCATCGATGTCAGACAACCAGCTTTGCATCTGTTTCCAAACAGAGCTAATTGTCCCCCGCCTTTTGAAGAAATCAGAGGACTATTAAAATAGGTCTGTACGTCTGTCTGTCACACTTTTTGAGACACAATAACTCTCTAATTGAAGAAGAATGTTCAAACTTGGTGTAGGTGTTCATTAGGTCAGTGCCTTGATGGAGTTTGAAAATGAGCATTATCTGGTTGGGGTAAGCAGAGATAAGCAATTAAATTGGTTGATGCTTTGTGACACGATAACTTTGGTTCTAATTAAGTGAGAGTGATGAAATTTGCTGTATAGTTTCATTATATCAATACCTAAGTTCGATAATGAGCATTTTCTGCTCAGGGTAAGCAGAGCGATAAAGTAATTTTATTGGTTGCGATAACTTTGATTCTAATTGAGTGAGAGTGCTGAAACTTTGTGTATAGTTTCAGCACATCAATACCTTGACTAAATTTGATAATGAGCAATTTCTGCTTAGGCTAAATAGATACTTCAATCTGATTGGTCGAGAATTTGGAACACAATAACTGTTATTCTAATTGAGGTAGAATGTTCAAACTTTGAGTAGGGAGTTTATTAGCAGAATGCCTTGACAGTGTTCAATCATGCGCTTTTTCCACTAATTTGATTGGTTAGGACTTTGAAACACAATAACTTTGGTTTAATTGTATGAGAGTGATGAAACTCATTCTGTAAATAAATTATACCAACACCTTGACTAAGTTCGGCAGTAAAAATTTTCTGCTTAGGCTAAGTAGCGATAAGCAATTTGATTTGTCAAGACTTTGGAACATAACAACTTTTATTTTAATTGCGGTTGAATGTTTAAACAAGGTGTAGGTGTTCATTAGGTGAATGTCTTGACTGAGTTCAATCATTAACATTTTTATTTAAAGCTAAGCAGAGCTAGGCAATTTCATTGGTCAATGCTTTGGGACAAGATAACTTTGATTTTAACTGATGGAGAGTGATGACTGAGTTCGATTGTGAACACTTTCAGCTTAGACTAAGATTAAATAATCATTTGATGGCTCGATAGTTTCTGAAAAGATTAATGTGCAATTAATTAGTATGTGTCATCTATATTTTTGGGATATCGGCGGGGAACATCAGCCTCACTGTTAGCTTGTTGTAAGTTTCATACGAGCATTAGTGATATTCTTTTTACACCAGATTAGGTCGGCAGCATTGTTTGCCATTGCTTTGAAGGTTTCATGAAATTGGCCAAACTATTTATGAAACAACTTACTCGTAAATGTGATGTTCTCATTATGAATTGTTTTTATTTATGAAGGTGACTTATATAATGAAGCAGCAGAAGGAGCAATGGCCGCTATGAAAGGAAAATTAGCTAACAAGTATTTCATGTTAGCTGAAGAGGCTTATGGTGAAATAGAGGAATAAGAATTGACACATTTATCATGTATATATTATTTATTGCTCAACATCATTTACTTTGTTTGCTTAGTGATTAATGTGACTTTCATTAATTTATATTTGGTATTGTTTCAAAATTTTAAAAAATATCATTTGACGAAAAAAACAAACCCAACAGACAAATATCTGTTCTCTGCCTTTTTGGCATAATTTATGTTTTGTTATTATTAATGAAAACAATTTGTACCTCTCTTTTTTGCATATATATTTGAAGGTTTTCTAATGAATTTTCTTTCTTCCTTAAATTTGATTGTTATGAGTTTGATGCTGATATGACTTCTGTAAATTTAACTATTTTTTAAGTTATTAATAGCTTTGAAACAAGTAATATTAAGCTTTGAAACAAGTTATATTGAGCTGGTGCAAAACTGTGCCACTGACTAAATATAATCTCGATCATATACGCACCTGTTCGGATTTTTAGTGCTAAAATATGCCAAAGACTCACCTTTTCATTAGTTGACTCTAACCAATAATTTTACAATTCAGTTACAGGTTTAGATAATCTCCCATCAAATTAAAACAGGTTCATATTTTCATTTCACTGTATGAGGCTTCAAAGATTTTATGTCCTCAAATGAACAAAGCCTTCTGCAAAGTTCATGTAAATAGTATACAATTAATTACAGTTACTATTGTTTATGTTAAATCCATAAAATGATATTTTATTGTACACTTTATTTCCGATATGAATATATTTTATATCAGTATCATTGTAATGAGACTACTATTCTTAATTGAGTGATTCCATGATCAAGTAAATGAAAGTTCATAACAGAATATTTGAATTCTTTGTATAATATTAACATGCAGTTTCCACCTTCAGTACGTACTTACTTCTAGAATCTCTTTTACTTATTCAAATGTAAATACAGTCTTTCTATTTGGTGGTTAATTAATGATGATTTGGTGCAAACCAGTATATTATGCAGATACATTTTCTTGAAGGAGATGTTAATGTTTGTATTTAAGGCTAACACACACATCATTTTGTTTTCTTTTGGCTTCAACATTTTTAATATACATATATTTTTTATAAAGTTATTTTATAAGTTGTTTGGTTCTTGGCTTTGTTTTTTTTAATATTGATCAATGTTTTTTTATGTTTAAATGTATTATAAGTATTGGCAGTTGTTAATATGTACATGTATGATGAACCTCAGAATTAAAACTAAAAATTAAGAAAATAAAAATGTGCCATACATATTTGTAAGTCTAAAAGCATAATACTTGCACTTTACATTATTTTATTTTTGTTAAGCCAAAAAGGTGAGATACTGGTCAATTAGAGCATGTATTACTTTCATAATAATTCTTCTTTATGTAATAAATTGAAAAGAGAAAGTTTTGTCCAACAAACATAGATTCCTAGTTACTGTCTCCTTTATAACTCCATCCATTCACAATAACTGTTTGATTCTACAACATTATAAATGTTTAAACAATTGTTGTTATTTGAATGATATTCATAAAAAATCTGTAATGTCAATGGCATTATTCTACAGGTACATTCACCATGTAAACACTACATACACATATTTCACAAATAGTAATATAGTAGGTTAAACATAGCACAATATATACTGATGTTTCTCTGATTGTTATAAGAATTATAATAAAACAATAAATAATAGAACTGTTTACTGATTTATGATAGGATGTGATGTGTGTTAATTTGTATAATTTTATGTAATTGTTGATTATATATGTTTTTGGTATACATTGTGTAATTGAAATATTTTTGATTGATTTTGTTTGATTACTATAGTATAGTTAAATGCTATATGATTAGGTGTCTTTAGTTAAAATAATTATGATATTTATGTTTGAATACTAATATGTAGTGATTATAAGGCATACTAGTGGGATTTTAATGTGGAGGATAAACCACCTTTTGTGTATTTAATGGTGATTTGGAATGTGAAGAGATTACCTATTTCTGTTTGAAAGATGTAAATCCCACTATATAGTCTAGATACCACATGTATATAGTTTTAAAACCAAAGTTTTCTTTAGATATTGTACCTGCATTTAATACGTAGATTTCATAATTTGTAGTGCATAGTTTATTTTAACTTTCTATTGGATTGAATGTGTAGGCTATTGTTTTTAATATGATAAATTAACATTTCCATTTGAAACTATTATGTGATTTTATATATAACACTTCTTAATATATGCACTATTCAAACCTTGTTAATAACTTGTGTTTGTTGTAATAATTAGAAACTTATTAACACGTCAATTGACCAAACTGCTTTAGATTTTGTTGTATGGAAAAGTTTTCTTACTATGCTGAATAATGTATATATTTTTTATCAGAAATTAATTTCCATGCATCTTAAACTAAAGTAATTTGATGTGTTTAATAAATATGTACTAAGATAGTTTAGAATTATTTTCTTATATCAACTTCTGAAAAACGAGTTGGAGAATTCAATATGTAAAGATATGACTTAGTCCTAAAACCATAAGTACTCTAGTTTAGTATTAAACCAAAAAAGTTGCGTAGCCTTTGCAAATTTTACTTAAATGTATTATAATTTTGTGATTAAAATATGAACTGTATAATTCCATTGTGATAAAAAAGTAAATTGTCTGAATGATTATTTAGTAAGTTTTATGTCGGTTGTGGCCAATCTAATGAAAACCAGACATTAATTCCAATTTATTTTATTTTTTGTTTCACTACATTAACATCTGGTGCATGAACTTTTTGACTACCAGTAATCAAGTTGTCTGTATTAGTATGCAGAGCAGCATATTATGGGAAAGCATACTGGTATATAGGAATGATTCTTAGTGGTTATACATAGATTACAATCTAATGTAAAATCAGAAAACAAAATTGCATTTGAATTAGATTGGGTTATGGTTTTCCTATTTTGATATTAAAAACTGAATTGTGTTGTTAATAAACTTGCATTTAATACCAGTTTCCAATACAAAAGGCTCAATTTTTATACCGTTACCAAGTTTTCTATTTCCATTGGTTTCAGTATGAAATACTTCTAACCTTGATAATATGTAATCATTATCTTGAATAAAGTCTTTGACAAATAATAAATTGCTTCACGTGTATGTTTCATTCATGAATATCACTTAAGTGTGGGATAATACACGAGATTGAGGTACTTACTGAAATTGCAAAACCAGCCAAGTCAAAAAGCATTATGATCCAAAATTAATTTAAACGGGTGACTTCATTGGACTGACTTCTAAATCTTGGATTTTGCAAGGCCAGTTTTCCGGAGTGACAAATACGAGATTAACAAGGACATTGTGCTTAGCTGTTGGATGAAACAAGGCCAACTGTGAACACATTGTAATTAAAAGAAGAGTAGACGGAGAAATCAAAATCCACAAAAAAAAATATGCTAGATTTGACTGCATGGGGTGGTGACATTGGAATCCCTATGGACTAAGACTAGTAATTATTTTCTCTTATTTCACGATGGACGAATGTAGTGCAAATTATTAATAGACAATTTTTCCCTTAATTTTTTTTCTCCCCTCTTCCTGCATTTTTGGGTTGACTTTCTGGTTTAGAATTGGAGAAAAGAGATCAAATTTGCAATTTCATAGCAGTTTTGGATAATATTGATGATATTACAGCAGAGGGCTAGAGGGTGTAAAGTGTCTTTCTACAGAGCAATCATTGTGTCGAAAGTGAGATTTTGACCCCAGTGAACATCAAATCCTCGTAGCAAATTATATAATTTGTCAACCCCCCTACAAAATTATGATGAGGAGATTGTGGTCCCCTATATGCTTTTAAAGATTGGAACCAACGGAATGTTGACCAGAAATCTACAGCCTTTGATGTTACAGCCATTTAACATTGAAGTCGATGGGTGAATAATTGCTAGTCTGAGACCCGATATGACCTTTATTGCTCAGTAGTAATTTTGTGACTGTTTGATATCAATATAGCCATTATTGGGGTATTGGTTGGCCGAGTGTGAATTTTGGGGTGTAAATGTTAACATTTTGTTGTATGATGTCAAAACACGGTTAGGTCTATATTAAGGTCTAGGTAGTAGGTCTAAATATTAAGGCCAAATGCAAGTTTGGTCAAAGGTCAAGAGATGTAAACAGGACTGACCTTACCCTAACTTACAATCTCAAAACATGGTGTCTACCTTTGAGATTGGCTTAGATTTAGTGACACTCAAGGTTTACCTTTTTATTGATTGTTAACTGATTTCTTGTTGGAGGGCCACTGAAGAGATGTTCGCTAGAAATAAGGAGGCATATTATTTCTATCTCCAGTTGAAATCATCTTTCTATCATTTCAGGTGCCAGGGTAATAGTCTATGGAGTGGAATGATTGACCTCAACACAAGTATTAAAACAGGTGAGATAAATGTGCATTTCATACACTTTACGAAGTACACCCAACCTGATTCCCCTTTTGCTCACTAACGGGTTGGAAATTAGGTACTGCACAGGCCTTTCTTCTCCCCTTGGCATGTAACTGAATGACAGAATTCCACATTTCGAACATTTTCTGGATGTTTATGATCCTGTTTCCCTGGATAGTATTCGCCCGAGAATTCTCAGGACTAGAAGAAAATTTGTTACAAACAGTTTTGTTGTGTGTTTCAAAGACTATAACTACTGACTTATGTTCATTCTTAATTTAAATAATAGGCTACAAACATTTCATTCAAGTTTATTTTTTTGGGTTGTTCACTCCACATTCTCTTCATCTGTAGACCTTTCTTCATAATAAGCATTCATTAAAGAAACACAAACTAGGTCATTTTGGGACTAACACATGGTTCAATTTTATTTCAATAATTCAATTGCGGGTAGGGGTCTTTAGCCATGGGAGGAAACCGGAGGACCCGGAGAAAACCCATGAGGTTGGACAGGCGACCCTACTCCTTGTCATGTACAACCGGGGAATCGAAACCAAGCCACTCATTGACAGACCTTATGATCCAATGCTAACCATTCGGCCGTGAAAACACAAATTATTTGCCAATTTTAATCAACATTGGTGTTGCGATATTACCGGTAAATAATGGGCTTCTGATATCCAATATTTTACATTTTACGATTGGTACACGAATCGTGTACCATAATGCTTTTCAGCGCAATTTGAAACCAGCCAACTGAAGAACAAGGTTAGACATATTGCACAAGTCATGTCAAACGATGACCCCATATTCTTATCTGGAGAGCATGCGCAATAAATACTATCGGTATAGACGGGAATAACCAGTCGCTAGAGATTACCATTCGATTGAGACTTCTGGCATATTTCGCCGAACATAACTGCTTTCAAATTAGAGTAAAAACGGAAACGATTGAATGTAAATCAGTTTATTTACATTCATATTACATTATATACGTTGCGACCGATTTGTGTCAATTTCTAGGTCCCAAATATTAGCGATTTACCTCCTTTAAGACATTAAAAACTGTCTGACCAATTAAAATGTAAAACTACAAAGAATGGAGTTTAAAGATAAGAATGCGAGATTGGTCACCAGCAGTTTTTAATACTAAATATTTGGAATTGGCTGATATGAATAACTGATGTATCTTATTTTTGACATTGAGTGAAAAGATTTCCAAACCAGTTACTGGAGACCAAAGTTTAATAACACCATTTAAACAAGCAGATGTCACCCATTTACTGTCTGGTGATATACCAACATGTGATACCTAAAAATACATAATAAAATGTTGAAATTATTCTAATGACAAAACGGTTTATTTAAAACAGTTTTGTCTTGTAAACTGAACTTAAATCTTAATTTCTTGGTATTTGGGTCTTGGAGATGGACCAGGGCGCATTCCATATAGTTAGGCCTAGACCTATGAATTTTCTTAGCATATACTACAGGATACAGTATAAAAAAATATCCTCTCAGCATACTGCCATCTGAAAATTATGAAAAACTATGTATCCAACAATTCAGTCATTTAATAAATGACTGGTGATAAAATTGGAGTAAAATAGGGGTTTTTTTAGTAAAAATTGACCCGATATCCTTGCCGATATTGACATCTGAAATGGTCTCAGATTTAATCTCCTGGTATTTCAAAATTTTCAGGGGGAGGCCCCCAAGACCAACCCCCCCCCCCCACCACTGTGCACTATCAACTTCGGTGCTTCGCTCCACTCCACTCTGAGGCTCCACTGTCAATACAATCCAACCAACAGTTTCCCCCACTTTATAAATCCTGGCTTTGGCATTGCACAGCGGTAAAAGGAAAGCCTTCCTTTAACTTTATACAAGATGACTGACCTTTAAGATCATGCCCAGTAGAGTTCTATCTGTGATATCACATCATATGGCATTGACAACAAGTGCATTGTTTACATCAGACATAGTAATACAAACTGGTCCAGGCAGAATTTCGCCTTTTCGCAATACTATTTTATGTACCCATCTACCCTAAATAGGAAATATTTTTTTTTTTTATCCAGAAATACTTTCAAACACCTTTTTTAATTTTTCTAATAATTTAAAAAAATGTTTTAGAATTTCATTTGCAGAAAAAAAAAGTTAATATTGAGAGCTAATTTATAACTCGCCCCGATGTCATCCCTATCAGTGATATTGGCAGCCAAAAGAATGTTTACTTCTAATCAGTTTGGGTTTGTTTGTGACCTCTATGGTCACTCAGCCAAATGAGCTTTGCTTGTCAATATTCCTAAGCCTTGTAACAGAAAAACCTCGAAGGGTATCAAACATGAGAATAACATGGAATGCACCCTGGCTCTTGAAACTGTGAGAAATCATATATTTATACTGTCTACCATTGACTTACACATATTTCACCATCATTAATATTTCAATATAGTTGCATTCTAAGGAAGCAAGAAGCATTTGATATCAATAATCAATTAATTAACAATAGCTTTTACTTTAATGAATAATACAAAAAATTCCTTATTGCAGTAGAATTTGATATCAATAATCAATTAATTAACAATTAATTACCTTTTACTTAACATAAATAATACAAAAAATTCTTTACCACAGTAGAATTTGATATCAATTATCAATTAATTAACAATAACTTTCACTTTACATAAATAATACAAAAAATTCCTTACCTCAGTAGAATGATTGGTAGGTGGTGCTTTCATTTCCAATGGTAACCCAGAATCAAAATTATAATTGATGACATATCCATCATGCGAACCAACGACTGTATACTTTTTATTAGGTGCATGTTGGAAACATGTGTTATGACCTTTACACTTACCGTCACCTGTCCATTCAGGGCGGTATATCATCACATGTTTTGTACCTTTAGACATTTGTTGATCGCATTTACCTGTTGGTAAGTCCCAGTATATAGCATGACGTCTGGCAGCAAAAATAACAGTATTACCTTGATAGGCGCACGCATTTTCACAAAGAGATGGTATTTTAGTTAGGCGACGATAACAGTGCAACATGGCACCTGATGATGTTGTGATATCAATGGCAGACAGACGGTAAGGATGGGGTTGTGGCGCATGATTTGCTCCCTTCTTCCACATGATTTTTATAGCCTCCAAATCTTTTTTTGTCACTTCTGCCAAGAGTACGAGATATCTTTCTGATGCACTAACAAATATTTTCAGACTAACAAAATCATGCATTTTCTTTATATCCAAGGAGTATACTACTTTCAGTATCTTCAGATCTATGATGTGAATTGTGGATTTTTCATCTCTGCCAACCAGAAAAGCTTTGGTTCTGGCCTCATTCATAGCCATAGCAATCACATTATCTGGAATATCACCCTTAAATTGATCTTCGCCTGTTCCAAGAGTGAAGACTTGCAATGCTTTTTGGGATTGGTCCAGGGCTAAAACAACATCAGTATTGTCAAGAAGCATTTGATCAAATCTAGCACTCTTATCATAGGTTCCAAGAAACGAAGCATCTGATAAATTCCATAATTTTAACCAACCATCTTCATGGCTGGTAAGAACTACTTGACCACAATTAGCTAGAGCCATGGAGACAATATTTGTTTGATTCAAAAGATCATCTGTAACTTCAACATTTGTCTTATTAGTGTTTTGGCTTTTGATGTGAGAAAAACTTAAAAAAGACACCCTATCCTCTAAATCTGCTAAAGCAATACAATCCTCCAACAGACCAACGTACTTAAGAGGACCTCTTCCCATAGCCAAATCGCTTTTTAGCAAACCAGTTGCAACAGAATAAAGTGCTACCTCGCCACTGTTACCACCAACAATTAGCATTTCACCATCAGAAGAAAGATCCTGTGTAAGTATGGTGCCATTATGGAATATTTCACATAATTTAGTTCCTTGTAATACATCTATTATAACTATATGAGATTGGCCACAAAACACGGCAGCCATTAGCTTCATTTCTGATACCAACATATAATTAATATCCCCTTTTGCTTTAATTTCAAGCTGTGACGATAATTCTAATGTTTCATGCTTATAAATATTTACATTTGTTTCAACAGCAATAACAAGGAATTCATCAAGTATAGAGCTAAACACAGGACTGCCATTCGATTTAAACTTCACCCTCTCACCAGCAGTTTTGGAGTCGAGTTGTTTTATCATTGCATAACCATCATGACCCGATTGCATCTTACCAACAACAGCTGCTCTAACATCGGGAACTTCTGTGCAAAAGATATTGGAGATTTGGCCATCGTTGATGGTAAAAGTGGCATGTTTTGTCAGATCTTTGACTTTAAGTATGTTTACTTGATTATCTAAACTAAGATAACCAATCAGACTAGAGTCTGTGTTGAAGAACAGTTTTCTTACTTTTAAGGATTTCAATGGAATGCTTTTTCTTTTCAGATTAGTTAAATTGATAAGTGTAATTTCATCATTGCTATACACAGCCAATCGTTGCTCAGAAGATGAAAGAATAGCTAGAGCATCTTTAGATAAAGGAACTTCCAAATCAATGGTTGAACTTTCTGTATTATTGTACAGCATCAGTTGTTCAAAATCATCTTTTGTCAATGTCTTCAGAACCACAAGATTCATTCCTTTATCCATTATTTCAGATCTTCCTGTTAATGTCACAGAATTTTGTTGACCTGTTGATGCTCGAGAAGCTAGGCAAGGAAATGTAGGAATCAGAACAGCCTTGTCATATTTTTGTAAAACACTTCTACATTTTTCTAGTAAATTTTGTAAAGACTTCTGATGTTTTTGTGGGTTGATGTATGCTAGCAGGGTTCCTGCCAAAACTTGCAAATTCTTCAAATTCGTTTTGGTGCCAACCAATAAATCTTTCACAAATTCTATTTCCTCATCTGGATATTTGACTAGAAAGGTTGTAAAGTCTTTAACAAGTCTTGCAACTGAAAATGCATTAATACAAGCATGAATAAATAATAGATTACAGAAAACTGACTGTTTGGCCGTATCAAGAGATATAAATTGGAGACCATGATGAACATGGTGAAGCATACATTCCAGTTTTCTCACATTTTTGGAATTTAACGGCTGTGGTGTCACTTGCCTGTCAGCAGATTTCATCAAAAGTTTTCTTCTACTAAGATAAATGTCTTTATAAACCCCTTCTTCAGAAGAAAATAGTTCAAATAAAATTTTGTGATGTAAGTACATGTCATCATTCGAAACATAACGATGAGCAGCTGCTTCTATGAACTGTCTATGATACCAAAAGACTGTTGTTTTTCCCTGAGACAGTCTTTCCACCAAATATTCCTGAATTTCAAATCGGATTCTAGCCCACAATACTGGAGGGATTCGGATCATGTTTTGAACGGGGGGATCATGGTAGCGATAAATTTCGTCTAGCACATCATTATTGCATGATAAGGCATCTTCGAGTTCAATTTCTGACAAACCATTAAAACCTACAGTAATAAAGCCCAGAGCACATTTGACCAACTCGTGGCCAAACCTTTTTTCAAGATCATCGAAAAGTAAATTGATGGCTTCCCTTACGGTGGTGGATGTATTGATACTGGATTCATCTGTGTATGACGCCCACTTCAAGGCATCATCCAACTGGAGTTTCAGATACAATGGAGTTGGGGACATTTGAAATTTTGATAAAAGTAGATCCATTTGCTTCTTACTGATTTTTCTTTTTTTCTTGCTTAAATATTTTTCAATGATTTCTTTCCCCGTTTCAGGAGGAAGGATTGGCACTTCAACAAAATTACTACTGTCTGGAAATAGTTTTATCAAGTTCTTCAAAATATTGTGTTCTTGAGGTAGAGTAGATAAAATAATTTTGATGTTTGGGGGAAGATGTAATGGCAGCCATGACATAAGAAAAACATTATGACTGTCAGCCAGTTGATCAATGGAGTCTAACAAAATTATGATTGGCTTCTTCACTAAGGAGGACATTCGTCTTAGAAAGCGTGGAACATAAGCAATTAGGGATGCTATATTTTTATACGCTACAGGTTCCATGATGACTTCTTCTGTGTCTGCAATTTGACCACAAATACTAAATAAAACATCATAAATATTGATGGTGTCTGGTGAAGTGCCCAGAAATCTAATGACTCCAATATATTCCCCCTTTACCCATTGATTCAAACTTTTATTAATCATGGCCATGAGGGAAGTCTTTCCAGCACCAGAATTAGCATATATTACCAAAGGCTGACGATTCTTTTCATCCAAAATATATGTCTTTGCTTTTTTGAGAATATCACCCTGTCCACAAAAAGTCTCGCACTTAGTAACACAAAATTTCAAATGATGCAGAATTTCATTATACCGTGAGTAATACTCCCTCTGTCGTATTTTTGTTTCATTTTCATGTTTCGCTTTAGAAATCATTTCCAGGACATCAGAGGTGAAAGCATCGCAAAAATTGGTTAAATATTTGTCATGTTCTTTGTTTTTGTCTGGGTCTATTCCTCCTTTTTTCCACGGCACTGTGTATGACTTTATGTTGGTATTAGCAAGGTTTTTGCAAACTTTATCATGAACTAAGGAATCCAGGAGTCTCTGAACTTCATCATTAACCACAACCTGAATTCAAACAGATAATAAATATTTAAATATGGACATTGGAATCTATTTAATTCAAATATGGATGGGAAAATAATGATATCAAAACTTGTTCCAAATTCACATAAATTTCATTACTAGATTTAAAATCTGGGTCTTCCCATACAGAATTTGAATCAAAACTTGTTCCAAATCCACTTACTTTACATTAGTATAGACAAAATCATAGTCTTTATATATCTAGCACATTTAGTCAAACTACAGGACATTGGATACAAAATACTCATTAAATAAATTATTTCTACTTATGTCTTGTATAAACAATTCAAATTGGATTTGGATAAAGGATTAATATTCTTTTATGACCATCATTGTATTTGTCATATATCTATTTGTGAGTTGAGACAGAATATGTATTTACATCTACCCCTATACCTACCATATTATTATCTGTATTACATTCAATATATTTCTGTATGAGATCATCATCTAAATCTTTCTCTAATCCAATCAACTTTCTATGATAAAATAATGTCTGTTTATTGGCTTCTTTATTCTTCAATATACCATTTTCTATTTCCCATTCTGTTACTACAAGAAGAAAACAGACCACAAAATGTACATTTACTTTACCAAAAACAAAATGCCTTGCTTTATTATACACAAATAAAATTAATTTTTATGAAACGAAAGCTCTAGTCCAAACAATATTCGAATCTAACAATTCTACATTGGTTTCAACTGATTTTACACAGCCATCTCTATGTGTCTCAATGTACCTGGTAATAGTAATGATTCAGCAATCTTTTTTTGTATATGCCAGTCCAGAAGGCCATGGTAAAATCGCACTTGGCTGTGCTTAGTAACAAAATATTAACAGTTCATATTTTGACTTTTGAAATATATTAGTTATTCATTGATCTGGTCTTTTCTGTCTTTAATTATGTATACTCCTCAAAAAAAGAAACGCATAGTCCATTTATTTTCATTTTTTTATTTGAATGACATAGTTGTTTCCATAAAGTTTACTTGTTTTTAATGTCATTATATAAGGATAAAAGAAATTCATTATTGGTTTTAAATCTCAGGTCACTAATTGTGACTGGTAATACTTTTTGCCGAAATTTGTTTTCGCTTGATTGCACCAAGACACATGAGTTTAACAACTTCGCAAGCCTTTCACATGAAACACAAATTTAAGGCCTTTAAAATGTGATGCCACATTTAAATGCAACAATCCTCGCCTGCCCTGGATTGTCACATCCAGTTACGTCATTTATGGAAACGGTTCACAACAGCAACCTCTACTGCAGCAGCAATTCCTGGACGACGTAGGATCTCAGACCAGACAGTCCATAAACGTCCCGTTAGAGTTGCTGTTTTGAAGTACACCAACTTTGTCAAATCCGACTTTAATGGTTTCAGACACACAGGGTATGGCTACAGCAACGCTGGAAAACAGTTTGGTTCAGCGACAAGTTGTGGTTCCTGCTGCAACGATGCGATGGTAGAGCGAGGGTATACCAACAACGAAATGTCGCTATGTGTTTCTTTTTTTTAAAGAGTATAGTACAATTTGGAGGTGGAGGGGGGGGGGGGGTGCGGCAGTTCAGTTAGACTTTCACCACCCAGATCATCCCAATACCTGTCTTGTGCACAATACAAATATGATTGGTCTTTGGGCTTGGAGCATAAACTCCACAAAAAATTGTTGCATGAACCCAAATTTTGATAGTTTCTTTCAAGCAAAACAATCCCACCAAAATACTGAAAAGCAACTAAACCAAACTGTTACATTTAGAATTGCAGAGTATATCTCTCAAACTAGATCCATCCATTCATTCATAAAAGTGCTGTGTTTTCATTGCATCTCAGTATATTTTGGGGCATACAGAATTTGCAAAAATTCTATTTTCTACAAACCTGATTTAGAATAAAAATGTTTTTCCTCTGCTGTAATTTTCTTCTTTTTAAATAAAGAATCTGCTGCTGTTCGTAGTAGACAATTTAATTGTTTGTGTGTTGTGGACCAAGTTTTAGCATCTTGTTTCTGTAAATCTTCATTACCTTCTGTTAAATCACCAAAATATGGTAAATGTCTTCTAACTGGCTGAAATACAATAATCATCAAAATATGGTAAATGTCTTCTTATTGGCTGAAATACATTGATCCCACAAAATATGGTAAATGTCTTCTTACAGACTGAAATACAATGATCCCACAAAACATAGTAAATGTCTTCTTATTGGCTGAAATACAATAATCACCCCAAAAAAGAAAGATTACATTTTAGTCACTTTCAATCATAAGTATTGCCAACTCCTGTCTCCTGTTCCATTTTTAAAATTATTTGATCTTTTAATAAAATTCGGACACGGTCCTTATGGAAAGAAATGAAATGAAATGAAATGGGGTTTAACATCCTACTGTTCTGCTCCGAACTGGGCTAATGAAGACGGGCATACGCCATACAGTGTGCTATGAGGGAAATTTTGCCCGGACAGTGGCACTATGGCCTACTCCTATATCGAATTCCAACTGTCAAGGGATCTTTTACCTGCGCACCAATGTGTACACAGGACCTCGGTTTTTCGTCCCATCTGAACGACTAAACAGCTGTTCTTGTCAGGCCCTCCGTCCTGCATCACTGACAAGGGGGAAGCCCACCGGAAAATCTGGATGAACTTTCTCCGCCAATGCAGGGATCGAACACCCGACCTCCAGGCTAGCGAGCAACCGTCTCACCCACTTAGCCACTGTGTCCCCTCTTATTGAAAGTGTCTATTAAATATAATGTGGGCTCCTGATAATTCCAACAAAATTTAAATCTTGATGTGTTCAGTTTGAGACTTGGAGTTGGACTATTTTACAGCCTGTATCCCTTTATAATTTAAAAGACCAATAATAAAGAATAATTGTATATTACTACATTTGCTTTTAATTTACTAAGAGGTGATTCAAAACAGTTAATACCTGTAAAATATATAATGGTGGTTGATTATTGTCATCTTTCCAAAACCATTTATCTAATAGTTCACCATGTTTTAAACCTAGAGTCTTTACTTCAGCTTTTATTGTCTCAAACTGTTCTATCTGTAGTTCTGTTGCTAATGGTCGTCCACCATATCTATGACTGACAAATCCCTAAATACAAAAACAATTATATTCACTATATCAGAAGGATATATAGACAAGGATGGATATTAGAGCTAGAATAGTTGACTTTTCTGCTGTGGCTGAGCGAGTATGGCACAGACTCGCTGTTTGACCCCATTGTTGGCCGATAAAGTTCCTTGTCAGTGGTGCAAGATTGAGGGCCTGGTGTGAAGAAGTGACTGGTCCTTAGGATGGGACAGAAAACTGAAATCCCTTACACAGTTTAAAATTTTATGAAGAATAGATGAAAATGCTGCTGCCCAGGCAAAATTATCTTCATAGCACACTGCAAGGTGTATGCCAATCTTTATTAGTCCTGCTGGTGCAGAAAAGTAGGACCCTACACCCCATTTGATTTCTGACACCCAGTTTTTCTAGCCCGATTTTACACCATACACTAAATGTACACTTACAATAAAGTTTGGCCCTAACGACACCCGCTGACAGTTCTCTATTTCTTGTAGACATATCTTGGTAGCAGAATGATCATTTTGTGCATCATCAACCACACCCCATCGTAAATCAACAATCTGGAAATCTAATCCAAGATCAGCACAGTAATCTCGTAAGTTAGGGTAAACCTTTCTTGATAATACATTACGTTCCACCTTTGTATCTATAAATAATCATCATTTACATAATTGTAGATAATTTGGTATGAAAATTAAACACATTTCATCGTACATACCAGGCAATGAAAATTAGTGTCTAAATGCAAAGGCTTTCATAATTTGAACCTTTCCTAAACCAGGAGAGAATTTTGCCAGAAAAGCAAATGTACTTTTTTCACAAATAATTATACATGTGTCATTCCCATTACCAAGAGCTTTTAATTTCATGATAGATTGTCATTCCCTGACTAGAAAACCACCTCTTTCCTTTGAAGAACACCCACAATCTTTGCGAAAATCTCTCTCTAGGTAAGGATATAGTATCAAATCACTGTCTGAATGGCTTCCTATCTGATTTAGGACAAGTGACGACATATATTGTTCATCCATAAATTATTTCGAGCAAAAATGGTTGACGAAAAACATGTCTCAAATATTGCTGTTCTGGAGTTACAACGGAAAACAGGAAATTAGTCTAACCAATTTGGTAACTAAGTCATTCATTGGCTAATTGTTGAGCTTATCGCTTTTAAAGAGTCAACAAATAAATACGGATAGTCACTCACATCACTGTGAATTGTCCCTAACACTGTTATCTAAGCCAGAAATTTTCAATACCAGCAGAACACTGACTTGTAAAATTGAGTTGAATATGAGCCCTGCTGCATCACATATACTTACCAGAAAATGTAGAACTTAGAAATATTCTAACAACTGAACGAGGTAATGGTGGTAGATCTGATAAATCACCTTCAATCATTTTATCAAACTTTATTTCCAATTCTTTATCATATGTTGCTTTCTCTACAAAATAGTATTTATACATATCGCAATTCTTTATCATGTTGCTTTCTCTACAATATACTATTTTTAAATAACTGAATTCTTTATAATATGTCACTATCTTAAATAATAGCTAAACATACATTATGCAAGAGCTAAATCTGCCTATTGTAGGTCTTTCTTTAGGCCTGAAATGTTATCTAAATTATTAATTAGAATTTAGACATTAATTAACTTATCCAGACCATAATCAATTCTCGATGTCATTGCTAGTCTGCAATATTTACTGGATTTGAATCGGATCTGCTGCTCAATGCTCATTGATGATTAAATCCAAAAATGGATAATCAAGACTATTTTTTTATCGTACCGACTTTCGTAATGATGATCGAGGCTAGGCCTAAAATTCAAAAGCTAATATCTTATTTCAGGGTGGATGAATTTGAGTGAAATTTTCAGCAAATACCCTATACATTATCTAGTTTTTAACTATTATAGTAAGAACTGCCAGCTCTTTATTTCATTTCCCATAATTCCCCTTTAAATAAGATTAGCTATGTTTACTTTATACTGATAATAATCTGAAGATATTTTCAACCTACGTACCTTTTTTTTCTAATGTGACAGTTTTGATTTGATCTGAAGTTGCTGTCCTGTGGCTAGAGAAAAAAAACACAATTTTCACACAATTTTAATCTAAAATATCACTGTCATTTGTTGTGTATATCTATGTGCCCCCATTGTTGATTTTATAAGATACTTATTAGCCTTCATCTTTAATTGGGGGGTTGGATGGCCGAATGGTTAGCACGTGCGCTCTGTATCATAAGGTCTGTCATTGCGTCAGCTGGTGTGGTTTTGATTCCCCGGTTGCACGTGACAAGGAGTAGGGTAAGCCTTAGTGTGAGTGTGATGTACAATGAACAGAATATCCCCCCCCACCTCCATTTTAATGTTGATGCCAGGGCTCCAGTGACAAGCTTAATCCTGTCATGTTTATATCTTGTATAAAACTTACTTTTTATTATTTGATACTGCTTTGGTTCTTGTTTTAGATGGTGCTGAAAGAGGTTGTGGGTTTCCATTTTTGACAGTCTATGAAAAAAAGAAACATGGGAATATTTTGTTTTATTTTAGTCATTCAAAAATGCTTCTGAACAGAGTTGAAAACATTGAGTTTTATGGTGGGCTAGTTTTTCTAAAAGTTTTATGTACCTTGCGTCAATTTGTTCATAAATATTCAGATGTGCCAAACAACTCTTGTACCCCTGTCCACTTCTTGTAAAATATGTTTATAGACATAATTAGCATTGTTTCATGATAAAAGTATAAAAACAATATCTGATAAAGCAGACTAATGTGAGAAAAGATAACATTCCTTAAAAAGAATGTGCACGGAATAATAAAATCTCTAAAAATAAAACAAATAATGAATAGGCTTACTGCCTTACTTTACTATTATCACAGGAATGCAATACACCATTTCTAATCATCAAGTGCGCCACATCTGGCGCATGCACCAGAGGTTTGCCATCCCTGCTTTAAGATGTGCAACAAGCACGCAAAGAAAGCTGAAGTGTGCACAGTACTTAGCCTAAAAGATGTTATTGAAAAGACTCCTTAATTTCTAGAATTCGTTTATCAGAAAATCAAGGTGCTTCATCTAAACTCTTGATGCTATGGTTGTAGCTATGTAGAAAACTGCTGCATATATCAATTCTAGTATATTAGGAATATAATTATCGTACCTTTTGCTGAGTGGCAAATGATGAAATTCTTGCTGATGGAAAAGGTGCAGCCCCTTAAACAATAAAAACATAATCTAAATATTTAGTTTCCACTAATCCTGTACAAAAACAAAGCTCATAGACACTGATGGGTTGAAATATATCGGAAAAAAAATATTTCAATTATAAAGCATTTAATTGCAGTTGAACATTTAGCCTTTGGTTATGTTTTGAATTACTAATGTGGTTATTAACTACCAGTTAATGGCCTAGAAATTATCTTTCTCAGTAACAAAGGAATAGAATGGATTTTAACATCTCATCAACAGAATACAACTGTCATTTTCAGACTAGCATAACTTTAAATTTGATGTATTGTGATAATATATTTCTTTGAAATCCAACTGTATATCCTAGGGAAACTGATATATACACAGGATACACAGGTTGACCTCAGTTGTTCATCCTATTCCCTAACTACCTATGCCATAGTACATTATCAGCCTCATCAAGAATAAATGATATTACATACATAATTCTGACCTATACTCCATAATGTTATACTCTAAAATATTCTAACTGTAAGAGAAAGTTAAAATTAAAGTAAATTACCTTTCACCTTAGCAGCTTTCAGAGGCATATTTTTATCTATTTGTAGTACACACAGACTACAGGTCACTTACACCATTAGACAAACCGATCAACCATGACATAAACTACTAATATCATCTTTAACCTTAAGTCAAATAAAAGAAAAAATAGACTATTAGTATTCATAGTACTGTATCCAAAAAATGTCCATGCTGTAATGTAGTGACTTGGAATACAGTTTGACTCAGTGTTTTATTTATTTCAGTGACACCAAAAAGGCTACCCCAGCGCCGCCATGATATTTTCCCAAGAATATACAAAATATACAATCCAGTCATCAAAACTCTAAGTATGCTTAATAGGCCTAAATAAAAAAGAAAAATATGTAAATAAATAAGAAATGAAAGAACAAATCAAAGAGGACAAAGTTCTCTAGCAGATTGTTTCAAAAAGACCATGAACAAAAAGTGAAGTAACATGACAAATCAGTTCTTGGCTTTTATAAAATTGATTCCATATACCCCCCCCCCCCCCCCGACAAACCCTGAATCTATGTTGGGAAAACTGAACTGGGTGAGGCCTGTGCTGTATTTATTAATTGTTTGTAGTGGGTTTTAATAGGCAGTTATACTGCACTATTTCCAAACATGATGATTTCGCAAGAGTTTCCTGCTGTACCATCGCCCTGGCGAGTATAGAAGTGTGGGTGGTCATGTGGTCTAACACATGTGCTTTAGATCTTAAGGTTTTTCACTGAGGTAAGTGGCATGGTTTTCGACCACGTCTTCTGTTTTTCTCCCACTACTAAAGACCTCTACACACAAGCTAATTATTAAAATATAGCTGTAAGCATATTAGTCCCGAAATGACCTTGTTTGTGTTGATTTACTGTTAAACCCTATTTCGTTTTAGTGCCTGAAAGGACTTGAGTCATAGAACTACTTTACTACACAGCTATTCACATGAATCGAGTGGTTTGAGGTGCTAGAGGTAGAGTAGTTTTGGACTGGCCAGGTGCTTAAGGCTTTAAATAAATGATAAAAATGCAATAGTGTATGGATTAAAAAAATAATTTTGCAAAGGCAGTGGTTTTACTGATTATCTATTCAAATTGTAGTTTATATGAATGTGTCTGCCAATGTGCACTATCTTCCCCAATTTGTGTTTTTTTAAAGTGTAAATTAAAGCGTACTATGTGATTTTATATAGATAATTATAATGGGTATACTATACAAACATTTTAAACAGGTTTTAACAAGCAATGTATTAAAAGAATACCGGTACTAAGTGATTTTATTTAGATAACTATGGTAAAGTATCAGCTGTACAATACAAACATTTTAAACAGGTTTTAACAAGCCAAGTATTAAAAGAACATTTTATTTATGGAAAGTCATGGAAAAAAACAACAAGGGGGTGCATGTTCTGGGTATGGGAACCTAATTAGAAGTGAAGTTGTTAAATGTTCGAAAGTCTAGAACAGATGGATTGGATTATTATAATAAAATCTAATAGTAAAATTAATCTGTTTCCTTTCATAGGCTATGTAATGTTTGAGTACATAATGCAATACTCTGAATTATACAATCTTGAACATAAAGAATAAATTTATTTATGAACTTATAAAACGTAGTGCAATTGTACCTGGTTAAACTGTCTGTCCATGTGGACGACTTATCTCAGGTCTTGCTACCCTGTCTTACTTGATATGACTCTACATGAACGGACATGCACTCCTGGTTTTCAAATTAAGAACCATCATCAAGTTTATATCGACAAACGATAGAAATATTTGATATGATGCAACATGCGCATAGCAAACGATTGATATTAAGCGATACATGTGACATTCATGTTGGAATAAATTAATTGCAATGAATAATTTGTACCTGTATTGGCGACAATCAATCACAAATAGACCTCAACAATAGCTAAATCTAATTAATACCCGGATGTAGTATTCTTTATTTATTTACTATGGCAACAGTAAAGGTATATTATTGGAACAAAAGAGAGAAAGAGAAATGGGGTTTAACGTCCACTCGACACAAACTAGGTCATTTCGGGACTAACACATGGTTCAGGTTGTTATATGAGACTGTATAAGAGTATATCTGACAATTCAAAAAAGTAATTGAATGTCATTAGATATAAGAATGAATGAATGAATGAAATATGGTTTTATGGCACGTCAGCTCCAACCGGGCTATATTGCGCCAAACATATGGTGAATCTGAGACAAATTAAAACAATATCACATAAATGAATTTATATATGTAAATAAAAACAAATATCACAGAAAATATATTAATTAAAAATAAATATAACAAATCTTTTACATATATAAATATTTAAAACGATATACATGATTAAATATATACAATTAAAATTGATTATAAAAGTTTGTCTCTTTTTAAAATGTTAGCACTTTGTCATATAGCTCCGGTTGAGCAAATAGCTGACGTACTGACTGGCAACGGTAATATTTAGATCTAATGTTCTTGAGATGTTTGCACTCACATTAGATATAAGAGAACACGAGAAAAATAGAAACAGTCTGTACATTCACGTGTGTTTATGCATTCTATACTTATAAAAACATGGTAAGGAACGGACATTTTCTATTTTTCTTTCATGTTCTCTTATCTAGTGACAGTCAATTTTTTTTATGAATTGTCAGATATCCTTTCACAGTCTCACACAACAACTTTTGGTCTTCGAAGGAATTATTAGTGAGCAGAAATTCGCCCATGTATCTGTTAGTGTTATCACCCGTCACTTCAGTCAGTTATATAGAGGGATAACTCGTGGGGTTTTTTTTGCGTTCGTCACTTCCGATTGCTGAATCACTGATTACGCATCTATCGTAGCAATGATCACTTTGATAAAATAATATTTGGAACGTGTTTAACCAGTTCTATCGTATATGTGATAATGACTGGCACCAATATTGTCCTTTAAGTGAATGTTCTCGGATCTCTCTGTTAACCCATAGACAAATAATACGCAGACGGAGCAATTTTGCCAGGGCAAGTATAACCGGCTTCCAGAGCTACCGCGAGACATCTGTGCACTAACTCGCTGAGCTATTCTTGAGAACTTCGGGATTTATCACGTCCAACCCACCCCAATTGTCATTCACAGATAACAAATGTTTCTTGTCGTTCAGATGTTCAGAGGTAGTTGCACAATGTAGTTGTAGGCCATGTGTAAAAGATCACTCGGTAGTTAGAAGAAGAGATGGAAACGCCGTTGCCCGAGCAACATATTGAAAATGTAATCTTAGATACATAGAAATTACATAAATAATCGTATTATGTTAATACGACGTTAAATTTGCATGGCAATACAGAATCGGGAAATGTATAATAACTAAAACATGGAAGGGGGTTTAACATACCTACATTTCTGCACCAACCGGGATAATGAAGATTGGCGGTTATACACCATACTCTTCGTCGAATTCTAACTGCCAGGGGATCTTTTATGTGCACACTATATGTGTACAAGGTACCTCTGATTTCGGTCCCATCCAAAGGTTGTTCCTTGACAGATCCCCTGTTCCGCGCCACTGATAATGAGGAACCTCGCCGAAAAATCCCGGGATCGAACCAGGGTTAATGAAACAACCATTTTCTGGGAAGAAAGGTGGTTGGGGAGTAGGCTATATCATGGACAAAAAGGGTTAAAGGGTTCCGCCAGCGTGTATAGGCTACTTGAAACAGTTACACTGTGTCCTCAAGCAGTTCTATGTAAAAGGAGCAAAATCGCTAATCTATGGGACCTAGAAATTGACACAAATGGGTCCAACGCATATAATAATGTAATATGAATGTATATAAATTGATTTACATTTAGTTGTTTCCATTTTTACTCTAATTTCAAATCCGTTATGTTCGGCGAAATACGCCAGAAGTATCAATCGAAGGGCAATCTCTAGCGTCTGGTTATTCCAGTCTACACCTGTAGTATTTATTGTGCATGCTCTCCATACAAGATTATGGCGTCACAGTTTGACATGACTTGTGGAATATGTCTAGCCTCGTTTTTCGAGTCCTGTGTTACAAATGGCGCTGAAACGCATTATGGTACACGATTTGTGTACCAATGGTAAAATGTTTTGGGTTTTTTTTGTCTTAAATATTGGACATCAGAAGCCCATCTTTTCCCGGTAAGATCACAACATCAATGTTGGTTTAAATTATCAGTTAATTCGTGTTTTCAATGTCGAAGAATTTGGATGATACTGACTTAAAGTAGCTAAGTCTCTAACTCAATATCATCCAAAAACCATCGACATTGAAAACACGAATTATTTGAAAATTAAATCAACACTGATGTTGTGATCTTACCGGGAAAAGATGGGCTTCTGATATCCAATATTTAAGACAAAATAAACATTTTATGATTGGTACACGAATCGTGTACCATAATGCGTTTCAGCCCAATTTGTAGCAAGCGACTCGAAGAACGAGGTTAGATATATTCCACAAGTCATGTCAAATGGTAACTCAAACTTATTATCTGGAGAGCATGCGCAATAAATACTATCGGTTTAGATTGGGATAACCAGACGCTAGAGATTGCCATTCAATTGAGGCGTCTGGCGTATTTTACCGAACATAACTGCTTTGAGAGAGTAAAAACGGAAACGATTGAATGCAAATCAGTTTATTTACATTCACATTACATTATTATAATATATGTCAATTTCTAGGTCCCAAATATTAGCGATTTAGCTCCTTTAAGACTAGAGATTTAGCTAGTTTAAGGCCCTATTAATGACCTAAACGTCTCCTGCTTGTAAAAGAGAACAAATTCTGGAAAAGACTGACAATAAATTCCCGAGTCGTGTATCAAACTCTTTTAATACTTAAAATAGTAACAACTGGTTTAATAAATGTTAACAACATTGAAATGGGACTGCACATGTTGACAATGTGTACGACCATAAGTTTCTTCTTGGACTGGGCAACCCACCATAAGGAGTAAGTTTTCAGGTTCTTTGGTGAAAAGTGAAAACAAATTTCACACATTTTGTTCGGCTCGAATATGATGTGTTGTTCTTGAGGTAATAATATCAGGCGAGGTTTCTCGGGATTAATTCTGCTGCAAAGACTGATTACGATGATAAAAAAT